GTCCATTTTGGAAAAAGTTTTATGACCAAATGGATTTTTTTTATATCCAAAGGAGGAGCAAGGATTCATTGCCTTATTCCAAATTTGAAACAGGAATTCCCACTAATTTTTTCTCTAGGTCACCTTTCAATTAGAAGTTATTAGGTTATGCACTCTTTATCCTTCCGAAAACACAAAGTTAAAAAGGGTGTTTTTTTCAAGGAATCATTCCGGTAAATGGGATGTCATCCCCATAAATCTTAATATCTATCCAGGCAAACCCTTGGTAGATTAACTGTAATCCCCAAAACACCAGGTTATCAAACGGTTCTTTGGTTAGGCTACACTTAGAAAGAATTGAGTCAAAGAGGATGAAAGTTGGTTATCTGGTCATGTCCCTCCTATCCCTAAAAATTTTGAACAAAGTTGTTTCAATAAATTCAATTTATGGTTACATGAATATAGAGATATCATCGTTGGCGGTGTCTTTGGTCATTATGAATAATGGACCATTTCATCCCAGTCAATGGGAAAAAATCTCGTAATGAACTCGAATCAGAACAGTTCAGAAAAACAATCAAGAATCTATCCCTAAGAGAATATTCTGATATTACCGATATTTATGAAGAGGATAATAATGATGATGATTATGACGAAATTGATGAAAAACTACATGAGCATGCTGAGTTTGCAAGTGAGGTTCATGCCTTAGGTGCAAAACCAGTGAATAGAGAATCCTATATGAAAAAGGTCAGAAAGACCATTTATAGGAATATATGGGAAAAATTCCAAGATCTTGAATCTGTTGAAGTTAACAGAGGTAAAAAGAAGAATGACAAAAAGAAAAAGGGGAAAAAGAGAAAGGACAGGAAAGGCAGAAAAGACCCATTAACAGAAGATGAGTTAGTTGAAAGGTTTTCGATAATTAACATTGCAGGCTCGGTGATACCAACCTTCAATCCATCTTTTAGAGTCTGGGAATACAACGTAACAGAACTTGCAGATGGAAGTAGGAGTAACATTAGGCAAATACCTTGGATTAAGTTTTTCAAAAGATTGGGCAAGAAAGTGGAAAATGACATTCATAAACATGAAAAACTTCTATCTTCCTTATCGAATAAAGAAGTGGATATAAACATCATTAATTCAGACAAGACTATACCAAACAAGAAACCGAAAAATCTACCATTAGGCCCTGCATTTATTCCTCAATTATTCACTCCAACAAGATTTGTTCAGTTTTATGCAGACTTAGATAGAATCAATGCTAACTACTATAAGGAGATAGAGAAAGGAGCATCTCAAAAACAGGCTGAAGAAAGTTCATTTAAGTTTGAAGTTGAGTATTCGTCTGATGACGAACCATATCCTATGGATTCGTTACTAGTCAAGGACTATCTGAAGCTTGTCAACAGACTAGTAGAAGAGAAGGACATTTGGAATGTATATCAAAGTCGTGCATTTGGATCAACGGGTTATAAAGATGATTAAATTTTTAATATGTTATATATGTATAGTTAGACAGTAATACAAAATAAATAACAGTTATGCCATTCACTTCTTGCCACTTTTTGATTTTTTTTAAAATTAATGTTTCGTTCTTAAAACCGCCTTAAGATCAAAGTAGCTTGAGAAATAAATGTAAAGTCTCTGCATTTGAATTAAAAACCTACCCTTATAGATCCACCATAATTATAAATCCTAAGTATTAATAGGAAAGTATCCTTAGAAAGGTATTATTATATACATAATTATATATAAAATAGCTAGATATATTTGCAAAGAATTCTTAACTAAGTCCTGACTTAGTTTACAGAATTGAAGTATTCCTTAGAAGCATCGACTTCTGGCTTGATAGTAGCAGAACCTGGGGTCCAGTTACATGGCAAAACAGTACCGTGCTTGTCAGTCCATTGGAAACCTTCAACTAATCTTAAAGCTTCTTCAACGTTTCTACCAACTGGCAAGTCATTAATAGTAATGTGTCTAACGTTACCCTTTGGATCGATGATGAACAAACCTCTCAAAGCAATACCTTCTTCTTCAATCAAGACACCGTAGTCCTTGGCCAAGGAGTGGTTAGTATCAGCAATCAATGGGATATCGACTGGACCTAAACCACCATCTTTTCTTGGAATATTAGTCCAAGCCAACAAAGAGTATTCAGAATCAGTAGAAGCAAACATGATTTGAGCACCAATGTCTTCAAATCTCTTGGCAGCATCAGAGAATGCAACGATTTCTGTTGGGCAAACAAAAGTGAAAGCTAATGGAACAAAAGCTAAAACAACATATTTACCCTTGTATTTATCCAAAGAAACTTCATCGAATACACCATCGACAACAGCAGTCTTCTTAAAGGCTGGAGCTGGTTTTTGAACTTGAGCAACCATTTTTAATTAATATTATAATCTAATAAATTCTTCTTTGAAAAGCTTGAATCAAGACACTAGACACACTTTATGCAACTTAATGAACTGTATATAGGTTATTACCAACAAACAAGAATCTTACATGAAAACCTAAATTAACAATTAAAGGTTCATATCAAATTGAATCAAATCAATCAACAAGAAATTCAATTGAAATAACCAATTACCTTTATATACAACTAATTATTCGATGAAGCATGGTTCATCATCAATTAGAACTAAAACCGTTCATTACCCTTAAGAAGATACTAGCAATGGTATGTGCATAGCTTAACAAATAACGTCACCAGTTAGTATCAAAAAAAAAAAAAAAATTTGTAATTGATTACTGATAAAAGCTCAATATAATCAATTTCCCTACAGTAGCCTGATAAAATAATGTCCTATTAAGTTAAATGAACCACCAAAAAAAGTAAACCCATCTAATCGTGGGGATTACATTTAACAAGCCTTTTTCTTCTTTTCAATTACCAATTAAAGGCTGCAAAAAAGACCCATTTCTAACACTAGTGCTACGACAAACCTAACTGAATTAAATTACACCAAGACCAAGACCAAGATTAAAGCTAAAACTACATTAAATAATAATTCTTATCCCAGAACCTATTTCTTCCGTATGCCCATTAATCTATTCGACATCGAAATCGTTATTGAAACGTTTTGATTAAGGATATAAGGTATATAGTAGTCAGTGGTAATTGGGTCAGTTAACATTAAAACCTTTAATACAACAGAAATTAGCATTGGTTCTAATAGGTTTTGACGTAGCCTGAAGTTCAATCGAATCACATTAAGGAAAAACCCATTCGATCTTGTTGTAGGAGAAAATGTGGACGAGTGGACGTTTGCTTGCTTCGTTGCTCAATGATATTCTAACCTTAATTGAGGCAAGCCTTACAACAAGAACTAAATACTCTCTTGTCAAGATTCAAAAAATAGCTTTGATTTGTAATTAGTCGTATAGGTCCAGACCTACTCTCATGATATATGTATGTATGTGCATGTGTACTTGATAAATTACCGGTACAACGAGCAAAGACAGCGTGAGATAGAGACTTATAGAAGGTGAATAAATGGAGAGATACAGACATAATCAAATTGCAACAGCAGATTTAAATTTCGGTAGCTTGTTAGTGCCAATGACCATTCCAACCAAACTTGAAATAGTAAAAGTGTCGTTGCCGATAATTAGTTTAATTGAACAGGCTGCAACATCAAACTTTGATTCGATTAGGATGAACTTGAAGGAGGAGACAAAGGGATGGCTTATTTTTTTTTCCAAATTTTCACTGTGGATTTCGACACTTGTAAAAATTAGCATCTTGGGCATCTTTTCCTCTTGTTCGTAGGTTTTACCATATCTAATTAATTATTTAGAAAATTCTATATATGTTTTACGTACATGTTTTATCAGTACCAAAAAATGTAGTGTCGATTGACAGATCTTGCTTCAACTGACTGGTACTTATCTTCTTTTTTTTTGGGTCTATTATGGAGAACAGAAAAAAAGAAGTTTTATCAATTGGTAGTGGTACCTGTTTCGTTTCCATCTTGATGAATTGATACACCGGTAGATATACCTTCTCCTTCATTGATTCCAGATACTTCAACATCTTCATTGTCATTCGCTGTAGATACTGTTTCTCCGTTTAATGTACTTGCTGCATCGGAAATTATAACATTTTCTTCAATACCATCACCATCACTGACAATATTATCCATATTACCCTCCGCAGGAGTTTGGATATTAACTGGTTCAATCATAATAGATTCTGATTCTCTCGTTCTCTGCTCTTCCTCGTTTTTACGTTCTGCAGATATCGTATCTGCCATAACTTTAATTGGAGGTATGAACACCAAGAAAAAAAGAACTAGATTCTTCCAAATTATTTGTAAGATGCTATCACGACCTGGATAAGGAACAACCTTTTTCAAAAACCTTCTATATATTTCTGGCTGTCTCATTAAATCAAAACAATTCGTAATTCTGATTGCAATTATGTGATACCAAGGCAATTGTGCATGAATTTCTCTAGATTTCTTCATTTCGGCCCAGATAATTGATATAGTCTCTTTTACAGAATCTTGTAGTTCCAATTGTTCCTCAGAATTAGATGGATTCGGATTATACTTTGACAAACATGCTTTCAATACGTCATCAACTAAACTTCTTGGGGCTTCTCCATTAGAAACTTTGTGGAATAGAGATTTCATGTTATTTTGATCCTCACCTTCACTTAGATCTGTCAAATTTGCTTTTTGATAAGCTACAATTCTGTCATTCTGTAATTCAGGAATGCACAATGATTCAATGAGACGTTTTTCTTCACCACATCTCTTATAAAATTCAATGGGCAGTGAACCTTTCAATACTGCATTTTGAACCTTTTCATGTTGTCCTTGCGGAATTTTTCTATAACGTCTAATATATGGATTCCATAATTCCCATATATCTTGAGCAGTCCATATCGATCTTAATAGCACCATCACTAAAATCGAAATAACAATCCTTGCTGGCAAAAAGCCAGTAAATTGAAAAACTAGACACAATTTTAGGAATGAATTAACAATTATTAAATAAAGTGTCTTCATTAATAACAAAGATATTCTAATAATTGCTGATATGTCAAATGCTTCTACTAGTCTAAAGAAGGTCAGTCTACCGTTATTCCTTCTCATGCTAATATCATGCAGGTTGATATCACCACTCTCAAAATCTTCCTTCAAAATGTCCAAATCTAGTCTATCTTCTATTCTTGAAATCACATTTGGCGATAATTTGATGAATCCATCACCAATTACATATTCATGTGAATATAATTCAACATTATTTTCGTTGATGGTTAAATGAGAATCAACAATATCGAAATGTGAACACTCAATGTACACTTCCTCATCCCCATCAAGCAAACACTTTTCATATAACTTACCTGTACGTTCAACGACACCATCTGACTCAGTCAAATATGTTTTACGTTGTCTATCGTGTATTCCATATCCTGTTGGAAAGTTAGATTGAACTTCATTCTGGTGTATATTTTCATTTTCTACTGTTAGTAATTCGGCAGTGTCAAGTTCAACTTCGTCGATAGCAGTCATTGGTACTGTTGGTGTCGGAGTTGGATCTTCAGCAACATCCTCTTTAATATCTTTTAACTCCTCGGAACTTTCATTGTCCATATTGTCATTAAATAAATCTTCATAAAACTCGGCTTCCACATCTGCACTCTCTGTTGTAATCTGTACATGAATTTTGGCTTTATCATCAATACCAACATCTTGCACAATATGCGAGGGTTCATTATCATCATTAGTACTTTTAATTAATCTTCCTTTGTAGATCAATTTAACATTAGATCTACAAATCGAGAGTGAATGCATATATACACAACAAATAAATTCCTTTACATCATTTACTGTTGTATCGGAATCAAAGACCATTTTATGCATGTATAAATGAGCATCTGAGATAAATTCCAACGTATTATAATTTGCTTCCAAAGTATGGTTGTCTTGTTCATGCTTAATTTTTAACATCAATGTAAAATAACTTGTTGGGGAAGGAGTGAAATCAAAGCCCAATATTTCAGCAATTGATAAGTCATTAAAAAGGGACTTTTCAGCTTCATTATTTAACAATGTCGATCTTTGCTTACCTTTAAACATAAATCCTAAACAGTCACAACTTGTATGTGCACCATTTTTACTACAAAATTTTTTGGCAGTAGAATTTTGTTCATAATAATTTAAATGATTTAATGCTAGCTTTTCTAATTTTGCCAAAGAAGTATCCCATTGAACATCTTTTAGTTCAATTTTTGTAACTTTATCTATAGAAAAAGAATTCATCATAATTGAAATATTGGTAGAAACAAAATCATTATCTATATCATAATCCAAATTCATTGCAGGCCCTGTGTGACTTTTACGTTTTTCAAATTGTAATTTTATAAATCCCGAATCATTATTCAAAGCTAGCGTATGAACAAGCATACTTAAATTTAATTCTTTACCATCAGACAATAAATAATACTCCGAAACATCACCAACATTTGTAGAAGATTCAGTTTCACTATCAATTGATTTAAAAACTTTATAATGAATGTATTGTAAAAGTCTTGATACAGTTGCTTTTGGATGAGCATTAACTAATATATTTGTGCATATTAAATTCTTCTCAGAAGACCATACCGTGCATTTAACAGGTAACAATGCTAAACATTCCATATTATTGGATAGTGGGTTTCTACAAATATAATCCTGAGTACACTACCACTTATTATTAACAAATCTTAATGAGAACAAATTATTAAAGAGATTTCTCTTCAAAGAACATAAAATAAGATAGTAATTAAACAAAAAAAGAATAAAATAAAGGAGAAATCGTATAACCCTTGACTTAAAATATTCGCCTACAAATATAGAGGCTTTAGTACCGAGTTTCCTGCCTTGTACAACCAGTCTTTTGATTCTTCTGGTACTTTTAAGTATCTAACTTCTTGGATATTTAAATTTAAGGCTCTTTTAAGATTAATTTTGGCTTTTTGATACTTAAACTTCGGTCCCGTATGCACGTGACCAGAATACATACCTAGAATGACACTCACTTTGCATGAGAAGTGTCAGTTAATCCAGCCGAGAGAAATTGATTCATACTAGACTTTATAAACAGTAGGCATAACTGTACAGATATGTAACATAAATCCTTGTTGAATTTTGGCCCTTGCTAGTAAAGTTGATCTTATATATCTGATAATTTGATATGTAAAGGTGGCAGATAAGTTCTGGCTATGTGAAGAAGAAAGTTTCCATTGTATTCTACAGTTCATATATAGTCGTCTACAAATAATTACCAAGTTTGCTAACACAAAGTTCCAGAACAAGGGTGTCATTTATTGTTGTATTGTACCGTACTGTATCATATTGTATAAACGTCACAAATTTACCCTACCTTAGCATCTATCAATCTTTCTCACAACATCAACTGTCAGCTGGCGCTGGTACCAAACTATGAGTTAGACATTCAAATATTTTAGTATGAATTGTATAAATTACAAAAACTCAGTGTTTCACCAGACAAGAAACCATTTTATTCCCAAGGGTTTACTACGAATAGAATTGACTAGAAGAATCAGAGGAGCTAGAATGATAATTCTAAATGGAAACTATCCAATCCAGAACAAACATATAGCAGAGAAATACGAAACTCAATTCAATTGAATCTGACCATAACTACTGGAGGACAATTAAGAAATGTTCAACTATCCAGCTATACATGTATATATATATTTGTATATGAGAACTGAATCTCAACACTGTTCTAATCTTGACTTCAAACGTTACCCTGACCACATCTACATCAGTTCCCGTAAAGAAGCACCATCAACCATCATTACCAAGGAACATATTGGCTCACGTGACACAATATCGTATGGATTTTAGAGTTAATAGTATAATGAAACATTAGATATAAAGTGACATAAAAAGAATTTATACATTACAAAAGTAGGTGAACATAACGACAGGGATTGATTTCGAAGACCACTTCTAGTATCTGTGAAGTCGGGGGAATATATCTGAGGATGTATTTACAGTTGATTCGTTTCCCTTTGTCAGCTTGCGGGTGTGAATGGGGCCACAGAGCACTCAATATAGTAAAATTAGAATGATTGAATGATGAACAGATACATTATCTTGAGCTAGCAAGCGCACTTGTACTTATTTACTTGCTGGCATTGACTTTAGATTCTAGCGCTTTCAATTCTTGTTCTAGATTTTTAGAAGCTTCCTCATTTTCCTTAGCTTTTAATCTGAACATTTCAGCTTTCTTCCTTCTAGCTTCAGTTTCTTGTTCTCTTCTTTCTAATTCTTGAATCCATAACTGTTCTCTCATCTTTGCCTTCTCCTTCAGCAATTGCTCTTCTGTCTTACGTTCTGCCTTATTAGATGAATATATATATGAACCGGCAAGCAAGGCAACTAAGGTAGCTGCTTGCAAACCTACACGCCAACGAAAAAATACCTGAGCTTTATTCTTATTACCTGATCTAACACTTTGTGCTGCCAACACAATAGCACCTGTGGTTAACAGACATCCTATTGGGACAAGTGGTTGTTGTTTGGCCCTAAACACCAATTTTTCCATAAAATCCATTTCAGAAACATCTTTGACATTATCTTTATAGTCGAAACTTGAAGGTATGCGAGACATATTGACTAAGAATTGAATATATTATTTCGTTGGATGACTACTTTAAACGTAGATCCTTCAATTCAAACAAAATACATACGGTTCTTAACTATCCTTTACTTATATAGCAATCCCATAAACGATTCAAAGTTGTTAATTGCTCAAAATTTCTCGGGGACTTAATAAAACAGTATATATTCACCATCTTTCAAATCTGCTGATGGTAATGAGGAAACGTTATATGTTTCAAGAGAGTATCTGAACCTCAACAATACTTTGTCTGCTTTAGTTTTGTAGTAGAAGCAATCTTTTGATTTATAGAAACTTTTCCAATGTTATATCACTTTTGTGTATATAATAATAGTAAAGAGTATATATATATATATATAAAGAAAACCAACTATCTATATTTAAGATGCCAATACAAATAAATGTACTGCATTTATGCTCGTGTTACAATTCCAGTTGACTAATCTATAATCAGGTTCATGTCTTGCTTGGAGAGAAGGGAATAAGTGATTAACTAGGACCTCAATTCCAATTCCAATTCCAATTCCAATTTAAATTTAAATTTCGATTCTAAACTTTTTTTTGATTCTCAATTTAGTGTTGGAAAACGAATTCTTTCAATTCTCTGTAAGCTTTGTCCAAATCATCATTGACAATAATTTTATCGTGAGCACCACTAGCGGCATAAGCCATTTCAGCGTCAGCAGCAGCCAATCTCTTGCTAATGGATTCCTCAGTCTCAGTACCTCTACCTACCAATCTAGTCTTCAAATCATCCATTGAAGGAGGAGCAACGAATAAAAATCTAGCATTCAACTGAGGCTTGCTCTTGACAGCTTTAACACCTTGCATATCAATATCCAAGATACAAGTCTTACCAGAATCAATGACCTTATGGACAGATTCAACTGTAGTACCGTAATAGTTACCAGAAAATTGAGCCCATTCAATGAACTTATCACCTGAATCGATCATACCTTGGAAATCATCGACCTTGACAAAATTGTAATCCTTACCATTGACTTCACCTGGTCTTGGGCCTCTAGTGGTAGAAGAAACAGAGAACCCGAAAGATGTAGGATATTCTGCAAATAACTTTTTCAACAAAGTAGACTTACCAGTACCACTTGGACCTGAAATAACAATAGGACGAGGCATAATTAATAAATATCTCTTGATGCAATATCAACAATCAATTCAACGTAACGTTCAATCAAACATTCTCAAAACCCAATGCCTCTTGTTTCGATCATCATTATCATCATCTTATTGTTATATATGATTCGAATTGCATTTCGATTTCGAAATGCAATTCGAATCTCGTTGTTAATAATTTTTTTTCTTTTTTTTCATTTTTCATTGTTTCTTTTTTTCTTCCACGCTGTCGGAATAAGCCATTCGAAGATTGTAGATCACGTGAGTATCACATGAAATGCACATGCTATAGTAGATTCAATGGTGAGTTTCTGGTCCTTATGTGTACTATAAACATGACAGTGGTTGGAGATGGGTTTTTGCTAAGAATCTTGGAAACATATGTACAAAGATAAGAATAAGAATAAGAACGTTTGCAAATGTCGCTATTTGCAGTCACAAGTCAGGCTTCCATGTATCTATACTTTCTTTCCCTTTTATTTTTATTCGTTTTAAAGACGCCATTGTAGTTGCATGCCTCTTATTTGTAGAGTGACCTTTTCTCTTGTGTCATTTAAGAAAGAACATTCAAGATGGTGTAATCGAGATTGTAGGAACTGACTGTCTTGATGTCAATTATAGTTTTATCTTGCATATTCATGGTACACGTATTAATTGCTTTGTTATTGCCTTGCTTCTCTCTTACGTACATTATATCATTATTGACGAAATCACCAATTTCATATACCAATTTATATAATACGTATTACTGTCTCTAAACTAATCGAACCCTGCTTAAGTAGAACTTGATTTGAAATGGTACAACGGTATGCATCCAATGCCATATTGCGACTGCTTGTCATTTTCATTGATATTCGAGTGAGGTTCCTGCTTTCTGTTTCGCATTTAGTATTCTTTTTATCCTTTTTCAACATTTACCTTCCATCCCAAAGATTAGGCAAATATATATATATACTAATACACGCATACAAACACACAAACATATATATTTATACATACCATTTGTGACCTCAAGAATGCTATCCCAGTTTCTGCTGACTATTGCATTTAAGTCAGCTTTGAGTGTTGGTAAAAGTGTTATCGGCATTGGCTCTGGTAGTGGTTCAAGTGATGACGATGATGAACTGTTACCCACTCCAGATATCCCAGATCTTTCCGATCCAATTACCGGTGATCCAAGTGAAGATCTAAACCCTATCAATGAGGAAATGTTCTCTTCTTGGGCGTTATTCATTTTATTGTTCCTTTTAATTGCTGCTCTATGGTCCAGCTACTATTTAGCTCAAAGGCGAATACGAGCTGTTCACGAAACTGTCTTATCGATCTTTTATGGTATGGTAGTAGGGTTGGTAATCAGACTATCACCAGGTCATTACATCCAAGACACAGTGACTTTCAATTCTTCATATTTCTTCAACGTCTTATTGCCTCCGATTATTTTAAACTCTGGTTATGAATTAAATCAAGTTAACTTCTTTAATAACTTAGTTTCTATTTTAACGTTTGCAATTCCAGGTACTTTTATATCAGCCGTCGTACTAGGGGCCATTTTATTCATTTGGACTGCAATTGGTTTGGATGGTATCAACATCTCATTTGTAGACGCATTGTCAGTAGGTGCTACTCTTTCCGCCACAGATCCAGTTACCATTTTATCTATCTTCAATGCTTACAAAGTCGATCCAAAGTTGTACACTATTATTTTTGGTGAATCTTTATTAAACGATGCTATTTCCATCGTTATGTTTGAAACTTGTCAGAAATTCCATGGTAAACCTGCTAAATTGTCTTCTTTGTTCGAAGGTATTTGGCTGTTTATGACTACTTTCACAATCTCACTGTTGATCGGTTGTATGATAGGTTTATTAATTGCCTTAATTTTAAAACATACTCATATTAGAAGATACCCACAAATTGAAAGTTGTCTAATTTTGTTGATTTGTTACGAATCTTATTTCTTTTCAAACGGTTGCCACATGTCTGGTATTGTTTCTTTGTTATTCTGTGGTATTACTCTAAAGCACTACGCTTATTATAACATGTCAAGAAGATCTCAAGTTACCATCAAATACATATTTCAGTTATTGGCAAGATTATCAGAAAATTTCATTTTCGTTTATTTAGGTTTAGAATTATTCACTGAAGTCGAGTTAGTGTACAAGCCATTGTTAATTATCATCACCGCTATATCTATATGTGTTGCCCGTTATTGCGCTGTTTTCCCATTGTCAAGATTAGTTAATTGGTTTTACAAAGCAAAATCTAATGGTTCAACTACTAATGCTTCTGGAAGCACAGAAGAAATACCATATAATTATCAAATGATGATGTTTTGGGCTGGGTTACGTGGTGCTGTTGGTGTCGCATTGGCAATGGGTATACAAGGTGAATTCAAATTTCCTTTGTTAGCAACAGTTTTAGTCGTGGTGGTATTAACTGTCATCATCTTTGGTGGTACCACAGCTGGTATGTTGGAAGTTCTAAACATTAAGACTGGTTGTGTCGATGAACATGATGAAAGTGATGATGAATTCGATATCGAAGCTCCAAAATTCATTAATTCTTCCAGTTCACGCTTTGGTTCTTCTCCATACTCTGATTTTAACGCACAAAATGCTGCTTCCTCAAGTCGTGCTGAATTGGTACCAGATTTCCCACCTTTAGCGGAGGAAATGGAAAACGAATTTAATGCATCATCTCCAAGAATATCAAATGTGCAAAATATAAAGGAATCCATTGGAAGTTTATTCAAATCGGATTCCCAATGGTTCCAAACTTTTGATGAACAAGTCTTAAAGCCGGTTTTCTTAGATTCAAATGCCCAAAACTCGGTTAATTCTAAATCACCAACGCCAAACCAAAATGGCACTTTTTCACCAAATGATAACAGTCAATGAAAAAACATATAATAAAACTCTAACACTTATAATTATTCTAGTGTCCGAAAACTATCTCTATACAATACTAAATAGATAAATATAGATGGATGATGGTTCTTGATACATGCCATTATGTTACAATATAGATTCTTATTAAATAAATCTCATTTGTTTTCTTTATCACACATGCCTAATACCCATTTACTTAATGTCAATACGTCGTCATCTAGATAAATGTCATACAATAATATGTTGTATTTAAGAACAATTTCTAAAAATGCACTTACTGATAATTCATATAGTCGCGTTATATTATCTGTTTGTCCTTCTTTTGGTTCATTCCATTGGGAATCAGGTTTCCAACTAGCGTATTTACCTAATGAACCCACAGATCTTTCTAATATTTTTAGTGCTTCACCAACAGAAGAAACAATGCTTCCCTTTGGATCTTCATCAAGTGCATTGACATAGAATCCTAATAAACTTATTATGCTATAGGCTTGAATAACTGGAATCTTAACAAGTCTTTCAGCTACCCTAATCTTTGATAGATCACAAGCTTCCAAAAAAGACATATGCTGAACTTCTTTTTCAGCCTTATGAGTCAATTTTGATGTAAAGTTTATTTTATTTTTAATTAGATCCCATAGTTTTTGAAATGCAATCATTAATTTAGTCTTATGGGTAATAATAGGTTCATCGAATGCCCTTGTAGAATCACCAAAATATTTTGGAACCGAAGGTAACGAATATTGTTTTCTACCATTAATTTTATGAAGCAAAATATCTGAATTTTTAAGTTCAATAACTGTATCTTGATTTTCTCCGTTATTGATTCTGTTACTGAAGCCTTGTTTTACTGTAAATAAACTTGATTGATCGAATCCTGTACCATTTCCAAAAATCTTATCTTCGTGCTGATTTAATGTCAAATCATGCCCATTATTATTGTGAGATTTCATTTTAAACTGTGTATTTTCGCCAGTATGCAAAGTATGCAAATATTTACCAACGGATTCGTTGTTATTTTGTATTACGATTATCAATTCTTTTAAAATCATTGGCCATATACTTGCATTCTTCACTCTGGTTTGATAAACAGGTATTCTCAAAGATTCATCTGAAGCAATTGCTCTATAGGACAATTCTTGGAATGCTGTAAGTTTAGTGAATGGTTTTTTAGAAGACAACCCACTAATCAAAGTTTCCATTGGAGATGGAGATAACGAAGAAATCAATTTCCCTTTATGCAAACATCCAATTAACATATATGCGTTGAATAAAAGATTAACGAGTTCAAAGTTAAAAGCAACGACGAGTGAAAGTAAAAATAATTGTAGATATAACTTCAAATTCAATAGGTTTGACACAGTAGGACAAACAAACCAAAACAATATCGGAGACATGACAAAAACAATAAAACAATTACTCAACGCTCTAATTGCCATCGATTTCAATCTTTTTTGAATATAAAATCTAACAGATTGATATTGGACGTCAAATTTAAAAGGTAATCTATCATGATCCAATATAACATGTTGTAAAGTATAAAAAAATGGGAATAATACCCATAGATATAGTTGATACTCAAAAGAATTCCAATTCCACATAGATATACCAAAACTTCCATCATAAACATTCGCAATTAAAATCGAACTAATGGTATAAGTCAATAAATACACTAGAAATCTTAAAGAAAACAATTTCCCCAAGAAGCTTGTTAAAATATTGGAATATCCAAAATATTGAACGTGCACATAGTTCTTCCTAGTGAACATTACAATAACTAATGATAAATATAATTTGATAAACTTAATCAAACTAATGAAAAAGCCTTTGAAAATATTTCTACCACCATTACATAAAATGAATACCAAAAGAACCTCCACAATAACCAAAATCAACAACAACTTAGTCAATAGATGATTAAAACGTATCCTACAAATATCACCAAATATCGAATGATATTGATATTTCGATTTTAATTCAAATGATACCTCATTCATAATTCCAATTCAATTTCAAAACTTTTTTCACACTATTTCAGGAACCTTATCATAAAACCAACCAAAACCAGTACTCCAATATCTAGAAATGAATTTCAATCCTAATTCATCAACTAATTGCTAGCTTCAGATCTCTTAAATCTGATACTTCTTGTTATTTCTTTATATCTTTTCTTGATATCCTTCAAGTCTTTTAAATATTGAAAAATTCCGATGCTTTAAAAGAATACAGAACTGAAACAAAATACAACTATATTAATGTTTTAAGCATTTATATGCAAAGAGGAGGATATATAGCCAAGGAGTTTCCAGATTGGTGTGGATCTAGTTTCTAATTTAATTTTATTGAATTGGTATCATTTGGATAAATTTTTGTTTGTTATTATTCTGATTATTTTTGGTGAAGATACAACTTATTAAATATATGATGGAAGAGAAGAAGCCATTTGTTGCTTTGAGTGAAGATATTCAGGCTAAATTGGATAAGAAATTGGGTCCTGAGTATATTTCCAAGAGGGTTGGGTTTGGTTCTAGTAGAGTTGCTTATATCGAAGGTTGGAAGGCTATAAATTTGGCTAATCAGATTTTTGGCTATAATGGTTGGTCTACTGAGGTTAAATCTGTTGTAATTGATTTTTTGGATGAACGTCAGAATAGGTTTTCAATTGGGTGCACTGCAATTGTGCGTGTCACTTTGTCTAATGGTACTTATAGGGAGGATATTGGTTATGGTACTGTTGAAAATGAAAGAAGGAAGGCGGCTGCTTTTGAGAGGGCTAAAAAATCAGCTGTCACGGATGCATTGAAGAGATCTTTGAGAGGATTTGGTAATGCATTGGGGAATTGTCTTTATGACAAGGATTTCTTATCAAAGATTGATAAGGTTAAGTTCGATCCTCCTGATTTTGACGAGGGAAATTTATTTAGGCCTTCTGATGAAATTAGTGAAATTTCCAGATCAAATACAATAGATAATAATGAAATTGGCCATCCTTCAAAGAGAAGACAATTAACCAAGGCAGGGAACCTACCAGTAAATAAAATTAAATTAGAGGAAAAACCAAATCAAAATAACTATAAAATGATAACACCTAATACTAATACTGTTGCTCCGCAAGACGGAACAAGTAAATTCGATAACACGAACAAAATTACTACTACTAATGAAACTGTAAATGTCAACGTTGATATTACCAACGCTGTCACATCAATTACTAATAAGGATAGAGATGAGGAATTATTAGACGACTCCCTAATGTTTAGTGATGATCTCCAAGATGATGATTTAATTAATATTGGCAATACCGAAGAATCTGTACGAAAGACTGGCCAACCTATAGTGGAAGCGATTGATACAATTACGGATTTTGCAAAGCCAGTACCACATCAAGTTGCTCCTATGGCGGCAAACAACAATCACGCTGCGCTCCCTAATCTTACAAGACCCCCTTTAAATCCAAGCAATAATATAAACCATGAACCTGTCACTTTTGTTACGGCCAAAGCTGCCAATACACTTCAATCAAAATCACTAGTCACAAAAGAAAATGTTTTTGATCCTAAATATCAAGCACAATCAATTAAGCATACTATTGACCAAACTACATCAAAACATATTCCTGCTAGTATTTTGAAGGAAAAAGGTGTCACTCCTGCTCGAAATTCAGTTTATGAAAAATTTGCGCCAAAGGGAAAACAGTTGAGTAATAATGCCAACATCAATAACGAAACAACTAATCATGAATCAGAAACCTCAAATGTGCAGCAAGGAATGGCTAATAATGTCTTAAGTAAGGATACAACTGCAAATTCAAATTTAGCTAATTCAGGAAATGCTCCTCAAATGACTGCAAAAACCTCATTAAACTCAGATTCTTTAAATCAAAGCCTTTTATCGAGCAGTGTATCACCAGCTCCAACAACTCCTAATCCTATGAACAATTTGGCAAATGCTGGAGAAAACAACCAAGCTCCACTTGGTGCTTTTGCTCCAGCATCATCTGCTTCGACCAGTACCACTGCTAGTGCGACACCTTCTATATCTTCAACAGATTCAAGCAATATTCAACCATCGTCAATGACCGCCAATACTGCACCAAAATTTGCACCATCAAGACCCGTTGTGCATCCAAATACGTTTATTCCAACACCAACTGTGCCCAAACCAGGAAGAAGGGAGGTAGGTAGGCCAAAGATCAATCCATTTCAAATACGTAAACCTAGTACATGAATGAAATGTTCTTTACATATAGAATAGAGGAATAACAGGAACGCATCGAATACTATCATTTATATTTCGTTATTAGAGGACAAGAAGAAAAACTACGAGGAATAATTTGAAATAATAATAATAGTCTATCCTGTACCTGACAAGGAATTCTGCATATTTTACGTAATCTATTTATTGAGCACCATTATCCATGCCACTTAATACATATAAGTATATGATCAATGTTTATAATAACTTGAATTGATTGACTTAGGTTAAATCTTTTAAATTATTAATGAATAACCACTTTATATAATTCTTGAAGCATAACCGTAACAATAAATGCAATACCTCGAGCAGTATAAAACATCCTGAAGCTATTCAAGTCTGTTCATCAATTATTTGTATTTGCTGTCACTTGATTAACTATGCGAATATTCAAAAATTAGAGCGTTCTATAGTGCAACAAATATTTTATTTGGGATATTACAAATACACTGCATGGAATCAAAATATGTTTCTAACTTATTATATTGATAGTATTAACCATGTATATAAAATGAACCAACTAGTTTAAAGCCAATTAGTTACTTAATTTGTCCTCGTTATTATACAATTAGAGGCCCAATAGTTGGTAAGATGAAGATATTTTTCTTCATTGACACATGAATAATTTAAAATAAATCAATTCGCTAGAATGTTGCTATCTGAATTCAGTCTATACCCCTTTCTAGTTAGCCCAATTAACATCTTATAAAACCCTGACGCTTCATAGAGCACTAGTCCCAATAGTTCTTTGTACATATATATCTATTCTATTTCATTAGTTACCCTTACCAGATACCGTTTGCATTCATCACGTGCCTTGAATTTCCACCAATTTTTGGTATATAATTGAAGGTGGGAAACGAATACACCAACAACTGATACAGATAAGGCAAATAGAACAACACTAAATTAACGTTCCAATGGAATAAAGTAGATGCTGTGAATATTGTACTCTGTCTATTTAAAATTATTATAGGAGATAATGAGACTATATACTTACCGACAGATTAGATTTTAAGGTTCACATTTGTTACCCGGTTAACACATTCCCGGTTTTGTAGTTTCCATCAAAACCCGCACAACAGAAGGTCATGTGACGTGTGACCTTCAGGTCACACGATTACGAATTACCAGCTATAGTCGAAGCTATAATGATAACCAACATAGATGAAGACAGATATTGTATTCAAAGAAAATATATAGTGAATGCTGATATATATTTTTATACCCAGGCTTTTTCTTCTTCTTCAAATTCTGTATCACTGCAAGATATGCGACAAAAAGGCTTACATGCGACAGTATCATCTGGCAATTAACATAAACGTTTACTAAAAAAATATCCAAAATATTTATTAAATATTATTGTTGAAGATATTAAAATGCAAAACTATAGCTTAACATAATATCTTATATACCGTCTAAAATTCATTTATTTATTCAATTACTACTATTCATCTAGCACCATTGTTACTTAAAATTCTAGTACATAGACACATATAAAAGTTACCCGACTTTTAGAATTTAAATCCATAGAAGAAAATTCATCATAGCACAAATATTTAAGCGATGATGATAAAATGGGTTTATAATAATTATTGATTCAACTAGTATATGAGCTTACAAAATAAGACATAGCAATCTATTGGATATAGCCAAGTCTCAGTGGATTGAGTTGAGTTTCTGTTTTGTTGAATTGATACACTTTTAGAAATTTGAGAGACTTGTGCCACTGAAAATTCTAAATTTATTAGTTTCTCTTTAAATTTATCTTTATTTTTAATAGGACTAAAAGGTCTTACTTCAAAACTTCTTTTGTTTCGATTGATTATTGTCACAAGAAGTTTTAAAAACAAGGGATTGCAGTGATAGCTTCTTTAGACGATTTATAGATCTGTTGCTAGATTGCAATATCTATTTTTTTTCCTTCTCTTCATTTTATTTCCATTTCTTTTTTGAGTTAGGAAGAAATATTCACACAGAGACGTATTGTACGTCGTTATATTGACTTTAAAACAATATTTAAAATGGTTAAATTAACAAGATACGAAAAGCTTCAAAAGGAACATAATGCAAAGTCCTTTAAACCTCTTTTAGATGAGTTAACAAAATGCGATTTACCAACTTTCGTAGAAAAATTACAGGCAATTCAAGAATGGGATAGAGCTAGAGACGACCTGTTTGTCTGGATACCCGTATTAAATAGAATTGATGATATCCTTTCATCGATTGTGGATAAATATTCATATAAGACCGATGATTTCATCAAGAAACCTGTTCGATTAGTGACTATGGCCGACGACGATGTGAAGTTATGTGTGGAATTATGCCAATTTAGTTGCCGTCTATTGTACAATTCCGAAAATAGATTTATTTATTCTTCAATGGATGTCATGAACAATTTATTAAACTGTCCTAATTTCAAAGTTAAACTTTCAGCCATTAAAGTTTTAGCAATCATGGGAGAAAGATACGTTGTCACTAGGGAAAAAATCGACTCGGATAACGTATTAGGAAGTTTAAACTTAAAGAAAAAAGCATTGAATTTAGCATTGGCATTACCTTCATCTACAACGGATGATGAAGGAAAACATTTTTCTCTATCTGATTTGTATTTCAAAGAGAAGAAATTCCCTTCAAAATGGTCAAAATTAAAATATAATTATTATACTTCTCATTCAGGTCATACAAAGAAACCAGCCTCAAGTCATAGTTCTACACAACACAAAGAGTTGTCATTGCCTACACCATCTATGAAAAGGCTAGTTTTAACCAAGGAAGAGCTACAAAAGTCTACAATACAACAACTGTATGACAATGCAATGGATACTTTACCGCCGGAAAATTGGTTCGATTTTTCGTTGAAAGTTGCAATTGCGAAGGCATTTAGTGACGAATCAAACGAATCCTTAAATTTAAGAAATGAAATCATAAGGGTAAAATTCAATGCTATTGCATTGGTTAATACAATTTATATTCCACCCCAAGTTAGTTCAAAACTTTTTGAAATCGATCCTTATGCCTTCAATAGTTTGAGCGAATTCATTTCCATTTCAGAAACAAAAATTTCTAAAGAAATGAGATTAGATGCGTTGTTTTCTCTTGAATGTATTTCATTGAAACATGTCTGGTGTTCTGATATCGTCAGAAACCTCGGAGGAAATATCTCACACGGTCTTCTTTTCCAAATCTTACATTATATTGCCAAGATTTTAAGGGAAGGTAGCTCTGAAGTCGATGAAGAGTATAACGTACGCATGTTTTATTTGATATCCAACCTTGCCGATGTAAAATCTTTACATGCATCGATGATTAGTGCTGGTCTAATCCAAAGTTTAATAGAAATTGTTTCTGTCAAAAAAACATCATACAAGAGATCTATGGCTTCCGCTAGCCATCTTTTGGAATTACTGATTAGTGATTCAGAATCAACATCAGAGTTTATTAACAATGATGGTTTTAATATTTTAATCAACTCAATAACAGATGAAGTTAATTTTGCATTAGAGCATCCTGAATATGGCGCACCTCCGAAGTATTCGTTGGTATATTATTCCATTTCATTTAGGCAACTTGCATATATTAGGAGTCTATTAAAGATTGTTTTAAAACTATTAAGAACAGATTCCGGTGATAGAATCAGAAACTTGATAGATTCTCCAATTCTGATTTCAATTAAAAAGATTCTTGAAAATAGACCTGTTTTCGGCTATACTTTAGTGACTCACGCACTTGATATTGTTCAGAGAGTGATAAACAGCGAGCCTACTATCTATCCAGTACTCGTAGAAGCTGGATTGATCCCTCACATTATAGAACATTTTCCAGAATACATTTGTCCAAATCCAGAATTGTTATCATTATTACCTGATTTATTATCTGCATTATGTTTAAACACGGATGGTTTAAAAAAAGTTAAAGAACATAACCTGATTCAATCATTATTGGGTGCAGTCACCAACCCCAAGCACGCCCAAATATTGTCATGGAAAGAGGAAGCAACAGATCTTGGTGCATCTGTTGATGAATTAGCAAGACATTATCCAGAATTAAAGCCAATTATATTAGAAAGTTTTTGCTCCATTGTAAAAGAATTACCTAAATGCATAAATTTTAACCAAAAATTTTTATATGATTCACCAAATGGTGCAGATTATTTTTATCGCTCGAAAACAGATGCAATTGAAGAATATGAAGAGGGTGCAACCGAATTATCATTTTGGGATGTCCAGGAATCTACATCTTTAGTAGACTGTTTTGCTGATTTATTCTATGGCATGACACTAGAAAATTCAGTTCTAGAATCACTACCAGAACGTTTACATTTTAGCGAAATTTTATCAATTGCCATAATGGAAGGACCTCCATTTGATTATACTTCTTCCCAAACTATGCTGAATTTCACTGATGTTTTACAACTATTCGATGAAAAGAACAAAGATTACGCATTTCCAGTGTTAATGAAGGAATTAGAAAATCAATTGGAAGATATAAAAGAATTCTTAACAAGCCCATTGGAATTCAGTTATATACTCCAAGCTAAGGTAGGAAGAGATAATAGCGACATTGAAGACACATTATCGAAAATGTCACGTATTGTAACCTTGTTGTACTTGATAACAGATGTATATATAAATGTGACATCCTTAACAGCAACAAGAGTACTTCAAATACTAGAATATTTCGAAAAGAATGGTTTTAAATTAATTAAAAATATAAGATTGTTATTTCAAAAGACCTCTCTAGAAGAGATGTATATCCGTGAAGTACTTCCAGACAAAGTTATCACTGATACAATGCCTGAACCACTCGGTAGTGCACCACCAATTCAAATACACGTTTCAAAACCTTCTAAGAGGGAACTAAAGGATGATTATACTTCTTCAAAAATGAAGAATACATTTGAAGTCAGATTTTTATTATCAAAGCTACAGTCGTGTTCTTCCATATTTTTCAGGTGCTTGTTAAGATTATCTCATGCCAAGAATATAGATATCGAAATTTCAGATAGAGCAATCGAAGTACATATCTTTTCTGAAGTTGTCTCTAGTTCTATTGCAATGTTAAGATCGATGAATCTAAATAAGAGAAATTTACCATTTTTCTTGGTGATGTTAAACTTCAATAGCTATATTTATTCCTTCCCGAAAACAACAATATCAGGTGGAGGTATTTTACAAACAATACCTATTTATTTGTTTTATCAAATGGGTGGTTATAAATTATATGTTGATTTGACAAAAGAGCTATTCAAAAATATTTCTCAATTTGATAATATAGAGATGATCGAAGAAATTAATTACTTGAAAAATACGGAAGAAGTCTTAACGTTAAGTTGTTTGATAAATGTTTTGACTTTCTTAAATAAATCAATACAGCTAGAAACAATGGAAAATATTAGGAGTATTGAACCATATTATCCATACTTGGATTATGATTATAATATGACAAAATCTATAATGATACCGATAAAGATACTTTCATTAGCATTGATTTTTAATTTAAACAATTATAATTTACTTTTCAACAATGAAGCTAGAAAGATACCGTATGCTGTTTTTAAACAAATCTTAACGATGTTAAAGAACATTTTTTCTGATTCAGAATTTGATTCGGAAGAATTGTTAGAATTGCACTGGGATCTAATACCTCCATCCAGTAGAAAAATCAAATTACTAACTTCATGTGGTTTATCGGAAGATGTTGCTAGAGGTTATTTGGAAGAAAATGATGATGAATTACCCCAAAATGAAAAGCCAGATTCATTTTCTGAAGCAGAATGGGAGAAATATCAAATTGTCTCAAAAAATAATATGTGGCAGCTATATCCTCCTCAAATGTTACCACAATATAAGGAGATGGCTTCTACGGAAGACTTGACCTCCATGCGAAAGCAGTTTTTTGATTCTGGTTTACAACAAAAGGTTTTTAATGTATTACCCTTTTATCCAAAGTTGGTAAATGCATTTGCAAAAACATTACTTCAAATTTATGCAGACAATCACCAACCAGAGGAATATTTTGCACAAAATGTGTTGGAAAAGATTATTAAGACAAACATTACTGATACAGCTGCTATTTCGTCTTTAATTCATCTTTTTGGTATCTTTTTGAATGAGAGGCGTGTGTATGAACAATCGAATGGTTTAATTGACCAGTTTTTGGATTATTTATTAAAATCCTTAAAACCTGATCAAGCGAATAGCATTTGGTTTTCTAAGGCTTTGTATGTATACGAGATTATTCTAGCAAAATCAGAAGTTCCAGATGTGGTTAAATTGCCTAATGATATTAAATTGACCGACGATTTACCTACCTTTTTCCCTGTATATAGGATTCCATATGAGATAAAAAAGCAGGTATTCCATACTCTTATAAGAGTCAGCGATATATCGAACTTTTATTCAGCTTTGGCAACTTGTAGAATTTTGATTTTATATGCAAGAGACAATGAATTTGGGAATGAAATTATTAGATCAGGTATTTTGTCTGAATTACTAAAATCTATTGGGGTTCATCAGAAATCGGATAAGATTAACTTTTTGGAGTCTTCATTCATTTTATTACTAAGAAGATGCTTTGAAACTGACAAAATTGTTAAGGATTTGATAAGTTACGAGTTGAATAAAAGTTTTACAACAAGAGCTATAGGTGAAAATAAAGAAAAAGAACGTGAACTAAATGGTTTGATTGATGAGAAACCACACGTCGTCATGAGGAATCCTGAAAGTTATACAAACCTCTTATGTGGCATGGCAAAGTTTGTAGATTTCGACTCTTCTGATTCTTTGAACACATTGGTAATGAAAAGAGACATCTCAGGTAGTGAAAAAGATACTCCACAAGACGTAAAAAAATCCGAAGGTGAGAATTATCAAAAAAGAACGGGTATTGTACACATGCTACTGTCTCAGTTGATGGCAGCATCTAGAAAAGACTGGTTGTCAGAACCCGGATCTAAATTACCAGAGAATAAAGATAAAAAATTGGTTGATAAAGTCGATCCTGCAAAGAATCCAGTTTGTGCATATATGATGTTTTTACTTAAAGTTTTAGTTGAACTGGTTAGTAGTTATAAGAAGTGCAAATTCGAATTTTTAACCTATGATAGAAGAAATTCTTATTCCGAATTTCCAAAACCTAGATCTACTGCTATAAATTTTTTCCTATATGAATTATTAGATAAGACTCCCAACCCAGAACAGAATAAATATGAAAGCAAACGAAGAGAAGTCATCAGTTTATTGGCTCGTTCAGTTCTTGTTGGGTTTATAGCTAGTGTACAGGATTCAAGTATTAAAGCCAATGACCCTAAGGAAATCGACCCTGATATGAACTTCATTAGGAAATGCACCATAGAATCATTGATGAAAGCTTTAAAACAAAATACATCATCAGCTAAACTAATCGAATCAAATGTAAGCAAACTTGATTGTTGGTTTAAGATAATTTCATCTATGGTATTTGTTCAAGCTCCTTACTTGAGGCTCATTTTAGATTCAAATAAGATTGACGCAGATCAATATCAAATGTGCAAGTTAATGATAGAAATGAATGTCCCAAGCGTAATTACTGAGTGTATGGCTAATATTGAAATTAATTATCCATTTTCAAAAAAACTATTTAATAATGCAGTCGATCCATTTAATGCTATTAACTCAGTTAGAAATAGCTTCTCAGAGTTGTTCAAGATAGAAATTAATGATGATGAGGATGTGGTTGAGGAAGAATCAGATAAAGAGGATGCTCCAAACATGTTTAAAAATTCTTCTTTAGGTATGTATGATGTTGAGGATATCGAAGAGGATGATGATGACGAGTCCTTAATTGGAGATGACGAGGATATTGCATTTGTTGATGGAGAGGATGGAGAATATGAAGTAGTTTTTAGTGATGACGACGATGAAGATGACGACGAAGATGGTGATGGCAATTCCCATTCTGTAGATTTAGATCTAGTTAATGGAAGAGAAGATAGAAATGTATCTTATGAAGTTGCTGGAGCAGATGGTATTGCGGTAGAGATAGCAACTGATTCATCTTTTGAATCGGATTATGATGAGGACATGCAATCCGGAGAAGATGTAGAAGAACATTATTACTCGGATAATGATGATGGTATTGACGTAATTGATGTTGATGAATCATCCTATTCTTCAGACTTGGACATTGAACTCAGTGATTATAATGTAGACGAGTCTGATTGGGAATCTGGATTATCCGATTTATCTGATTCTCAGGATGATGAAGATGAGGATGAAGATATTGATTCCGAAAGTAATGGCTTTAATAGAATGAACGGAATTAGAAGACATTGGGTAACCGACGATGGTGTTGATATTATCGAATCTCCATCTGATGATGATGGGTCTACTGGTGTATTCCAGGGAATCGAACATGTGTTCCATAATGAAGATCAACCACTCTTTAGAGTTCAAGGTGGTAGAAGCAACAGTCGTCACAATAATAGAGTTTTGAATAGAAATTTTGGTCATTCTTCCTTTGGGCCACCATCATTGACTTTATTGAATGTTGGGCGTCGTCACCAAAGCAATTTGATAAATCCTTTAGGTCCTAGTGGTTTAGAAGAAGTCGAAAATGATATTTCAGATCAATTGATAAGTGTCGGTTCTGGACTACGTCCTAGAAATGAGCCTCATCACTTTGCTGGCGTTCTATTCTCTGGAGAGTCATTTGATGAGCGTACTCCAGATGGTATAGTTTTGAAACCATCTGTGTCAAGATGGAAGGATATTTTCGATATGTTTTACGATTCTAAATGGTATGTGAAAAATATTATACCTTCAATTATTTCAAGAACTTATCATGGAAGCTTAGGAAATTCCAAGAAGAAGAATACAACAGAACCTAAGATTAAAAAACACGGTGTGAAAAGGACTCATTATGAAGTTTTACCTGCAGAGGATGAAAGTTCTAATAGCGAAGAAATTTTATCCGATGATATTGATGATGATTCGAATGCTTCAGAAAATGAACTAGTTGAAGGAGAGAGGTCAGGAGACACAGAAAATTCTGTAAACAGGGCAGCTGAGAATGCTGTTGCTCCCGAACCTGTTTTTGTCACAATAAATGGAACTCAAGTTAATATTGCTGGTACAGACATCGATCCTGATTTTTTGAATGCTCTACCCGAGGACATGAGAGAAGAGGTATTTACTCAGCATATACGCGAACGTAGAGCAGAAGCTTTGTATAACGACTTAGACTCGAGAGAAATTGATTCAACATTTTTAGATGCAATTCCTCAAAATATGAGGGACGAAATTTTAGAGCAAGAAGCTGCAGAATCCAGAGTATCTAGTATGATCAGAACTATAAACAATAATGTAAGATCCACTTTGCAGGACAGTGCGTCTATTAGCAATACTGCTATTATGGAGGATAATTCATTAGTGAACGAGGAGGAAAATGAGAATGATAATTCCACCTCCCATGAAGATAACAAAACAGATGTAGAGAAACGTAAATCTTCTAGAATGTATTTTTCACCGTTGGTTGACAGAGCTGGTGTGGCTGCTTTGATGAAATCAGTATTTATTTCTCAGCCATATGTACAAAGAGAAGCATACCACGAATTGTTTTATAGATTATGTTCCAGCAAGCAAACTAGAAGTGATATCATCAATATGCTTCTAATAATTTTAACTGAAGGAATAATCGACCATCATTCTTTAGAAAAGGTTTATAACTTAATTTCTTCAAGAGCTTTAGGAATCCAGGCCAAACCCCAAGTATCTCACCAAACAACCAGACATTTACCTCCAGATTGCACACCACTTGTGGTAGCTAATCAATCGATTGAAATTCTACAAAGTTTAATTGAAGCTGACAGCAGATTAAAATTCTACTTTATCACAGAACATGATAATTTATCTTTAAGCAAACCTCAATTTAAAAATAAAAAGGATATTTTTAGCAAAAACATGAAATGGCCTATTAAAAATCTCTTAATAATGCTAAATCGAAAAATCATTACTGATGAGACTGTTTTGATGGATTTATTGACAAGAGTTTTACAAGTCTGTACAAAGCCAATACTTACATTGAATAAGCCAATTGATGAGAAAAATGCTTCGAGAAAAAAATTCCAAATTCCAGAATTTGATATAGATGAACTAAAGATGATTGTATCAATAATTAAACTCGAAAGTTGTAATACTAAGGTTTTTCAACAGACCTTAAACATTATGTACAATTTATCCGCTGTATCCGATGCTGTTAATGTGTTTACAGAAGAACTTATTTCTTTGGCATTGGAGACGGTAGATGCCTTGGTTCCAGATTTAAATAAACTATCTGACAATCAAATTGAAGTTAGTAATGGAAATGAGATTAATTCTGAATTAATACAAAAATTTACGATCCCAAGTTCCGATCAAGCAAAATTATTGAAGATCTTAACAGCAGTGGATTATTTACATACTCATAAAACTAAAGAGGATGCTATTGACGTTCTGAAGCTGATGTCGTTATACAATAGGATGCAATTAGGTAAATTATGGTCCTCATTAAGCCAATGTTTAACAAAATTAGAAGAACAAAAGGTTACTAGAACATCTGCTACTATACTATTACCTTTAATAGAATCGTTAATGGTTGTATGCAAACATAGTAAGTCTTTACATGATGGATCAAAAAGTGCAATTTTGAAATTAGAAGAAGAGAACAAACTTGATTTTGACTCACTTCCAGTCGAAAGCTTATTCTTTCCCTTTACCGATTTACACAGAAAATTGCTGAATCAAATGATCAGATCAAATCCTAAATTAATGAGTGGTCCATTTTCTTTACTTGTAAAGAATCCTAAAGTTTTAGATTTTGATAATAAGAGATATTATTTTGTTGCAAAAATTCGTTCAGAATCTCAAGAACATCCTAAATTATCTATAACTGTTCGTCGTGACCAGGTATTTTTGGATTCCTATAGATCATTATTCTTCAAATCAAATGAAGAAATTAAAAATTCAAAATTAGAAATTGTTTTTAAAGGTGAGAGCGGTGTTGATGCTGGTGGGTTGACAAGAGAGTGGTACCAAGTTCTTTCTCGTCAAATGTTTAACCCTGATTATGCTTTATTTATCCCAGTCGCCTCAGATACAACTACTTTTAGACCAAATCGTACTTCCGGTATTAATCCAGAGCATTGTTCATTTTTCAAATTTATTGGTATGATCATTGGTAAAGCTATCCGTGATCAATGTTATTTAGATTGCCATTTCAGCAGAGAGGTTTATAAGAATATTCTCGGGAAGTCCGTTTCACTTAAGGATATGGAATCTCTAGATTTGGATTATTACAAATCATTAATATGGATAATCGAAAATGATATTACCGATATCATTGAAGAAACTTTTTCTGTAGAAACTGATGATTACGGTGAGCATAAGATAATTGACCTTATCAAGGATGGTCGTAATATTGCCGTTACAGAGGAAAATAAACAAGAATACGTACAAAAGATTGTGGAATATAAACTTCAAACATCAGTTAATGAACAAATGGAAAATTTCTTACAAGGTTTTTATGCTTTGATTCCAAAAGACTTAATTTCTATTTTTGACGAACAGGAATTGGAACTTCTAATTAGCGGTTTGCCTGATATTGATGTAGATGATTGGAAGAGTAACTCTACATATGTTAACTACACTTCCTCCTGCAAACAAATCAACTATTTTTGGAGAGCTGTCAAATCATTTGACCAAGAAGAAAGAGTTAAACTGCTTCAATTCGTCACCGGTACAAGTAAGGTACCACTAAATGGTTTTAAGGAACTAGCTGGTGTCAATGGTGTATGTAAATTTTCCATCCATAAGGATTATGGCGCAATTGACAGGCTTCCTACTTCACATACTTGTTTTAACCAATTGGACTTGCCTGCCTATAATTCATACGAGACTTTAAGAAGATTTTTGTTGCTTGCTATCAGCGAAGGTTACGAAGGTTTTGGTATTGCATGATTCATAGATATACCTAAACTTATCTCTTTTTGAGAGCGTAATTAATAAATGAACAATATATTTTATTAAATAAATTTTTTTTAGTTCTATAAATTAATTTCATTAAGGGAAAACATAGTTGATCGATTGATTTCATTTCACCCACCTTTGTTTTTAGGAAAGAAGGACTCTTACGATGTGATTGCTATCGGATATATAAATAAATAAAAAATGCTGGCTAGCACGAGCATTGTCTATTTTTTAATACATGATGAAAATACTTTCTTATCATTGAACTGAAGGATTTCATTTTAATATGATTTTATTGAAGTTTAAGAACTATGACAATATTAATTCAGATAATTATCTAGTGATATTATTCATATAGTAATTTCTCTATAGATTCTAGAAATAAAGGTCCAAGCAATAGGGGATTAAAAAAGGTTATTGATTTAGCAATATACACTCAATTTATGTCAGCAAAAGAATTTAGAAAAATAAACTAATAGCCATTGGCTTATTACAAGAAAGTAAAAATGATTTAGTAAAATGAACAGTGTGAGAAACATAGTACATAACGTTTTACTTGATATCGAGCTAGTACAAGAATAGTTTCTTCTTTTTTTTAAAATCGTATCCATTGCAATATATATCATTAAAGTTAAAATTATCTAATCAAATACACCGTCTAATATAAGATATCATATCGATTGTTTTATCCCCTTCGCAAAGATCCAAAACGAATAAATGCATTATAACTGTTACATAATATTAGATTCGTCACCAATGTCAACCCATCTCCAGCGTGTAATTATTTCTCCATGTATCTCCATTTGTTCTGTATCGACATTTTTGTAATCTTTTTCCAGTCTTGCACATATTTGTTTCCACATTTGATTTTGATGTTTTAAATCTGTTGTTTCATCAAATATCAATGCTCTTAATTGTCCTGTAGTGAGAGTATTGTATTCTTTTTCGTCACTATGTTTCTTTAATTCTAGTAAAAGAATCTGAATAGCATCTTCAATATTGGACTTTTCTGACACGTAATAAGAGAAATACTTTCTAGCTTTATTTATAAGAAGTAAAAATAATGTTACACCAACCAAAATCCCACTTACTTTTAATCCTAAATCAATCATATTTTTTTCTAATCTGCAAGATAAATTTAAGTATTTCCCTGATGTTGATCTTAGAATACCTGTAAAATAATTACTCACATCATTGGAATGAATATTATTTGCATTCATGTTTCTAATCCAGATAACATCTGGTATTTTCTTCAAATTTGTAATGACTTCTTTCCACATCTCATCAAACTCCTTCTTGTTCAGCCAGGAATATTTATTTTGGCGGAATAAATTATAGAGTTCTACAACACGAATGCCACTTGCTAAATCATCATTACTACTACCGCATTGATAGACGGCATTTTTTTTTCTGATTATAGCCAATGCATTTCTAACAATCTTGTTCCGTATTTTTTCCATTTTAGTATCTCTGATACACTCACCACTAATAGGAATTAATCCAAATAAACTTAATGGATTATTTGCCAATAAATAGTTTTCATTACAATCCAACCTCATCAATGAGTGACATTTACCGTTTTCAGGACAAGGAATGCATTGTGGTTTGTAATTTTCCAAAAATGATTTAACTTTAGTTGCCATTTGGTTGGATTCTAATAAGGTGTCAACTGCTAGTTTTCTTTCAACTTCATGTCCACAATAACCAACTAAAATTCTTTGTTCACGATACCAAAGGGTGAACCCAATTGTAGCTATTATTGAAAGAAAAATTGTAATATCAAAAATAAATTTAGTTACTGATTTCAATTTTGAATTATTAAGAAAGTTCTTAATCTTTTTTACTGTTTTTTTTTCTGGTATAGTATTGATTTCGAAAGGAGTACTTGTTTTCATTGTTAGTTCATTTTTTTCTAAGCTAGTAGAATCATTAAGTAACAATTCTTCGTAACCACTCGATTCTGTAATTTCATTATTTATTGGATTTGAATTCTGCGATTGTTGCGAATTATTTTCGGAATTTGTTTCGTCAAACAGAGTCTTGATAGTTTTGTTATCTTTAGATTGTTTTAATTTTGCGATATCTAGTGGGACATTTCTCTTTCTTTGACTAACAGTTAAAGAAATATCTTTAATTTTTCTATTAATTTCTTCACTTCTTAATTTTTCACTTTTTGATAAAACCTCTTGACTTTCTCTTATAGATACAACATGTTCCTTTGTATCTGTTGTTCCAGTTTTCCTCTTTTTTGTCTTTTTTTTCACCTGTATACCATTATCTGACGTGATACTTAGATCTGCACCCATTGATTTCGAAGCCAATTTGTTGACAGCATCATCTATACCTTTCTTTCTTTTTCTTGATGTTTCACTCTTTGTAGAGACAGTATCAACGTTACTGGATTCTGATAAAACAGAATATGGCGAAGCTGAATCAAAATCTCCTACTATAACTAAATCATCATCATTATTATTTCCAACACCCGCCAGTTTTGTATCTGTTTCGGAGTCATGCTTAGAGGACCGTCCATTGTTTGATTTAACAAAAATAATACCTTCAGAACTTGGTTCAATTTTCTTGTACTTTTCTCTAATATGTAAGATTCTTGGTCTTACAAATTGTTCAAATAATTTTACCAATTGATGTTTTCTTGAATTAGCAGCGAATTCAATCTGGTTCTCCACCAAAATTCTTCTAAGATGAGATACTTTGGTAGTCTTTGGATCAAAACCTTCTTCCCAATATCTAATCATGATGTCTCAATTATCTATCACTCAAGATCTCTTTTATTTTACCTTTTGCTTCTGGTTTAATTTGAGGCCTGTTCAAATCCACACGAAACTTGGTAACTGGAAAAACCCACACTTTGATAGTCCACCGAAACAATATCACTCACAAATAGCTAGAGTGTCCAAAGCTATTCATGCACATCTTGTGTGTTATAGTGATGATAATGTTAATATACACAAAATTCGATGACCTTTAAAAGTTTGGTTAGTTCTGATCTTTTGCAAAACCTTTAAAAAGAGAGTTGAAAAGAATAATATGAGCACGTGATCATATATGATCATGTGATCTGAATGAATACTCACGTGATATCGGCGGCACCCCTTTCCCTCACTATGAATACCAAATCGACAAACTACAGATAAAAGACATGTGAATGTATTTATCCATCTTACCAACCACTTTGAATATACCCACCTGTCACAGCTGTTAAAACCTTTAGTGCGATTGACAGCAGCACAAAAAGATACCCAACATATTAATTAGCGTTCATTGTCACTTCTGCTTCAAAACCTGTATTACTATTGCACCCCTTCTCAAATATTATTTGTAATCCATTGTCATTATAACATAAATATCTTGATAATGGTTTACATTGTCGTGGTGATGTGAAGCTATTGAAAGCCTTACTGATCAAAGTATTATCCTTATATACTTCAACTTTAACTTGAACTTTACCATAACTATTGATTGGAAACTATAACAATTGATATATTGTGAATGTTTGTGTAGTTACCCTGATTGTACGTTTGTTCTACGGGTGTCTCTGAGAAATCTTTCCTTTTTTTTCTGATATCGAAATTTTCAATATTGAAATTTTTCAGTTTCACCAAAGTGCCAAATTATCACATCGAACCATCCATCGATGGTATGAAGAAGATATTAGATACCATCAAATTGATCATTAGATCGTTTGTTTTATAGCTGAGATACAAAGAGATCTTTGGTTCAGAATGTCATTGTTCCCAGTCCAGCCATCGTAAGGAATATATTTACCAATTTTTGTAGCTTCTAGAAGGCAAATATCATTTACTGAGGTGTCCTTTTTTTAAAATTATTCTCTTTTTATTTTGGTTTATAGAGAGTATTTGAATATTAAACTCATACTACCAAGCTTGAATAGAGTTTTGAAACAGATATTTAATTTTCATTTTGGTTTTTATTTGGCTTTCGTTTGATTTTTTTTCCCCAAGAGATGAATGTTGGTAAAACTTCTCAGGATTTTTCTCTGTTGTCTTTAGAGACTACTCCTTCTCATGACGGTGTTGATCCAAATAGCTCTGGGTTATTCGTAGACGTCGATCCTTCTGAGTCTATGAGTTTCCATGATTCAAGTAATAGCATCAACGGTGTTCCAGTGGCTAGATCCAATAGTTCTGCCCATTTCTCTTACAGGGAAAATAGACAAATTATTGAAGATGGTTCAAAAAAAATTGCATTGAATGAAAATATTCATAATGGTGACTGTGCAATTTTTGAACAGCCTTCTCATGATTCAAACCATGGGAACCATGGTAATAACAGCACCTCTATTAAATCCAGAACTTTGTCTGCAAGTGCTTCAAGAAATGTCCCAGACTTGCCAAAAAGTAACAATAATACTAACAAGTCTTATAACGATTATAAAATGGGTGTATTGGCCGATGACGCTTCCCAGCAATTTTTAGACGACCCTTCCCCAGAATTAATCGAATTATATTCAAATGTAGCCGAATGTAGAGCCGTCAGAGATAAGTACCAAACGTTGTCCTTTCAAAAAAATAGCCAAAACCCAAAAAATTCAACGGCCTGGAATATTTACCCACCACCACCAAAACCTTCTTATGATCCTGAAACTAAAACTGTATCAACTGTCATTAACTTCCCAGATTCAGAAGTATTCGATATTAATAAATGTGAAATTCCAGGTGAAGATAAAGAATGGGATTTCAAATTGAATTCTGACGATTCTTATATTGTACATAAATCTGATAATGACCAAGAAGTGATTGCTGAAATTCCAACTTTACGTGATTATTATTTGGATTTGGATAAAATGGTGTCCATCTCGTCTGATGGTCCTGCAAAATCATTTGCTTTCAGAAGATTACAATATTTAGAAGCTCGTTGGAATTTGTATTACTTACTAAATGAATACCAAGAAACAAATGTTTCAAAAAGGAACCCTCACAGAGATTTTTATAATGTCAGAAAAGTTGACACTCACGTTCACCATTCTGCTTGCATGAATCAAAAACATTTATTGCGTTTCATTAAATACAAATTGAGACATTCAAAAGATGAAAAAGTTATTTTCAGAGATGGTAAAGTCTTATGCTTATCTGAGGTATTCCAATCTTTGAATTTAACCGGTTACGACCTATCAATTGATACGTTGGATATGCATGCTCATAAAGATACTTTCCATAGATTTGATAAATTTAATTTAAAGTATAATCCAATCGGTGAATCTCGTTTAAGAGAAATTTTTTTGAAAACTGATAATTATATTAAAGGTACCTACTTGGCAGAAATTACTAAGCAAGTCATGTCAGATTTAGAAAATTCGAAATATCAAAATTGTGAATATAGAATTTCGATTTACGGTAGATCCATAGATGAATGGGACAATTTAGCAGCATGGATAATTGACAATAAAGTCTTATCTCATAATGTCCGTTGGCTAATTCAAGTCCCACGTCTTTATGATGTTTATAGAAGAAGTGGTATTGTTCAAAATTTCCAAAATATTTGTAAGAATTTATTTCAACCATTATTTGAAGTTACAAAAAATCCCCAATCTCATCCAAAATTGCATTTATTCTTACAAAGGGTTATAGGTTTTGATTCTGTTGATGATGAATCAAAAGTTGACCGTCGTTTCCATAAAAAATACCCAATTCCATCACTATGGGATGCAGCTCAAAACCCGCCATATTCCTATTATTTATATTACTTATATTCCAGTTTGGCTTCATTAAATCAATGGAGAGCTAAAAGAGGATTCAATACTTTTGTTTTACGTCCTCATTGTGGTGAAGCTGGTGATCCTGAACATTTGGTTTCTGCTTATATGCTGGCTCAATCCATTTCTCACGGTATTTTATTAAGAAAAGTCCCATTCGTTCAATACTTGTATTATTTAGATCAAGTCGGTATTGCTATGTCACCATTATCTAATAATGCATTATTTTTAACTTACGATAAAAATCCATTCCCACATTACTTCAAGAGAGGTTTAAATGTCTCATTATCTACAGATGATCCATTGCAATTTTCATATACTAGAGAACCATTAATCGAAGAATATTCTGTTGCAGCACAAATTTATAAATTATCTAATGTGGACATGTGTGAATTAGCCAGAAATTCAGTCTTACAAAGTGGTTGGGAAGCAAGTATTAAAAGACATTGGATAGGTGAAAATTTTGAAAAGAATGGTGTTGATGGTAATAGCGTTGGAAAGACAAATGTTCCTGACATTAGAATTAATTATAGATGGGATACATTATCAACAGAACTAGAACTTGTTAACCATTTTGCACAATTCAATCAAAAATAATAATCCAAATTATCGAATAATTTCAGTATTTTGTAATCATATATTTTTACGTAGATTCATTTATAAATAAACCAACTTTAAATATAAAATAATAATTTAATTAATAAGTTAATAAGTTAATCAATCTTTATTTCTATCCCTTTGTTTCCAACTTCAGTGTTTTTTTACTTGTCTATTGCTGTCATTATATGTTTAGATAGTACCATGAAATTTGTATGTAACTGGCTTTTTAATTTTAAAGGACATGAAAAATTACTTAGTATAATAAATCTAAGCTATAAAACAAGAGCCAACAAAGTAAAATAAGAGGTTTACATTATTCAGGAAAAGAAGTGGCAACCTGTAATATAACAAAGACTATCAGCTAAACAGTATGTAATGAGTACCAGTTTGTAGTACAGTTTTTGGGAATGATTTCTTAAAGATAGATTTAATTTACTAACAAATTCTGATTTCAAATTTGATATAGTGGATGATTATGATGATAATAAGGATATGTGTCCTATCTGTAAGACAGATAGATATCTATCTCCAGATGTTAAGTTCTTAGTTAATCCTGAGTGTTACCATAAGATTTGTGAATCTTGTGTCGATCGTATTTTCAGTTTAGGTCCAGCACAATGTCCATATAAGAGGTGTGACAAAATTTTAAGAAAGAATAAGTTCAAGACTCAAGTATTCGATGATGTTGGTGTTGAAAAAGAAGTTGATATCAGGAAACGTGTGTTCAATGTTTTTAATAAGACTTTAGAAGATTTTGATGGGAATTTAGAGGAATTTAACAAATATCTTGAAGAGATGGAAGATATAGTTTACAATTTAGATCACGGTGTTGATGTTGAAAGGACAGAGGAAAAGTTACGAACATATGAAGAACTTAACAGACAATTGATTATAAATAATATCGAGAGAAGCAAACAAGAATTACAGAATTTTGAACAGAAGCAACAATTTGAGAAAGAAATGAAATTGAAGAAAAGACTACTAGAGAAACAGATTGCAGAAGAAGACAGATTCAATAAAGAATGGGCTAAAAAGGAAATTGTCAATAGATTAGCCACAAGTGAGAATGCAGATGAAGTTATAGAAGGTGTTAAGAATACAGTTAGATTAAAGAAATCATCTGCCCGTAGAAAGTTAGAAGAGATAAACAGGGTATTAAAGAATAATCCATATTTAGCCTCAACAGCTGGAGCAGCAGGTAGAAAAAAGAATGCTATACCATTAACACCATTTAACGGTGACAGAGATCTATCTAAACGCTATACATTGGCCGAATCATTATATAGTGATCCATTTATCAAAGACTTACAAAATAGAAAAGAATATATTGCATCTGGGTTCAGAACTGATTTTGTATATGACAGAGTGTTAACTGAGGCGTTCATGGGGCTGGGATGTGTAATAGGGGAAGAATTACAAACCTCTTAATTGAATTGCGCTGATCAATGCCTGTGAGAATTCTGCATTTGTAGTTGGATGGAAATTTTTATCCAATTTGTATACCTGAATATAAAATATTTAGTTCATTTACCATAAAAGAACATATAATAAAACGTTAGTATTATAGAAATTAACTTCCACAAATATTAATATGGCGCAATCAATGGCTAGTCTCTTATTTTGTGAACTGCCATTATTATAAAGTTTGTATACGTACTTTTCTGATTAATTCCTCATTTTTAGTAGCTTGCAAAGTTTCATCATCAAATGAAACTTGATCACCTTTAATAATATCTGGAAATTCTGGATCATTATCTTGGTCATCTTCGGTATCCTTTATTTTTATTACAATTATTTCCTTTGACTCATCTTTAATACCAAATCTTTTAAAAGCTTCACCAATGTTAGAACTTGGTGCTAAGCACAATAAACATTCAGAATGCAATGTTTTTGTTCTCAACCTATTGTAAGTACTTTCCACTATGGCTCTGTAGATGGCAGAATACAGTTGCTCTATAGAGCAAACCATAGTTGCATCTACCAAGGCATAAGGGAGCTCTGCAATTTTTAATTTAACATCACTCGTATTACTGACATTATGGAATAATGATACTGAGATTTCGTATCTTTGAAATTGTGGGAACTTGAAGACAGTCATGAAGAATTGATGATCCGGGACTCCAGTTTGGCTACCTTTCGATATGTAACAATATTTAGGTTTAAATAAACTTATCAGTGGTTATCAACTTCTTTTTTTCAATATCGAATTTTCAAAACCATCTTCTCTTTTTAAAAAGCAGATGAAAAACTTTGAAATATTCCAATTTTTAAGAAATTTCTACTATATTCCTATCCTGCTTAAACTTCAACTCTAGTAAATCAATTAGCAAGATCTATTTCATTTACAAATACTCTAAGCTCATCAACAAAATGATTCAACGGCCAATGCCAATACTTTTATGAATCATCAAGAAATAACGATAACTAAAACTACAAAAGATATGAAACTACTAATATACACACATGCAATGGCTCTGCTCCCCATATCAAGTCCTCGACAACCATTTCTTGGGATTGTATACCTAAATATCATTCTTATTTCAGTCTTATGCCTTTAAAGCTCATTGATTTTAAACAAAGTTTGACCTTTCCAACTTTTAAATAATCAGAAAATTTTTAGTTACCCGGAACCAGATTTTGTAGTTTTTCCGTCTTTTCTCGGAATTTTTACTTTTTTCCGTGTATCACGTGAGTTCTTTTTAGATCGGGTTTTAAGCAAAAACAAAATTGAAAAGATTTCGAAGTTAAAAAGACCAATTGAATGAACTGTTGAAGTTATTACAACAGATTGGTTAAGTTTGTTACGTTCTGCATAGGAAGACACCTCATTAGATTGAGAACTTGTTGTAGTGTTGAAATATTGATTTCCAAGTATATATACCTATAACCTTTACCAACAAGAGATGTCATTTTTAGTTCAAAATAGCGTTGCTGCTTGCAGAGTTCGTAATGTTAGTGGAAGTGTAGTTAATGCTAGTATCATCTTTACTAGAGGTAAGAGAACCAAGAATAATAGTGGTTTGAGTGCCACTGAACAAAGAGTAATCACTCAATTGAGTGTTATGTCTGCAAGCAGGAAACAACCGAAATTATTGAAATTGTGCCGTGAGGATTTGATTAAGCATCAAACTATCCAACGTAGTTGGGCTTTGTATCAACAAGATTTACGTAATAAACGTGAATTACAATTGAAACAGCAATATGAAAATATTAAGCTTGCAATGGATACTTTGAAAAACACATCTCCTGAACTTTATGAAATAGCAAATAAATCTGAAGAAGGTAGAAAATTTCCATTAGAAATGAAAATTCCTTCTGATTTCCCTGCAAAAAAGATTTGGCATTACACTTTTAGAAAGTGATTTTTAAACAATATTCAATCATGTACATATCAGAATAAACAATTATTCTATAATTTTATGTAAATTTAAAGTTAGATACTTAACTTAACTTAACTTTTAACTTACGTTCCACTGGCTCTTCCCATTTTTCCATATAGCCTGGGAACTGATAGTTAAAATAAATAATATTTCATATACCTTAGATACAACTAATCAATAAATCATTGATTCATTAACTCCTCACAACCATCATTAAACCGTATACGTTCTATCATTATATCTGTTTTTTCATCACTTATTTTAGAATCTTGGCCTTTTAACCTCTAAAATTTATTATTTCCTGCATCTATTTCTCCATTTAATATTATATGCGTGGCAGTTTCGAATCGAAATAATGAAAGTTTTATATAAGAACTAACTTGAACTTCAGTTTAATTTAAAGTTTATTGTGTTATTTATAAGAGGTCTATCTCTATTGATTCTCCAATCTAATAATCACATTTATTTATATATATAAATATTAGTTCCTATCTTTTCAACTCAGCTGAAGAATTATTGATAAAAGTAGTCCAAGTTTAATTTTAATTAATTAATTTTGCTAAAAGATATTTGAATACATCTTTCTGTCCAATTCTATTTTATTATAATCATACAGAGACACAATTGAATCTTCTGTTTCTTAAGGTTTAATAAAAAGTAACAGGGTCGATATAGCTGTTTTATTTTTAATTCCTTAGTGTTAACTTCGCTGGCGATAGTTGTTATGGCAAGACATCTGGTAACATTGATCTTAGAATGGTATTTCTGCTCAATTAGTTTGTCATTGTACAATAAATGGATGTTTGATCCAAATAAAGGGATCTATGTACCGTATCCTATATTAATTACTTGTTTTCATCAATTCACATTATACATACTTTCAATGGTCTTCATAAAATTAAAAGGTATCAAGAAGAAGACTAATAAAAAAGCAGGTACTACCAAGAATATTGACTGGGGGTTTTGGTTCAAGTTTATTTTACCAACTGCAATTGCATCCGCTGGTGATATTGGTTTATCCAATGTTTCCTTTAAATTTGTGCCTTTAACCATATACACAATTTTAAAATCTGCTAGTATTGTATTCGTTTTATTATTTGGTTGTCTGTTTAGAATCGAAAGATATCATTGGAAACTATCTTTGGTCACCTTAGGTATGTGTTTGGGTGTATTTCTAATGGTATACAATCCAGACTTGACTTCCAAGGAGTCGTATAAAAATTCCACGGATCCAGAAACAATAGCCTTTGGTTCAATGTTAGTACTAATTACAAGTTGTTTGTCAGGTTTTAGATGGGTTTGCACTCAAATAATTCTAAAGCACACTACTAAATCTACTAAAAAATCAAATCGTAAGCATTCAAGCAGCAAAAATTATTCCAAATCTAAGAAACAACATCCAATATTAACCATTAGACAAATGTCACCAATCGTTGGTACAGTTCTTTTGATAACATCGCTAATAATTGAAAAGCCATTCCCTGACTTTTTCCACCTAAGATTATTTCAAAACGGTTTGGCTGAAAACAACATACCAGATGTCCCAATATATGATTCTTGGTCAATATTTAAAGGTGTTGTACTTTTAATAATACCAGGAATAGAAGTATTTGCAATGACATTATGTGAATTTAGCATCTTACAAATTTCTCAAGTTCTAACATTATCTATAGCAGGCATTGCCAAAGAAGTTCTTACTGTGTTGCTAAGTATGTTGGTATTGGGAGAAAGAATTCATGGAATACAAGGATACATCGGTATGTGCATAATTCTATTAGACGTTCTCTATTATAATTACTTTAGATTCACTCAGAACAAACATTCAAAGAAAGAAAAATTGTCAGTTGATGACAGTAAACTATAATACGACAGCAGCGTATTTCCTTTCCATAGCCTAAAATTGATAGAAGGACATTTATCAACATAGTGATCAAGTTATATTATCATTTCATCTACACTAATTTTCAAGATATTTTGTTGTATTTTAAACAGAATTATAAATAATAACAAATAACAAATACCACTACATTTTTATAGAGAATCATAAATCCATCGATAATGATCTACCTACTGGTTTCAAAAACAAACTTCACTGGATAGCATCTCCTCTATCATTAATCAATAGATCTGTATGTCAGTGTATCTATCTGTTATATATAGTCGTTCTCATTATTATATTATATCACTACTTCTTAACTATGTACCATAATAAAACCAACTTAAAAAATGTTATCACGTGATACTGCACGTGACACTGCACGTGACAATTTCTATTTTTGTCAAATTATGCTCAGAATTTCAAATTTTTCTCTAGGCTCAAACAAGAGAGAAGCATCATCAATATCATAAAGATATTTAATGATAAGTGTTCAGATGAGGATGATGATGACTATATTTATTGATGTCTTTTGACCAAACTTATCTATAACGGTAGTGAATCAATCAGATTGTGGGCTGGTAATTTGTCGGTGTGTATGTGTATCACTGTGTTCAGGTTTTAAGAGAATTCAGATTCAAAGAAAGTTCAAAATAGGAAAAAATAACACATATTACAAGAAAAAAATAGAAAAAAAATCATATTTTAGTAGTAAAAACCCACCCTCATCACAGATTCAGTTTTATTTACTTATTAATAAGAACTATATCAGAAACTGCTATTTTTCTAGTCCTCTTTTAAGAATAGATTTCTAAGATACATTCTTTCTCATTGCATTTTGGTATATTAAGATAAAAGTTTGTGTCTTTTACTCTGCTCTTGGATATTTTAATACAAAAAGAATTCTATACCAATTCCAAATAAAGGAAATCTCTATTTTATTCACAAGCAAGTTTTGTTGGGATTAATGAATTTAGGATATTCTTCTGATTCTCAAAGCATGTATAATAAAGAACAACAGGAATCTCCTGTATGGAAAAATTCTTCCAATGGTAACTTATCTTCTAGGTTACACAACGGACCAAATTCAAATTTGGATAGAGTTATATTATCCGAAAAATCAGGAACTTCTTCACCTCAAGATTTTGAATTGAAAAATGCTTCGAGATCTGAAGAACTACGAGCCCCAACCATGGCTTCTCATCTACATGCTTCTTTGACTCCAGATGACGGTTTTGCAAGAACTGTGGCAGTGCATAATGAATTTAGAAGTGTTACTGGATTAGTTTATCCTCCTGGTGAAGAAAGTAAAAAAGAGAAGGATTTAAGAATTAGGTTGAATTTAACATCTCCTGCTTCTTTACCTCATACTCCTTCTACTATGAGTTCCTTAACTCCTCGAAGTACGTCTATTTCTTCAATAAACAGATCGAACACTCTAAGTACTTCATCAAGAGGTCCAACTACAACTAATAAGAAACTTGATAGTAAGAATGATGGAGAATTTGTATGTCATTATTGTGACGCATCTTTCCGTATCAGAGGTTACTTAACTCGTCACATTAAAAAGCATGCCATCCAAAAGGCTTATTGCTGTCCATTCTACAACAAATCAAGCCCTCCAGATATCCGTTGTCATACTTCTGGTGGTTTTAGCAGAAGAGATACATATAAGACTCATTTAAAAGTGAGACATTTCATGTACCCCGATGGTGTCAAGCCTCAAGATAGATCTAAATCTTCTGGTCACTGTGCCCAATGTGGTGAATTTTTTGAAAATACAGAAAATTGGGTAGAACAACATATTGAAACTGGTAATTGTAAAGGTCTTCCGGAAGGTTTTTTACAATCAATAAAATGTGAAAGAAGATCAGGTAAACTGAGAATGATTAGAACGTCTAATGGGAATTCCAGGTTTATATCTACAGCTCAGAGTGTCGTTGAACCAAAAGTTCTTTTGAATAAGGATGCGTTGGAGGCAATGGCAATCGTGGCCAATAATTCAACAAACAATAATATAATATCGAAATTTGGTGAAGATTCGATTGCTATGACATTAGATGATGTAGATTCAAAAATGTTGAAGAAGAGCAGCAGTAGATCAAAGAGTTCCTCGACATTGAAAAGAAAAAATATTACAAGCGAAGAAAAATTGTTTAGTAATAAAAATTTAAATCCAGAGCTAACATCAATCTCAAGTTCAAGTATCAATTCTTTGCAGCAATTGAAAGAAGACTTTGTAACAAGAGAAGAATTTGAACCATTGGATTTACCAAGCACAACACTGCATAGATTGGTTTCAGCTCCTACAAATGAGGATAAATTCATAAACGATTTACACAATACCAAACAAACTATTACACTTCCGATGGATTTAGAAGAATTTTACGGCGGAGATGATCCATTTAATATACCTCTAGACTTCGAGCAATGTCCTGTTATGAACAATGTTCCTTCCTTTGAAGCAGATTTAAAATTCAAAAACGGAGTTCAAAACGTCGATAATTCATCAATCAAAACAGTATTTGATGCTATTTTAGATGAAACTACAGATCCAGCATTTCTCTCAGAATCTCAACTAAAAGCAGACGATGAATATTTAAATTTCTATAACTTCACGTATGGATCAAACCTGTGATACACATAAAGAATTAATCACAGTCAAAGAACATTTAAAAACTGCAAAAAAAAATAAGAAAGAGAAAATGTCATAATCCTGCTTAGAAATATGGTTTATATTCTATCCAAGAATATTAACAAATCTGATAAGAAATACCCACTGTTTATCATCAATGACACCTCCATACTCTGCATGTTAAATTCTTGTAATGTTATTTCATCATGATGAAAGAATTATATAATTTTAACTTCTACATATCTCATCAAGAACAAGATATTGGAAGAATCTTTTAATATAAGACTTAACAAAAAAATAAATAATTAAAACTTGGTTCATTATTACCTTGATATATGATGTATAGTCAATATATTTAAATGTATATAAGTAATTAACAAAGATAATATCCCATTCATTCTGAATCGTTTGTATGTTTTATAGCCATTGTTACCTACTATGAATGAACTTTAACAATATCACCATAGTTAAAATATATCTCATTCTGAACGGTTTAGTGATGAAGTTTTGAGATGAACTATCAACAAATTTAAATATCCTGTAAAGATGAGTAGTAGTAATATCAATACAAACATAAGGTAATAAACATATTGATTTAAATAAAGATAGAAGTATTGAACTTACACTAGATACTTTTTTGGATCACAGTAAACTGTTGTCGTTAGATAGATTAATATTTACTATAGAAGTACTAGTGTGATAAATCTTTTTTTCCTATTAAAGACGTTTCTGATATTAAAGTAGTTTTAAGATACTAGAGGAAAACGTACAAATAAGTTAACTTATTCATTATAAAAAAGGACTACGTAGAGGTTGAAAGTTAATATTGCTACATTGTATTGATATCTGCATACTGTATTTTATTGGGAAATATTACACTGGAAGTATTCAAAACCAGAAAACAAAACACAACTACGATAAATAGACAATAACGAAGAGGATATTTAAAGAGATCAATACCATACAAGATGAGTGAAGGACATAGTGAAGATGAGATAAATTTCAACGAATTAGTAGGGAATTTATTAAGTACCCATAACGAATTAACTAATGAAGGCAGTGTTTCTTTGGATGACAATGATAAAAATACAGATATACTTAATGTACATGATGACGTAGAGCTCCCCGATTTTGGTAATGATGATGTTGATTTAGCTGCTGTGGCAAGTGCTATTGAAACTTTAGATGACACTAAACATAATGACATTAATGAAAACAATGACCTTAATGATAATGAACTACAGGAGAATCAAGATTGGGCACAAGCATTGCAACAAGGTATATCACAACTGGTGACTTCAGATGAGCCTTTAAACGATACCCAACCTTCGGAACAGCTGGATCAAGATGATGAAAATTTAAGAAATGCAATTTTAGAGTCTTTACAACAGTTAGACGGTGAACCTGAAACTACTAAGCCAGCGGCAAAAACTACAAAGCCTAAAAAGCAAGCAACTAGAAGAAAGAAGAATGAGAAACCAAAAGAACCCTCTCTTGAGAAAGAGAAGAAGAAACCGAAACAACCAGCAAAATCAAAAAGGAAGAAGAAAGAGCCAGTTGCTGTTCAGGATGAACCAAATGATAATCTTCTAAACTTCGAAGATGTCATTAAAGGATTTATTCAACAAGGTCACGATGAAGGTACTGTAGAAGAAGATAAAGATGAATCAGATGATCTAGAGACAAGAGCATTGGTTGAGGCAACCTTGAAAGCATTTGAAAAAGAACTACTGGGCACAACTCCTAAGCCTAAGCAATCTCGTAAAACAGCAACAAAGAAGAAACCTGCAAAACAAGCAACTGTTCCAAAGACTAAAGAGATAACTGTTGCAAAAACTAGTAAAAAGCTAGATGAGAGTAAAGCTAAGAGCAAAACACAAGAACCAAAATCGAAAAGTAAATCTAAGGTTACAGATGCATCGAAGAAAAGGAAGAAAAAAGAAAAGAAGCAGAGTGAGGATATCTTAGCTGATTCATATGATGATGATGATTTCTCTAGAGCACTTGCTGAAATGGTTAATCAGGTTGTAAATACTTCATTAAATGACGAGGTTCAAGAAGCAAAAACTTCACGTGGAAAGAAGAAGGTATCCAAGACACCAGTTGTTAGTAAGCAGACAAAGACAAAACAAAATGATGAATTGAATAATGAACTATTGCCACCTCAGGAGGAAAATTTTGATTTAAATCAAATAATGCAGAAGGCTATGGCTTTAGCTTTTCAAGAGCAAAATAATGAAGCATTTGACGCGTCAACTGTAGAAGAGTTTAATCGTGGTTTAGGTGACTTTGGTGTTTCTGATCTGTTAACTCCATATGATCATGTTCCAAAAAAGAAGACTGTATCAAAGAAGAAAAGAATCCAACCTTCCAAACCCAGTATTGAACTAAAGGAACCTTCAATCAAACCTAGTGTTCCATCAAAATCAACAACTAAAACTAAATCAAAGAAGGTAATAACAAAAGAACCAAAGCCACGCAAATTAAAAGAGCATAAAGAATCTAAAGAACCAAAGATACCCAAAACTCCAAAAACAACCAAAGCTACAAAGATCCCAAAGGTACCTAAATCTCCTAAATTGGTTAAGGTATCTAAAGTACCAAAATCAGTAAAGAAAACTAAAAAACCAAAGGCTCCAAAACTTCCAAAGGTGAAGAAAGTAAAAACCGTAAGATTACCCAGATTCCCAAGGCCTAGCAAACAGCACCTTACCAGACATGATTTAGTAAAGAAGCAGTATTTAAAGTTGGCAAAGGAGGCATCATCTATTGCAAGAAAGAGAAACCGGGACAATATTAGGACTATAAAACTAAAATTAAAACAAGAAAATGAAAGAATACGTGAAGACCGTAAATTGAAAAAGGATGAAGAAAAGGAGAAACTTGAATTGGAACGTAAGGAATTAGAAGAGATCGTCGCCAAGGGTCCACCATATCCGTTGGATTTAAGGGTGACAAAATCAGGTATTCCAAAGAAGCCTTATAGAAGATGGACACCCGAAGAAATTGCCATAAGAGCAACAATGCCTCCACCTGAACCAAAGAAACCAAAGAAAATCAAAAAACAAAAGAAAAAGAAGGCCAAAAAACTCAAGAAAGTTCCATTATCTGCATTAAAGAAAATACCATTATTTAATTTTACTAGAGATAATATTGATTTATCCAATGGAGAGAAGAAATTACATAGAAATAATCTGGAAGGCGGTATTCCTGATCTCAGAACTCATAGGAAGAGAGTCGATTTAAGTGTTTTAGCCCCACCATCTTCAATTAATCCTAACCAGGTGACTAAACTACAATCTGACAGTATTAGCACTTCAGTAAATGAAAATAGAACTAACTTTGTTTCTTTATATGATCCATCAATAAAGACGGTTGTTAGGAAAGAAAAATTTCCATTTCATCCACCTTGGATTGTTCCCCAAAATCCACCCTATTCATTGCCTGTTGCTAGAAGAAAGAGTAAAAGGTACTCAGATAAATTGGCAACAAATAAGAAAACCAAATCAAAGAAACTATCCAAGCATTCAAGACAATCATTCATTATCAATAATAGAAATAGTATTGTTCCAGCAATTCTTTTCCCAATTGTGAAAACATTAAAAGCTGCAGCAAGGGCTAAGGTAGCATCAGGAGTTTCACCAGAGGAGGCTACTAGACATTTAATGACAATTATTCAGCATACGAAAAAGTCAATTGCCCAGACACTAACTAAATCAAGAAGAAATGCATTTCGTGATTATCGTAAGATCAAAACTGAAGATGATATTGACACAGTCAAAAGTCAGAATTCTGCTATAAGGAGAATCCCAATATTCAGTTTATCATCAATTAAAAAAGTTAATACAAAGGATGATGTAAATAATAACAAACCATCCGTTATAAAATTAGAAAATGAAAATTCAGAAAAATTATTGACTTTACAACAAAAGTTACCTGAAGCATCTCATGATGAAGGCAATGGATTGAATGAGGTAAATACAAAAATCAATGACAACAAAATAGGTTCTCAAGATTCACAAATTGTAGAATCGAGTCAAATTGAAGAATCAAATATATTGAATAAGAACGAACTGCGTAGTGATGTTAGAAAAGATATTAAGAAAACAAATGAATTATCCACCGCCGTGGTTAACTCAACTAATAACAATACTCTCAATAATATAGAAACTTTATCTGATATCGGATTACCTAAGATAAGTGCCATCGTCGATGATAATGATGGTACGAATGCAAATAAAGATGTTGTTAAGAATGTAGTAGGTTTATCTAAAGTTTCAGCTGTTAAGGACACTGATATTGAGGAGCTAAAGGAATCTAATATTGACTCTCATTCTATTAATAATAAATTACAAGATATAGAAATATCCAGTGAAATTATTAAAATTGATGATGAAAAAGAAACTCCAAAAACAACTCTTGAATTTCAAGATAATAACACATCTGAGTCATTAAAGAATAAGCGATCTAATCATGTTGGAAACATTATTGAAACTCTTGTAAAACAAGAGATTGATAAGTCAAACACAAAAGATGAAGATAATATTTCATTACCACCTAGTTTTACAAATATTATATCCAACGCAATTACAAATTTATTACCAACTATAAATGATACAGTCTCCAAATTAGAAACTTCCAGAAAAAGGACGTATACAAGACCACCAGCTCCAATATTAAATTTAGATGGTTTAGTTCCGCCATCTCCTGGATTTATTAAAAAAGTGGAACAGGATGAAAGTATATTACTCGATACATCTTTTGACGAATCACTAACTGATGGCACTCCTAAAAAAATAGCCACATACCGTAGAAAAACTAGTTCTGAGCAACCAACTGCACTAAACAAGACCAAATTTAATATTCCTAGTAATAATGCTGGATATACTAAGAGATCCACAGGTGTAAAGTTTGCAAGGCTATACTTAAATGCAAATGAAATGTCAATTTTAACTAAAGAAATTAACAAAGAAAGGAAGAGAAAATGGAGAAATGCTAATATTGTCAAAAATTGGGAAAATGATGTCAGAGCCAGATTAAAGAAAAGATCTAAAACTGATTTTATTGATTTGACACAGGATGAAAAAGATGAATGGGTCGAAGTTGAATTTGCTAAAAGAAAAGTTGAATTCACTATCAAAAATGAAGAAATCAATGGAATAGGAGCAGATTCAACAAGTGGTAGTTCCAATATTACTGAGAACGAAATATTAAATATGATCGCAAATATCTTAAATCGTGAGGATGTAGCAAGAAGAATTGAGAAAGACTTAATTGAAGATTCTGCAAAAGGAACCAATAGAAAAAGAAAAAGGAGCTCTGAACCACCTAATGTTGTATCAAAACAAATTAAGATAGATGATACAAATGGCTCATCGGATGAAACTTCAAGAATTAGTGTTTCTAACGACAATAATGGATCTTCTATTGACCTCACAAAAGAAAATGTAACTTCTATTGAAATGATAAACAAGCCGAAATTAGTTGAATAATGAATCTAAAGACTAAGATTGAGTTGAAATAAACTACTAGCTAGTGACTTTACATAATAATAATTTAATATTAAACGTTTGTATTATTAATGAAATTTTAAATAATAAGTTTATGTCTAGTATTACAACCTTTAGGAAATTACATGTATGAGATAGTTACTTGAATATTATATGAGATGCTTTTATCATGAGAATTCCTATCTTTTTTCCCATAAAATGTGAGCAGACCCTAGAGGTAAAGTGACCATTGATTGATAATCAGTTTCAGGAATAGCTTTGTTTTCAGGCAAAGACCATTTAATTTTGGTGACAAATGTTACCAAAAGTGTACCTAACTGGCAATATGCAAAATCTTCACCAATACATCTGTGTCTCCCACCACCGAATGGTAAATATGGGCTAGAAGTTCCCTTAGATATTTTTCCAAAACCATAATCAATATGTTCAACAGATTCATTAATTTGATTATCTGACCAGCGATGAATATCAAATTCTTTGGCATTTGGGAAATATTTATCCTGTAAATGAGTATATCCAGGAGAAACTAATAGTAAACGATGTTTTGGAATTATATAATTTGTTCTTGGTATAGGTATATTTTTTCTAACCTTACGGAACAATGAATGCAGTGGGTGATGTAATCTTAAAGTCTCTCTAATTGTTTGGTTAACTAACTTCATCTTTTGTAGAGATTCATAAGTAAGAGGAAGTCTACCATTATCTAGCACTTCCATTACCTCTTTGTAAAGTTCTTCTTGAATTTGAGGTTTCTCTGCCAAGTGCAATAGAAACCAGGCTGAAGTTGCAGCTGAAGTATGTTGACCGCCCATCAGGACACCAATTAATAAATTGGCAATTTCTTGGTCTGTCATTTTCGTTCCATCCTTATAAGTTGAATTTTTCAATAAAGAATCAATCAAGTCTCTGTCTTTTATGTCGTTAGTTGCTCTTCTTTCCTTGATTAAAGATAAATAAGTAGTTGATATTAATTTATGGGCATTGTCTCTACTCCTAAAGTGTTCTAATGGTAAATTTTTAAATACAAAATTAATTGGAGTGAAACCTTTATCCAAATCACTGTATAAATATGCAAAATCAGTATCTAGTTTTTTTCTTAATTGTTCACCTAATAAGGTTCTTGAAGAAGTGAAAATTGTCATTTCTGGTTGAGTGGCCATAACATTTGTAATGCCAGAGTTGTATTTCCCTAATCTAAAGAATTTTGAATTGGTGAAATATTTTTGTATTTCATCTTGAATTAAAGGTACATATTTTTTCAAAGACTCAATAGTTAAAGCTTTTTTAACAAATCTCTTCTGTTCAATTAATTTATCGTGATCACAATCATAAATTACACCCTTGCCAAACACTGGTGTTGTCATTCTTGAATATACATCTTTTGCAGAAACTTCGTCGACATTAGCATTAAAAATGAAGTCGTTACCATTTGGACCTAAATAAACTGTAATAATTTGACCTAACATTACAAATGAAAATATGTCACCATGTTTCTTTTGGCAATCTTGTAGAAATTTGTAAGGTTTCAAGTTATAGCTAGCATAATTACCAACCCATGGCACCCAATGCATTACCAAGGGAGGTCTGTCAGTTCTAAAGGACTCATATACTTGCCAGAATATATTATAAGCCAATGGAGTCACTATTATAATGGTGACAATTTGCCAGAAGGAAAATGAAATAATAAATAATAATAAAGATTTCACTAATTCCATTTGGAAAGTATAAATTTATCTATATGTTTTATTAAATTAGCACGATTGGTTGGTTAGTCTAAGCGTTATGTCAAGAAACTATATAACAAGTTTTACAGTGGACAAAGGCAGAACTATTAAAATATTTGAGAAGTTGAACAGCATACACTTATATATATATATATATATATATATATATATTTAAAGTAATTTATGACAGTGTAATACGATTTCAAATACAACTATATGATTATGATTTTTTTTTAATACATTTTCAATATCAACAAGTTTAAGATAACTTTGTAGGTATTCTCTTATGGAATTAACTGATTTCGAAATAATGATGCTGTAACGAAAAATAAAAAGGAATAGTAAACCACGAAACAACAATAAATACCCAGCCTAGTAACATTCGGTACCACCCGTTCAACTTGATCTGTACTTCTGAATGAAAACTCTGCATCCTCGATACCTCTAAGAAGCGGCACTTTTAGATGTTGAGCTTATAGAGAACACGAAGTTCAATAACAACAAGTTTTGATTAGGTTTATTGAACCAAAGTTACTTAACTTCATGGACGAATAAAATTTGACATTGCTTCTTCCATTTATCGTAAGTAGAACTGAACAAATGACATAGTGCTAGATGAAAATAAATACCAGCAGAAGTCATAGAAAAGATGATATGTATACTACATAGCAAGAAGGTCTTTCTAGCTACATTAATAGAACATCAATCCTACAATAAATTACTTTAAAATGAAAACATGCAGCAGAATACTTACCAAGAAACTGGTCTTACATAAATAAGACATGTACTGGACCTATTAACATTTCGAGGAACAAATAGTTTTGTAATGTATGATTCGATGATGTATCGAATCAAGAAGTAAAAGAAATTGCAGGTTTTTTTTTTTTGGCTTTTACTGTTTTTACTGGTTGTATGTTAAAGTTTCTTCACATTGTTTGAGAGCAAAGGCAGGTCAAGAAGAGAACCATGCTGGAATTAAAATAATTAAAAGAAATCGGTAGCTGGAAGGTTCTTGGGATGATTCTTGAATAAATGGGATATAAAAAAAAAAAAAAGTGAAAATTAAGAAACAAGACAATGTACAGTAACTACCAAAAAAAAAAGATAGATTTCAAAAGAGAAAATATCGAGGGAAGTGAATTCTTTTTTTATTCTGATCGAGAAATTTTTCTTCTTTTAAAGTTGTTGGTATTGAAAATTTTCTGTCTATTTTTGTTATATTTTTATTTGTTTCCAGTATCCAATCAATCCCTGAGGGCCAAGGACACTTATTAATTGGATTTTTTATTTTTAACAACTGACTGTTGGTTGTTTTGTCTCAAACTGGCATGAAACTTCTTGTACCGCAATCATTCAGCTGTATTAGGTCAAATACACAACTGGCCTCTTTTCTTGTCTGGTATTATTTTTCTTTTTTTTATTCAATTTCATTTGAATGAGAGAAGTCGATGCACAGATAATATATATCGTATGCCCAGAAACAATATATTACACTATGTCTTGCATAACAGTAATAACTACTGTTAATAATCAGGTTGATGGTTTGGTATAGAGCGCATTTTTCACTAATGTATTGATAGAAATTTATTTTTATCAGTAGCATTTTGGATATATAAGTGATAAGTGAAGTAATTCGGGAAAATTGTATGTACGTAACGTATGTACGCCCAATATTTATCCACGTTTTCTACTTAATTGCTCTCAAAAAAGGTCAATTTTAAGACGCCTACGTAGAGGATGTTTATCCGAAGAACTCTATAAACGTGGAGAGGTGGAATAACAAATCGAACACATTTCCTGTTTAGGAGCATTACAAAAAGATACTTTTTACAGTGAGTTAACTGCTGGGTTTAAATCCGTCTCAGAATATTTTGGACCGGAGAAACCCATTCAGGCATGAGATAAATACCTATTATCACCGAGAACTGGCGGAGAAACAACATTTCCCTTTTTTTGAAATTTTAAGTTTTTTCCGTCACTCGGGAATTCAAGATCTCATAGCGAAGAACAAAACCATGCAGGGCTAGCGGATTAATTTATCAAGAATGGATTTTGATTATGTTCTACGTAAACTTATTGCAAGATACTGGTAGGTCTGGTCCATATAAATATTAACATACATTTATACACTACTTATCAACCTGCAATAAATATACCTACGGAAGGTATTTTTAGAATTATCCTATACCTTCCCTTTTACTAGCCCAAGACAGACACACTACAGTGCTCTAATGAAGAATCACATAGTTTTACCTATTGATTGAATATATCTGCTAGGTTCAAAGTCTTGAAATATCCATTTAGTAAGGGTTTCGAGGGATCAGGAGAACTCAATACATCTCCATACAATATTACACTACCTCTTGCTGAACTTTGAGGTTTCTTTTCAATATTTGTTCTTATTAATTAGTTGCGTTTAAATCCGGTTTACCTATTAATTATTGGCATAGCTGGCTTCTTTTGCTTGCATTGAGTGAAAAAATTACAAAGGAGGTTCACAATATAAATTTAAGGACTGTTCATTTTATTCATTGCTCTTTTCTTTGTTTTATATCATCTTATTAAGATATTAAAGTTGTGTCAATTAATTATTGGTCAGGTTATCTATTAATCATTAAAAGGATTACTTAAGGGTCTTTGTAAATTAAAATAAAAGAAATGACACCATTTCCATCAAGATTAAAAAAAGGGGGGGTATTAGCTACATCATTATGACAGATTGATTATCTAGGTTTTTGGTAAGGCTCAATTAGAGATAACATCCAAAGAACCGTAGTAAAGTTATCTATAAATAGGATATTTTTCGGTCTTTTATAATATATTATGGTAAAACAATTCTACCACCTTTTATTAGTATATACAGTATTTATATTAGCATCTTACATGAATGAATAGATATTACAGAAAAGTAAACGATTTACTTTTATATTTCTGATGTAAAAATTAAGTAAGATATTTTCCACTAATTCAGAAAATATACAGTTACCCCTGAACATCTTTAAAGAATAATGATAAATAAAATGGACACCTATTAAACTTTTTTATTTTTATCTTCTTGAATATTAGTAATTATCAAATAATAATAAGAAGGAAAAATGATTGAATACATTGATTGAATGAGACTAATCTAATATACTGGCATCGAAATAAGCAGTTGGATCCAATGAAGAAATATCAACACATTTGGCTTCGCCATCTAAAATTATCTCTGACAATACTTTTCCTGTCACAGGGGCATTGTTAATACCCCAGCAGGAATGGCCACTGGCAATGAAAAGATTTTTGACATTAGTTTCACCAATTAATGGACCTGAACTTGTTGATACATTTAATACAGGTAAATAGCAAGCCTGCCTTACCAAAACACTACTACTTTCAATGATGGAAGGAGTTAGTATTTTTGAAGCATAATAAAGTAGTTCATCACATTTCTCTTGGACAATGGTAACATCATTTAATGTCTCTGGTAATTCCATTAAAGTGTCACCTTCACCACATACGTAAATTTCATCTTTTCTTGAATAGATTTCAGGTGAAAAGGTTTGATTCTTATTTATTTGCAATTCCGAGAACAAAGCAAAAGGGGTTAATTCCTTGGCTAACAATTTTTCATCATCTTCTGTTCTTGGTTTCAGGACGATGGAATGAGCCCTTAAACCTGATATTGGGCAATCTAGCAAAATTTTACTGGTCCAAGGCCCCATGGTGAGGATCAATTTATCGACATTATTAATTTCTATAGGATCTTGAGATGGATAACCTGGAGTGGTAGGGATAAACTGCAATGAGTTTGCTACACCGTTATCATCCATATTAATCTTACTTACTTTGCCCAATACGACTTCAACAGCACCGGTTTCGATTGCCTTTGATAACATGAATCTTGTGAACTTCATTGGATGGACCTGGGCAGTGGAATCCACACTACCTAGAGAAGACCATTCTTTTACCATGAATCTGCGAATCCAGGTCAGATCTTTCGGTAAACCGTTTGGATCCACGTCCAACTCGAGACAATCTTCGTCGTCATCGTCGTCGTCGTCATCATTGCTATCGTTATTTTTTGTATCATTATAGTCGTTATCATCATTATTAATTTTACTTTTAAGTAGAGAACCTGCATTGACTTTGCTGTTGCTAGATATGCTTGAACTATCGTCATCCTTCAACAGTGATTTGAGTTTCCCACTTCTATTCTTGTTCTTCAATCCAAAATGCGTTTTGTCAGAACCATAGACAGAATTCAAATTCGTATTAGGGTTAGCATTCTGCAATCTCAAATCAGCCTCCAAAGAGACAGTAGGTAGCCTTCTATAGTCCCAGTTTTCCTCACCGTTGAACTCATCAGATAAATCCTGATGCATTTGGAAAGAGAGAGGGACGATTTCCTCAGGGAAAGCCCAGGAAGCCAGCAAACCACCAGCCTTACCAGAGGCCCCACCTGCAACCTCAGTTGTCTCGAATAAAGTGATTTTGATATCTTGGCCACTAAACTTTGGATGTCTCGTCAGATAAAATGCAGTGCAGGCACCAATGATCCCACCACCTACAATAACGATATGCTTCTTTCCGGCAGCATTTGGACTAGGGACAGTCTTGTAATCAATTTCAATAAAATCCAGAGCCATAACGTAACACACAGTTGCTCTATTGCGTCTTATGCAAGATATAGTATTGAACTTTTAACAATGAACAAAACTTGAAAGATAAAGATATCTCCTTATATAGCAACTAAAACAATATGAAATTCTAAAATTAAAAATGGGAGAGTGCAACTAAATAAAATTTTACAATTACAAATCATAACCAAAGACAGGAACAAGAACAAGAACAGGAATAAGAACAAGAACAAGAACAAGGGTTTCATAAAGAGTACCAGACCATCAACAATAAGAATAACAAGAAAGAACAAGAAACTATTCCCATTGCTTATTAAATCACATAACCGTCGTAAAATGTAATAGAGGTTAACTGAAAGGGATGGCTTTGATTGTTTGTTCGTTTGTTATTTCAAATGCAAACCAGAACAGAACAGAGAGAGTGAGTATATATATTGTATATAAACAAGTTAAGAATAGCAAATGTGATCATGTATATTTTCGAAAGTGTATAGACTCTATTAAACAATAAGTAAAACTAAACCAATGATATATTGCTTATTGCAAGGGGTCCCCCTACTGACTTGACATCACCACCGCACCCCCACCTTCCTTCCCTCCCTCCTCCTTCACCCCCACGTCTCTCTTTCTCTCGATTCCTCACTCTTGATCGAACCTTCTTATACAACGATTCTTATTTCTTATGGCTTGTCTTGTCTAGTCTTGTCGTTGTTTGTTTCTTACCCATTGCCATTTTCTTTTGTCAATTCACCATCAACTCTTGTTCTTGTTCTCTTTACGCTCCACTGGCCTCCCAATGGATATATTACATCACATCACATCACATTTTTAAAATCCGATTCGAAATTATGAAACTTTTCAATCTGGAGCACACTCTTGTTTCTGTATTGACAAGAGATATATTAATCATATATCTACTTTCTATTTATGAAATTGATGTCATCACTTCAACTATGAGAAGGTTATTTTCTACTTCTATTGCAAAACTATCGATTTCAAAGGCTTCCTTCAATGTTAGATCAATTATCTCAAACGTCTCCCTCTACCAAGACTCTATTAAATCAAGAAAGTTAACTAATGAATTGGAACTGTTGAACTCGTTAAACAGTCTGTCTAGTAATTATAATCGTTGTAATGAATTGAGTAATAGTATTTCTTTGGTTCAAGTCAATCGTAAAAAAATTGAAAACTTGATCAAATCTGATAAAAATAATCTGAACTCATACTTGGATCAATTGAAATCATTGAAAACAAATTTCACTGAGTATTCAAATCAATTGAAATTACTTAAATCTTCAATTGACGATTTTTGTTCTTCTTTACCAAATTTAATACATGAAACTACTCCGATTTCAAACCCTCAGATAGTACATTGGATAAATCCAAAGGATAACTATACCAATGATCCAGATAGAGACCATGTCAAGATTATGGTCGATAAAGGTTTGATCGATTTTAAAACTGCTTCAGCCATCTCTGGGAACTCTTGGTATTATCTATTGGGCAGAGGTGCTCAACTAGAACATGCACTAGTTTCCTTTGCTATTGAACAAGCCATGGCAAATGGCTTCGAATTGTGTTTCCCACCGACTATTGCTAGGAATGAAGTCATCGATGCTTGTGGGTTTAGACCAAGAGATATGAATAACGAACAACAGATATATCATATTGAAGATATGCAAAGCGGATTGATAGCAACTGCAGAAATCACCTTGGCAGGTTTGGGAATCAACAAAGTCCTGGACTTGACTAAGGGTCCAAAGAAATTAGTTGGAGTCTCTAGAAGTTTTAGGGCTGAAGCTGGTGCAAGAGGTCGTGACACTAAAGGTCTATACAGAGTTCATGAATTTACAAAAGTTGAATTGTTCTGTTGGGCAAAACCAGCGGATAGTGAACGTTTATTAGAAGATTTGAAGAATTTCCAGGTTGATCTGGTCACATCATTGGGATTATCTGCTAAATTGTTAAACATGCCTGCAAACGATTTAGGTGCCCCAGCCTACAAAAAATATGACATCGAAGCTTGGATGCCAGGTAGAGGAAGCTTTGGTGAAATTACTTCAACCTCAAATTGCACAGACTTCCAAAGCAGAAGAATGAATACAAAGTATAAAAATGACACAACAAATTCGTTGGAATACGTTCATACTTTAAATGGTACAGCAATGGCAATCCCAAGAATAATACTTGCCATCGTAGAAAATTTCTACAACCCTGATACCAATTTAATTGAAGTACCAAAAGTTTTACAAAAATATATGGGTGGAATCTCCCAAATATAATCTAATGCAACCATGTATATAATAAGTAAATTAGACCTTCACGATAAAGAATTCAGTAAATATAGTCAATTTAATGTCACCTTTTAATGCATTGTCACACACACACATACTCTCTCTCTATATATATATAGGAATTGCTTTCTTATATCAAAATATTCAAATCACGTGACGGTGATTTTAACAAAAGTAAAATATTAAATATCGTTGATTAAATTCATCTATCCATGTATATATAAGTATCTAACAAGACTAAAACTATCAATAGAAACTTGTATCTACTTGATATTTGGGAGCTATTGGTGTATCGAGGTTCAGGTATAGCACAATTCTAGGTTGCAAAAGATGTTATTGCTTGCACTCGCTGATGCACATATTCCAGATAGGGCAATTGTATGTTTAACAGCCTAATTAAGGCTACAATGTGAAATAACTTTATGATCGATTTGAATAATTTTTTACTAACATAGTACATTTTGTTATCAGGACTTGCCAATTAAGTTTAAGAAGCTTTTGAATGTTTCAAACAAGATTTCACGATCTGTTTTGTTGGGCAATTGCACTAAGTCACCAAGTTTATTGAAATTTGTAAACGACATTTCACCTAATGTTACAATGGTAAGGGGTGAATTTGATAACTTGAAATTTCTTTCTACCGGTAAGGATAACAATCCAATTGAGAATGAAATTCCTGTTAATGCTGTGATAAAAGTAGGGAATTTCAAGATAGGTTGTTGTAGTGGATATATGATTGTACCAAAGGCAGACCCGTTATCCCTTTTAGCATTGGCAAGGCAATTGGATGTAGATATATTGTTGTGGGGTGGTACTCATAATGTAGAGGCATATACTTTGGAAGGTAAATTTTTCGTGAACCCTGGTAGTTGCACTGGTGCATTTAATACAGATTGGCCAATATCTACAAATATTGAAACATCTGATGAGGAAATCACGGGAATTGATAAATCACTAAATACAGACTCGACCAAAGAAGAAGAGATTGTGAAAGAAGAGGAAGAATCTGTAAAAGAGGAAGAGAACGATAACAATTCTAAAGAAAATAAGAAATCCAAGAAGAAGAAAAAGAAGAAGAATAACAATAATAACAATAAAGCAGAGGCTGAAAGCAATAAAACAGAGGCTGTAAGCAATGCAAATGGGACTGATCTTAAACAAGATCAAGAACCAGAAAGTAAAGAAGGGGAAAAGAATATTGAAGATATCGAATTAGATATTGATATGTCTGAATTCGAAGTATCAGGATCAAATATTCCAAGTTTTACTCTTCTTGATATTGAAGAGTCTACATGCACATTATACATTTACTTGTATATGGATGGTGAAGTAAAAGTTGATAAAATTTCTTATACTAAGGAAAGTTGATGATAAGATATAAACTTTAATATTAAAATATACATATAAGATTTTTGTGTAGTTAATGATGTTATATAGATTTATGATATGAATTACGAATACCTACTTGGTCGATGAAATAAAGCAAAACCAGATCTTGAATTTTGAAATTATAATTACTGCTTGTCCCAAATATATAGATTTAGCCTATATGCATATATGTATATATATATATATATTACTGGGGAAGTATTTAAACATTACATGACTTTTTGTTATACAACGATACTTTCGATACCTTCCTTTAAAATATCTTCCAAGAGATCACTTTCCAAGTCATCTTCCAAGACATTTTCTTTATCCTTGCCACGATGAGCAAAATTCTTTGGATGCAATTCATCTAAATCTAATACTTTCTTCATCGAGTAAGCATCTTCACCATCTTGATAATAACTTTTCTCTACACTTAGAACTTCGAATTCCAAAGTATCCTTGTATAAATGCAAAGCTGCTCTATTGGACTCTCTAACATGTAAAGAAACGTATTCAGCTTTATAAACTTCTCTCAATGCAAATAATGCCTGTCTCATCAATTTTTCAGCAATACCCATTCTTCTATAAGTTCTCATAACACTTAAGGACGTTATGTGGCCGTTTGGTGGTTCGTTTTGTTGATCAGGATCATCATTCATTTTAGTCAACACATAGCCAACCAATTTCTCACCTGGCCCAACATAAGTAGGGTCTAACTTTACCATCTTGGAATTTTCAACATCCTCAATCTCTAAAGATTCCTCATCCTTATCTTCAATATTTGAAATCTCATTAGAACAATCAGTATTAATCGCAACAAATGAAGCCTCTGGCCATGATAAAATATGATACATATAATACTTCAACATATAATTCTCAGGCAAGTTATGCAAATTTGCATTTTGCATGCAAATGATATCGTTGACAGTAGCCCTTCTTATAGTAATTGGCATCTTCCTAATATGTTTGTGCTAAACGCTATGTCTTGCTCAACTTATCCAACACTCTACCAAAAAAAAAAATAAGAGGAAAGCTCCCACCAACACAATTGAATCAGTAAAGTTGAATAACACCTTATAGAACCAACAAGATAGCTTTATAAAAACCCAACTATCATAAATATCTCGTCAATATCAAAGTCCATTAGTTTTTTGCATTCTAATCAAAAATTTCAAAGCTAATCAATCTCAGTTTCATCATTTTGAAGGAACTCAAATGCACGACGACGTCAAACAATTTCAAAATAGCGACAATAATGACTTTTCACTGACTTATTCGATGGTATTGGTAACTTGTTTGATGGTGTTAGTATTGGAAAGGTCAAAAGTTCCCAACTTTTAAAGTATTTTGATGTTGATTTTGATGTTGATGATGGATATTATCTTTATAGTTTCTTGCGATTAATGGTGAATTGAATTGTCGTGGATTGATTGTTTCATTGTGATGTGTAAGTATTGGATATATCACTGATTGTTCTTGATTGTTCTTGTTTTAAGCAGATTGGATTGGATGTCTTGCTTCTTATATCGATTGTCAAAAGTAGTTGATAATGGTTGATCTTCCCTTTTTTAATTTTTTTTTCTTACGATAGAGGGCAATGATGATTGATTATTGTTTCTTGTAAGGGGACGGTTGATCTTATTTGTAGTAGATCATCACGTTCGTCTGTCAGAGTAAGTTTCTTTGATTTTCACTGATGTATGTAAAGTATGTGGATATTTCTTGGAAGGTCTATAAATCGTATTAGTAGCGACAAATAGTGATAGAGTAGTTGTAGAGATTCGATCTGTTTTATTCTTCTTTTTTTTTTTTGGTATAGATTTTGCCGCTGATTTTGGGTTATCGAGTAATACCATACTGTTTGTATGAGGTCATTCTGTTTAAGAATATGAGTAAACGTAAATTCAGAATTGTGAATGAACAACATGATAATATTATTCCTTTAAAATCAAAAGCAACTAACATATCTAAATCAGTGAATCGTAATGAACCATCAAGGAAGCATCAACAAGTTAATTGCTCTGAGAAACATCAGATAAAGAAAAGAATGGTATTAAGCAATAAACCAGACTTAAGGTACAGTTCAGGTAATTATCTGAATTTCAAAAGTGCTGCTGACTCGACTACTTATTATGATACAAAAGAATTACAACAACAGAATAATATGGAGGATTCTTTGACCATAGAAGATTTTGATCAACCTCCTGAAAGAACTTCAACTCCCATGGTGTCCGCCTCAGATTACTCCCAAATAGACGATGATGACTTCTCTTCTTTGGAGTTAGACGACATCAACGTTTATCATCATTCCAATGCTCTACAATGTACTCCTATTTACCAGCAATACGAAGATCAATACTTGATGCAGAATAACTCCCCACTGCACAATAAAAGAAATTATATGAAGTATAAAAACCCAACTTCAATATGTCATAAACAAGTGTCAGATAAATTAAAATATATTGTCTCGAGTGATCAAAACTCAGGTCAACCTGTGATAACAATTACAAATAGTCCAATCAACAAACAATCTCGTGATAAAGGAAATATGACTACAAATATTAATCAGGTCGAAAGTGATATAGAAAGCTATATATCCAGTGGTGGTGAAGCTACTTATAGAGGAAGTACAAGTTCATAACAATCGTTATGGTCCATATTTCAGAATTATTGCTAGTGAAGCATAGTCACGACACAACTTCATTGAACTAGATTATCAAATAAAATATATATAGTGATACAAGGAGAAGTATACTTCAATAAATATTCAACGTCTACATTCTATTTAAATGGGTTTGTTAGGAGAATATTGTTAATTGACCTCTAGTGGCTTCGAAAAGTGTTACAATGACAGTTTGTCATCCACCTTATCTATCTATTTACTGACGATTTAAAGCCACTATGAATGAGTGCCACGCAGTTTGTCAGGTACTTGTTAATACTTGAAAAAAAATTAATCAAGCAAAAAAAGAAAATTCGACAACTGCAGGACTCGAACCTGCGCGGGCAGAGCCCAAAAGATTTCTAATCTTTCGCCTTAACCACTCGGCCAAGTTGCCAATAATTCTTGTCTTGTTAAAGAGATTTATTGTCTTCACATTTGTGTATCATTTAAAATAGATTATTCTCCCAGTACCAATATTGAACTGCTCTAAAATGGCCAATTTAACAAGCTATACATACAATAATATACTTTCGTTTTGAACTAGTCTTGATTGCTTTCAAAATTCGAAATTCTTCTGAAAGCAAAGAAAGCAGTTAAAAGTAAGTTAACCGAATTTGAAATTGACAATTTACTCATCTGCTTCTAATCATTAAAAGTATTGTTGTAAAATAGCCATAACATTATGGAGGATAATAACGTCTCTGTAAAAAGACAAAAAACTGAAGAAAGTCATATTGATTCAAATGAATTTAAACATTTAAAGAGCTTTTTCTTTAGGTTAAATACACTATACACCTTTCTGCTTTGCAGAAAACATGTAATACCAACATTTGAAAGGTTAAAGAAACCTATACAAGATACATTGAAAAGAGAAATAACAGAATTTGATTTTGCACAAATATGTGCCATTCTACCAAGAGAATGTATATTTAAATATATTGATGAGAATCAGATATTCACTGAAACTAAAGTATTCGATTTTAACAACGGTGGCTATCAGCAAAAGGATAATGATATATTTGAATTGAAAAGTATCACTAGTGAGTTTGAAGAACCTAAAACCTCACAAATACTGATTTTTGAATTTGTTGATGGTAATATGAAAAGGACATGGGGTGATGATAAATCTGCACCTAAAGTTAGACTACCTGATTATTCAACAGATGAGATGAAAAAAATGGTTATGAAAAGGAAGGAAGTTTTTGAAACTAAACTAGAAATATTTATTGATGAGAATCTTAGAAAAGGTCTAGAACCTATAGCTGAACTTCATTCGATTGCCAAAAAGTTAATCCCAAAGGAAAAAGAATATGAAGACCCTATTATATCAATGCTTAAGGCAAAGGAAGAAAAATCTTCAAAACCTTTGGTGGAAAATGTCAACGGTGTATTGACACCTACAATCCCAGGAATGATTGATATTTTAAAATCTTCTGAAATGTATACTTCTCAAATCAAACAGGATTATATCATAGAAGAGAGAGATGCTTCTTATGCTGATTTGGATTTTTCCTTATCACCAGAAGTCTACCAAGCAATTGAACATGATAGGTTTTACTCCCATCAAGCAGATGCAGTCAATGCTATTCATCATGGTCAAAACGTTATTATAACTACATCTACCTCTTCAGGTAAGTCGTTAATTTATCAATTGACAGCCATCGATCTTCTTTTAAAGAAACCAAATTCAACATTTATGTACATATTCCCTACAAAAGCATTAGCGCAAGATCAAAAAAGAGCCTTTGAGAAATTATTATCAAAAATCCCTGAACTTTCAAATATTGTCGTTGATACCTACGATGGGGATACAGAACAAAATCTCAGGACACATATTAGAAAGAATGCAAGAGTTATTTTCACCAACCCTGATATGATCCATACAAGTATACTGCCTAACCATCCAAATTGGAGGTTTTTCCTTTATAATCTGAAATTGGTTGTTGTTGATGAATTGCATATTTATAAGAGTTTATTTGGCTCTCATGTGGCATTAGTATTAAGAAGACTAAGGCGGTTATGTATCGACTATTATGACAATATGTCAATCCAATTCATTTCATGTTCAGCTACACTAAAAGAGCCAATAACTCATATGAAAAATATATTTGGTATAGATCAGGTAACATTAATAAATGAAGATGGGTCCCCAAGAGGTGCCAAGCACCTAGTGATATGGAATACACCTGTTCTTTCACAACATGTAAAAAAGAGAGAAAACTTTATAGGTGAGTCTGCAAAAATTTTGGTACAATTAGTTTTAAATAATGTAAGAACGATTGCTTTTTGTTTCGTAAGAAGAGTATGTGAATTGCTAATGAGAGAAGTGCGAAGTATTTTCATTGAAATGGGGAGGGAAGACCTTATTACTGAAGTAATGTCATATAGAGGTGGTTACTCTGCATCTGATAGACGTAAAATTGAAAGAGAGATGTTTCACGGTAATTTGAGAGCGGTTATTTCAACTAATGCTTTAGAATTGGGTATTGATATAGGTAACTTGGATGCAGTTCTGATGTGTGGTTTTCCATTATCCTTAGCAAACTTCCATCAACAAAGTGGTAGAGCTGGTAGAAGAAGAAAAGATTCGATGACTATTGTTGTTGCATCAGACAACCCAACAGATCAACATTATGTTGCCCACTCTGAGATTTTGCTGGAAGATAAAAATCCAGATTCCTACCAAGAATTGATTCTTGATTTTGATAATATACTAATTCTCGAAGGCCATATACAATGTGCGGCATTTGAATTGCCAATAAGAATTGAACGTGATGAAAAATATTTTAATTCCAAATATCTATCAACCATTTGTCATGAAAGGTTACAACACACTGTAGATGGTTATAATACACACAATAGATTTTTGCCATGGCCATCTAAGTTTGTTTCACTCAGAGGTGTGGAAGAAGATGAATTTGCAGTAGTTGATATAACTAATGGGAGAAATATTATTATCGAAGAAATTGAAGCTTCAAGAACAAGTTTTACCTTATATGATGGTGGAATTTTTATTCATCAAGGTTATCCGTATCTAATCAAGGAATTCAATCCTGACGAACGTTATGCAAAAGTACAAAGGGTTGATGTTGATTGGATTACAAGTCAGAGGGATTTTACAGATGTTGATCCAAAAGAAATTGAATTAGTTCGGTCTCTTAAAGATAGTGATATTCCTGTCTATTTTGGGAAAATTGAAAGCACTATCATTGTTTTTGGTTTTTTTAAAGTTGATAAACAAAATAGAATTATAGATGCTGTAGAAACACATAATCCTCCAGTTATAATCAATTCTAAAGGATTTTGGATCGACCTCCCCGTAAGGGCACTTGAAATTTGTAACGAGAAAAGTCTAAACGTAGCTGGCGCTATTCATGCAGCTACACATGCTATTATTGGATTGCTTCCTAGATTCATTGTAGCAGGTGTTGATGAAATCTCGACAGAATGCAAGGCACCAGAAAAAGAATTCGCAGAAAGACAGACAAGCAGAAAACGTCCAGCAAGGTTAGTATTTTATGACTCTAAGGGTGGTAAATATGGATCAGGCCTAAGTGTAAAGGCATTTGAACATATTGATGATATTCTAGAAGGAACATTACAGAGAATTAGAGAGTGCCCCTGTGAGGATGGTTGTCCAAATTGTGTGGCAGCGTCATTTTGTAAGGAGAGAAGTTTGGTGTTATCTAAACCAGGCTCTATGGTATTATTACATTGTATTCTTGGCCATAAAGAAGAAGATTTCTTGGATGAAATAAAGGATGGTCCCGAACCAAATATGCCTGAAATTAAAGTCGAAACCATCATTCCAGTTACCGGGCATGTTAATTTTAGTGACGATTTTCAAATTATAGATGTTAGGATAAACAAAAACATAGAGCCATATCAGTCAACTGTAAAAGAAGAAATTGATTAGTTAAAGTATCATTAAATTTGATATACTATGTATCTGATATTACAGGAAGAGTTCAGAGATAAATCTATCTATGGATATCAATTACAAATGTAAATACATCATTATATAATATATACATATAGAACTTAGGACATTAATGTATCAACGGCCCATTTTACACTTAAGGTTCTTAGATCAGTATATGTTTGACCTACACCCACAAACAGGATAGGAATACCAGTAGCGTATACCATATTAACCATGGTACCTAACATTCCTCCTACCGTGTCACATTTGGAGACAATAAAAAAGTCTAAGTTTCTATTTTTACCGAATGCATTATTAAAATTTTTGGCTTGTTGAACTGAATCTGTACCAACTAATGCTTCACCAACCATAATTATCTTATCTGGTTTCGCTTGTTCTGCAAAAGACTTTAATGGCGACATTAATGTAGCATCGTTATGTCTTCTACCAGCGGTATCCATTAAAACAATATCGAAATCGTTATCACTTGCATATTTTATAGCTTGTTTAGCAATCTTAGTAACCAAGTCTGAACCACCATAGCCAGCTTCAAATAATTCAACGTAATCGTTACCACTTTTACCTCTTTTATTTTTTGAACCACGGACGTGAGATTCATCAGTTAATTGAGCTAAATTTTCTACATGGACTCTTAATTGTTCAACAGCACCAGATCTGAAAGTATCACACGCTACAATTAGTACCTTTAAGTTATTTTGTAATAACCAAAAGGCAAGTTTAGATAAGTTGGTAGACTTACCAACACCATTTACACCAACGACAGAGAATACGTATGGTACCTTCTTTCCGTCAGGGCCTGGTTGACTGGTCTTCTTTTGGATTTGGTGTAATAAATCGACAGAAACACCTGGAGTCAATATCTGTGTAATAGCTTTTGTTAATGATTCATGGGCAGCATTTTCGACACTAGTCCAATTTGCGGTTTTGGAACCTACTAAATCACGAGAAACCTGTTGGGTTAAGAAATCTGCTGCCTCAGGGGCAACATTTTTAGTAATTAACTGATCTTTTAATTTAGTCAATGCTGATTTTAAATCATCATCAGTAATTGTCTTGTTACCTAACAAATGCTTTTGCAAAAACCCGAATGCAGAATTTAAAGTAGAGTTAGTCTTTGCATCAGAAATGTTTTGTTCCTTTTGGTTTGAAGATAGGAGATCGTCAATTTCTTTGATTAAAAATTCACCTTTATTTGTTCTCTCACCAAAAGAATCTTTATCAAAAGTTGGGTCTAAAACCAAATTGGAAGTAGGAGTACCATTTTTAGAGTCTTCTGAAAAATCCAAAGTTGAAGTATCACCATGAAATTCTTCTACCATGTTACCATCTCTCCCCCATTTTCTCCCACCAGACTTAGTATTGCTTTGATTTTTATTTTGTTTACTTATAGAATCCTTTGAATTATTGCCTTTAACATTTGATTTTTCCTTTACGTTTTTATTTGAAGTTGTTGAAGTTCCAATTTTTTTAATTGAATCTTCATATTTAGCAATAAAATATTTATCAAATGTCTTTATTGTTTCATTTAAATCCTGCAAAACTTCACAATAATTATGTTCATTTTTCCCTGACTTTCCCTTCATGTTCTCCAATATGCTTTGATTCAAGTCCAACGAGTCCCATAACGCTAGCACCAAATTCAAAGTAGATTCTGCTTCATTATTAAGTTCTAACGATTGTTCAGCGTAAGTTATTACAAAATACAACTCAGGTTGTTTCGAAATGTGAAACATAGCAGAAAAACTACGAGTCGATTTCTCCTGGGTGACATTAATAATGGTCAGTTTACTATTAATATCATCCTTCTTTGACACTGGCATATTAACCAAATGTGAAATAAAAGCATTCACCTGATTCAACATGGCCTTCTTATTCAAAGGATTATACTCATACAAAACCTCACCGGTCGGGGTGAAAATAACCAACTGATCAAACATCCTTATAATATCTATCTGTTAAATGAATCACTATAATAATACACCTCTTGCTCTAACTTTTGTTTGTTTTGGCTTTCCTCTATTGTTCGATCTCTAACTATCTCGATCCCAATTTCTCTAAAATAAAGCCTTCAAAGACAGATCAAAGAATAACCCAATACCACCAATTAGACAAACACTAACCAATCACTAGCAACAGTACAGTCCCTTGTCCAACCAACAATAACCTGTTATATAACCCAAAGTTTTATAGTTTTATAAGTGTTGTTCAACGTCTGTTTTTTTTCACTTTCTTTCTTTTCCAATGCCAGCCAATTCTGAAATTTGATATACGATTGAGAAATCTGATATCCGCAGAGAAAGTGGCGTACAACTGTTGGGAAACGAGATGAGATGAGATGACAGCAATGGTCTGATTGATGGAACTGTTGATGACTTGCTTGGATTTAGATGAAACGTATGCATTTGAATGATCCTGTATGTGTGTGTGTATCTAATTATATATTTGGTTTACATTTGTATTGAGAAACTATCTTCCGAGGCTAAGAGGGAAGGATTATGCTATAAAGAAATTGAATACAAGAGGTCGACGACACTGCCAGAATTGGACAGATTGTATGGGGATGACCTGTGATTAGAATGCCATAAAGTCTAGATTGACACCGGGGGTATAATCGTCGCTGTCACTGTCGCAGTCACTCTCGTTGGTTTCTGTGTTTCTAAAACATGTGCTGGATGCTCCGTTGTTTGTTGACGGTTCTTCCATTGGTGCTTCGTCACTGCTGCTGCTACTGCTACTGCTACTGCTACTGCTACTGCTGCTTGTGGAATCTGATCCAGATTCTTCTTCTTGCGTTTCAACAACGTCTGTTTTCCTCCCAACTATCTCGAACTCTGATGGTATATCGTTGACATCCAACGCTACAAATATCGTTGGGAACTCTATCACTGTTTTGTTTCTGAAAATTTCACCAATGCAGACGTTTGATGGCTCTATTTCAATCAATTTTTTAGAATCCATCATCGTTGGGATATGCTCAGGGAAATGCTTCGTGTAAAATTTCAGCCCACAATTTACCAAAAGATCGGTCCTCTCCTGTTTGGTCTCTACCCCATTGGCTTTGTCATCTGTATCAGCCTTCGAAAGATTATAGTATTCACAACACTTGTTGAAAATAATCTTGCCCATGCTTTCAACGACAGTGTTTGTTTCTTTCACCCTGTGACTTAAATGGGAAAACACATCATTACCATTGTCTCCTGACATGGGAAACAACACCCATTCTAACGTCCATACGAATAGATCTAACGGTTTATCCCATTTACTTTTGTTTTGTAGCGACCGCTGCATACCCCTGGGCAACAGCAGACAATTTACTCCCCTTCTCACTACACTGTGACACTCTGAAGATACTGACACTGGCTTCGAAACCCTGTAGTTACCTTTCCCTTGCTGTTGCAAGATAGTCCTATTCTTCATCTTGGAATCAGTCGCACTCAACTCCAAATCCCTCTTGATCTTCATCAAAAAATTGTAATCCCTCTGAACCAGATGGTTCGACTCGTACTTCTCATCATCAGCACCCTTTATCACCTCACTAGATATATATTCAGTGCTTTCATACTTCAATCCAGAACAATCTTCATCGAACTTGTGTTTTTTGCTACACTCTAAACAACAACTCCTCTTCAAACACTTTGGACACCTGTATTTGAACTCGTTCAGCCCACAAACTTCACACAACTGACTCATATCAATCTGAACCTCACTATATCACCCTTCTCATACAACAACAACAACAATATCAGTCCCAAAACAACAACAACATTAATCTTTTAATCAACTCTCTTCTTAACTATGCAAAATTTCAGCGATGAGATGTTTGTTGATAATTTTTCAGCAATAAAGATTAAAGGTGAAAAATTTAAAAATGTAGGAACTTTAAAGGGGGATTGCAACCAAAAGGATTATAATTTGTTTTAAATAATGGTCAAGGAGTTGTCCAGGAAGTCTATCCAGTGAGGAAATTGTAATTGAGAATGGTATGTTGTTATGATTACGTTTAAAATTCGGTTTATTAAGGATTTTTTTTACTAACTGTAAGGTTTTTATTGGGAATTGAAAAAAAAAACCAATAATCAAAATTTTTGTTTTAGTCACAACAAAACGGTATTGCTACTTTGTTAAAAGCTGAGAAGGAGGCACATGAGATTGTTTCTCAAGCTAGAAAATATAGACAGGATAAGCTGAAGCAAGCTAAGGTTGATGCTGCTTCTGAGATCACAGCTTACAAGTTGAAGAAAGATGAAGAGTTGAAACAAATTGAAGCCAAGAATGAAGGTGGTGTTGGCGATTTGGAGAAGGAAGCTGAATCTCAAATCCAAGGTGAATTAGATGATATCAAGAAGGTCGCTCAAGGGAAGACTGGCGATGTGGTCAAGCTGTTGATTGACTCAGTTACTAATCCAGTTCCTGAAATTCATGTCAATGCTGCTTAATTCTGAATATGCAACCAAGAAAAAAAAAATTTGGATATTATAATAATGAAAACTGCAAGTTGGAAAGATATTTTTTAAGAATAAAAGACAAAGAACAAATTATAGATGTAGAGAATACGTGTTCCTTGTATCTCAAACTAAGTTCGACATAAATGCTTGAAGCATAGACCTTCGTTATCTAAACTATCATCATCCCGAGATATATATATACATATATACATATATATGCTATAATCGATTAATGTTTTTTGTCCAAATACAATATATGTGTACATATTTATATACAATTTAACAACTATTTTAAAGAAGTGCATACTATATCTTAATTGTAGGGCTAATATGATCTCAAGTTTAAATGAAACTTAAGCCTTTTAAACTCAAATTGATATTTGCTTAATTTAGAATTGACTAGAAGTTTCGCTATTAAAGGGTAATTACATAAAGGGAGGATTTAAATAAAAAGAGAAGTTTGATACATTTAAACTATAGTATTCCACAGAATAGCAGTCTCAAGTATCCTCTATTGTATCATATTAAAGGCTTTGTTGAAGTGCTATTCATCTGTTTAATAGATATTGTGGTGATTTTTGGGTTTTGTTTTAGATGTTTTAAAGGATAATAAGGATAAAGATAAATTGGGTGCTATAAGATGTCTGAGATTTATTTGAATTCCTCAATGTTGCAGGAATTGAACTTGTTTGTTCAAGATTATGTTACTAAAACGTTGTTGTCAAGGGCCGAATCACAGCAGAATCAAAGGTTAATTGCAACTACTACTTTATTTGCTACATTATTCTTATTCTATGTCTCTTATAAATTACTGTTTACTTCATCCTTGAAGGTGAAACCAATAAATTTTACTTTAGAGATTCCTGATGCTGCTAAGAATAATTGGAAGTCAAAAAGGTTGGTTAATACTGAGATTATTGATCCCTCTCAGCCAAATATCATTCAAAGTCATTGTCCAGCAACTGGCCAGCACCTATCATCTTACTTACCAAAATATAACGAAGACATAGATGAGATGGTTACTATTGCACAAAATGCACAAGAAGAATGGGCAAAAGCTGATCTTGATAGAAGATTAAAAGTATTGCATACTTTGCATGAATACATTATTAATAATCAAGAGATAATTGCAAGAGTAACGTGTAGGGATACCGGTAAAACAATGCTTGATGCTTCATTGGGTGAAATAATGGCTACTATTGATAAGCTAAATTGGATTATTAGATATGGTCCAAAACATCTACAACCTTCTGCTCGCTCTGGGACCACTAATTACTTCATGGAATGGTATAGAGGAACAGAAGTTCATTATGAGCCATTGGGTGTAGTTAGTTCCATTATTTCTTGGAATTATCCCTTTTATAATGTGATTAGTCCTATAATATCTGCAATCTTCACTGGTAATGCAATTATTGTTAAATGTTCAGAACAAGTGATCTGGTCTTCTGAATTTTTTATTTCAATTGTTCGTAAATGTTTGGAGGTCTGTAACGAAGATCCTGATCTAGTTCAATTATGCTACTGTCTACCAAAAAGCGATAAATATAATGCAACAAATTATTTCATATCTCATCCTGGATTTAAGCATATCACCTTCATAGGCAGGAAAACAGTCGCTAATAAAATATTAAATTGTGCCGCTGAATCTCTAACACCTGTCGTTGTCGAACTATGTGGGAAAGATAGCTACATTGTATTAGAGTCACAGAAAGACGTCAGTTCAGTTTCTTCATTGATTTTACGTACTACATTTCAATCATCAGGCCAAAGTTGTATAGGTATTGAAAGAATTATTGTAAGCTCAAAAAGATATAAGCAAACGGTACAGTTATTAAAAGATCGTTTAACAACACAGCCCCTAAGACTGGGGTCGGATATGGATCATTTAGAAAATATTGACGTAGGTGCAATGATATCTCCTAAAACTTTTGATAGCCTAGAAGAATTGATAAAAGATGCAGTTGAAAGTGGTGCCACTTTGATCTGTGGAGGAAGCAGATACAATCATCCAAATTACCCACAAGGTCATTATTTTCAACCAACATTACTGGTAGATGTGACATCTGATATGAAGATTGCTAATTCAGATTTATTTGGGCCTATCCTTTTGGTTATGAAAGCTAATAGTGATGAAGATTGTATTACTATTGCAAACGCAGCACCATATGCAGTGGGTACATGTGTATTTGGTAAAAATGTAAAACAATGTAGATATGTTGCAAAGAAATTGAAAACAACCGACGTTACAATTAATGATTTTACTACATTTTATGTAAGGCAAACTCCTTTTGGTGGAATCAGTGGATCGGGGTCCGGAAAATTTGGCTCAAAAGAAGGTTTATTAAGTTTATGTTACACTAAGAGTATTAGTTTTAATATTATTCCCCATATCCCAACTCCAATCCCTAGTTTACTTGATTATCCAATAAAAAATAATAATAAAGCATGGGCATTCATCGACAGCTTTATTACAGGCGCATACACCTTTTCCTCATGGAAAAGAGTAAAGAGTGTATTTTCAATGGCCAAAAATTCAAAATAATTTATATTCTTAATCTGTTAATATTAAAAACTTTAATGCATATCCTCTAATTGTAATCAACTCTTCTTCTTTAACGATGTTGCATTTTAAATCTAGTTTAAAATGAATCTCTAGCACTAGAAAGTAAAATTCTTCTAGATATAAAAATCTCTTAGGTATTCCAGGAACAATAGGGCAATTATTTGGACTGTTTGTAATCGCACAAAACACATCTTAATATCTTCTTACCTCTTGATCGAGTCTCCTAATTAAAAAGATGATGGTTAATTAGTTTAATAATAATCGATTGCTTATAAAAAGTTATGTAAAGGAATGAATTTATTTATTATAAAATAATAATAATGCAGTTGGTGTTGATAAATTAGTTTATGGGTTTTGAAATATTGTAATAAATTAATTTCTGATAATAGAATAGAATAAAAAAATGTTTAATGTGTATTTTTCAAAAATGGATTTAGAGCACACACTGTTAGACAAGGCAAGGCCATACCAATTTCAGCTCTCAAAAGAACTGGAATTTGTTGTAATTCATGGATTTCTTGAATGCAATTATCATTATCTTTTCTAGTAACTGCAGTGTTGATAAAACTAGATAATGCACCAGCCTTTGGATCATAATCAGGAAATCTCAAATGAGGAATTGATAGGTCCATCTTGACAAGATCTTTCGTCATTTTTTCGCTCAACAAAGATGTATTAGATTCTTTATTTGTGATTACCATATTGGCAATTTCTTCTGTACTTGATCTAAATTTATTTTTAATTGAGTTTCTATATGACTTAGGATTCTTCTCATCATTTGGTATAAAAGTTGCACTGTCAACACCGGATTGCCAGTAAAGTTCTAATACCCTATTTACAGGATCAAACTCGGCTTTGATCAATGGTAATTGATCACCATGAACTCTCTTTTCAATACCAAACTCAGGAATAAAAATATCAAATGATGATTCATAAACTTGCAGAACTGTCGCCATTGTTAACAACTGACCAGTAGCATTACCCATATCGTTTATAGTATTTGATAGCAATAAGTGCAAAGCTTGTTGCTGAGCCTCATATGCACAATCTTTCTTGAAATTACAATATTCGGAAGTAATTTTTAAAGTATCCACATCTTCCTCATATGATTTCCCAGATAAGATTGACTTCAATTGTCTATGGACTACATGATCAGCATATCGTCTCAAAGGAGCAGTAAAATGGGTGTATAGAGGGAAGTTGAAGGCAAAATGATCATATTGTTCAACATCAACCTTACCAGCTACAAAATATTTTGCTCTTGGCATAGATTTAAATAACAGAATTTCAACTCCAATTCTAATGTCATCGTTATCGATTTTCAAAATAGAATTGATTAGAGAGGATGGTGAAGAAATATTAACTTCGTAACCTAATTTTTGTACCTTTCTTTTGAAATTTTCCATTTTGTTTAAGGTAGGGGACGCTTGTCTTCTTAAAAAGGCTCTTTCCCCTAAATTGTTGTACAATTCTTTAGCAATGGTGTTGTTGACAAATCTTTCTATTTCCTCAACCACGACATAACCTAATTTCTTGTCCAGGATATTCAATTCTACTTTGACCCTCTCATCATCTAGACTATCAAAAAGTGGTAATTCTGGTATTAACTCGGCTTTATCATTTTGTATTCTATTTTGATAAAATGATCTTGCAATCTTCTTCATTGTTGATAGTGATCCAGAATGGTTTGGAGATTTATCATCAGTAATATCGTCAATAGAAATAACAGAAGATGGGGAAATTACGGTTTCACCTATCCAACAGGATTTAACCTCTAATGATTTAACATCCAAGCTATAAACAACGGAAAGAGTTGCGGAAGTTTTGTTTTGATCTAATTTCAATGATTCATTTAGTGTTTTTGGCAATAGGTTCACAGTAGTTTGAGGCATAAATACAGCAGAAGATCTCTTTCTGGCTCTTCTATCTAGAGATAAACCCTCCTCTATATGGGCAGTTACGTCAACCACGTGACACCCAAATTCTATAGTAGAATCGTCGACTGTTCTTAAATGAAAAGCTAATTCTGATAAGTTATTGTCAGGAGTAATCGCAACTACATCGTAATCCTCCTCAGATGTAAATTTTCTTCTCTTCTTCATAGCATCAGGTTGGATTTTGTTAGCTTGGAAGGTTGATCTTTCTTGGCTTGGGTTTTTAGGATCAATATATTCATTAGATAAAAAATTCTTATCCCTTAATATTGATAACATTTGAGTCTCAGGATCATTAATATTACCTAATTCTGATACAATAATACCAAATGGGTGCAAAGAGGTAATTGGCCAACGCTTTAGTGCTGCTACAAATAATTTATCTGTATATTTGTCTGCATTTTCAACAAAATCCTTTGGAGCTAATTCAGTTGGAATTGCAATAAGAGGAACCTTCTTATCAGTAGGTTTAAACCAAACAATTTTTGGTGCATGTGATAACTTTGTATTCTCAGATTGTGCTTGTTGAGAAGGTCTCAATAGCCCCAATGTACCACTGAATAATTGACCTGGAATACGATCCAAAACAGCGACGATATGACCAGCGTATAAGGGTTTAAAATCATCATTGATTTCTTCTTCCTCTACCAATAGTAGAGATTGACCTTCAACTTCAACATCATCGTTCTTCTTTTGAGTTGGACGTTGTTTTAATGAACCTCTTCTCTTGATTGAAGACTTTGTTGGAGATTGGGAGTCAGAGTCTGATAGAGCTGAAGAGGAATTTTGGTTATTTGAATAAACTTGTGGAGTGGTTGGAGAAGATGTTGCAGAGTCATCGGCAACATTGTTTGTTGAGGTAGTTGATGCATCGTTATGGTAGTCATCACTTCCATCCAGTGGGATTATATCTTGCTGGATAGCTGCATCTTTTCTTCTCTTTTTCTCTTCTTTCTCCTTTTTCGATTCCCATACATCATCGACTACCAATAATTCCACAGCAACAAGATCACCTTCTAAAGCCCTATTACGATCTTTTGAACCACAGATATAAATATCAGAATCCAATATACCATCTGTAGATACCCAAGCGTCAGATCTGTTCTTCTTGTTCACACGAAGAACACCAGCTACCAATCTACCTTCTTGAATTAATTCAGGAATATTTGCTTGAGGTAAATATGGTGCAAAAAGTGGTTTACGCTGCCCTGAACCATTATTTGTAGCATGAGAGCCAAAGCTTTGGATTGAACTGTTTGAAGGGCGGTTTTTATGACCTGGTTGGAATACAGCTGGAGGTTCTAAAGCCGAAAATGAATTGTAGTCCTTTGAATTGGTTTGTCTGTGACGGAAAGGTGATAACTGGTATGACGATTGACTGTTGTTTCTTCTATTTTGATCGTTACCTTTAGATTTCGAGGTTTGGTGGTGTGAAACTCTTGTAAAATTATCATCGGAATCATTTGAATCCGATTTTCCAGATGATGGTGGGAATTTGAACTGACCGGCATCCGATCCTTGGCTTGTAGAACGTTTTTGAGGAGACAATACCTGAGAAGTGCTATCAGTTGAGGCAGGAAACTTAAACCCTGGTGGCGGATCCATCTTGTTGTTATTCGAACTGCCATCTTGTTTTCTTGCAGAGGTTTTCTCATCTTGTTCAGGAGCAGATCTTTTTGCTTGTTCCTCTGCAGCTGCCTTTTTAGCTTCATTCAAGCCTAAAGAATGTCTACGTGAATGTCCATATATGCTTGATTGAGAAGCATTTTTGGAATGACCATAAGCATACTGTTTATTTCCATCAGAATCTTGGACATTAATAACAGGAGGTTGGTTATAGTTGTTACCATTGTTATGATAACCTGAATTATTTCTTGAATGTCCACCATTTCTGTTAGATCCATTATTATTATGCTTAGGAGAACCCATATAGTTATTTGATGAAAAATAAGGATTAGGAATTTGAGGAATGAACGTATTGTTATTTGAATTATTTGTGTTTAAATATTGAGATGCTTGTTGAGCCAATTGTTGTTGTTGAGCCATAATATGTTGTTGCTGAGCTTGGACTATTTCTAATTGTCTTTGTAAAGTGAATTGTTCGATCATTAAATTCGTCAATTCACTTTGAGACCTTCTGTGAGCCACATGGATCTGTTTTGGGGCATTCTTCCCACCATTGGTAGGAACAAATAATCCACCAGACCTTTTATTGTAGTTATTATTTGGGGTCATTATATTCAATTATATTTCCAATATCAAGAAAAGAGCGTGACGTTTTCTCGAATATTAATGAGTCTCGAATGCAACAATAGAAATATAACGATTCAGACAAATATCAAAAGGAAAGGAATAGAAATGATGGTGTGTAAATGTTTTGCTGTTTCTTCAAAACGTATATTCTCTAATGAGTTTTGAAAAGACTCTTTTAGATAAAAGAACGACCAGTAAAGTAGGAACTCAATAACCTACTCAAAATAAAAAATATATATAAAATAAAGGTACAATTTAAAATGAAAGAAAAGGATAATTAAATCCACCCAATAGTTTATTATTATATTATTATTACTAATATTATTAAGTTTCTTAATAAATAAAATAATATTATAGAAAGGGTAGGGAAATAAAACAAAAAAAAAAAAAGAACGGTAGCAGTTGCAGTAAAATACAAAAGCTAATAGTAAATCAATACACTCGAACACAATCTTGGTTCCTTCAAGCTACAACAAGAAATTATAAAGCATCTTATATCAACAATAATAAATCTAACTTAACTTATAACTTTAACGTTAAAACTCTTGAATTATAAAACTTTTCCATTATTTCAAAATCTTTGTTCGAAAGGGATGCAAAATTTCGGAATACGAAACTTTCTCAGCGTATCAATTATCATCATGTTAAAAAGTACATCAACTTCAATAGAATGGTAAAAGGTACACAGTATAGTTAGTATTAATTTGGTTCATCGAAGAACGGTATCTTGGTGTATATTTGTGTATCTTGTGAAGGTATTTCTATGATTATTTGCTTGTTTATTTGTTTAAGGTAGTTTTAGTGGGGAATAGAATGATACCGTAATGGAATAGTCGTGATTTTTCTTTATGGAATTAACTTCTATATTTGGCATACAATTTCAATTTATGCAAGGTAATTCTTAATGACAAGAATAGAAATATTTACTTGAACTGGAATTTGGATTGTTAGGAGAAAGTAGATGACGACATCGTCTTAGAGGAATCTACAATATGATGTACTATTGCATTACGTATATATATAGATCAGTAGATAGTAATGGAAAAAAACAATGAGAAAAACCTCAGATATAAATTAACCCTGTAAATATTTTGAATATTTGCGTTTGATATTCTCTTATTCATAATTTGAAGGATACTTATGATCTGTTAATTCATAGAAATTTTCCTTGATGTTGCGGATACTGACGAATCTGTTTAAGATATTCCCACTCCCAGATTTATCGTTTGTACCACTCATTCTTGCACCTCCAAACCATTGTTGAGCAACAACAGCACCGGTAGATTTGTCATTGATGTAGAAATTACCAGCACTGTATCTCAATTTGGAATTAGCCACTTCGATCGCACTACGGTTACGAGCGAATACTGAACCAGTTAGTCCGTATTCGGATGTGGTATCGATGATTTCGCAGATTTTACTAAAATCTTCATCTGGATATTCATAATATGTCAATAAAGGTCCAAAAAATTCTTGAGTCATGAATTCATGTTTCGGATTAGTAGTCTTGATTAGTGTAGGTCCGACAAACCATCCAGTGCTTTTATCGCATTGACCTCCATATACAATTTCTAATTCTGGGTCATTCTTTGCCTTTTCTATGACCTTAGCTAATTTATCGTAACTTTGTTCGTGGATAACAGGACCAATAAACCCGTGTAAATCACCTCCCCTAATGTTACTAGCAGCGGTATTGACTGGAGACATTTTGCTGTTATCCTGTTCCAACGTTCCTATGAAATCAGATACAAATTCCTTGCTCTTAGATTCAGGTAAATATAGTCTAGATGTGGCTGAACATTTCTGACCCTGATATTCATATGCACCTCTAATTGTTGATAAAACTGCATGTGGGATATTAGCACTATTATGAATCAAATGGAAATTTTTACCACCTGTTTCCCCTACAATACGTGGATAATCTCTGAATTTCCCATTCACCACACCTGTTTGGATTTTACCATACAAGTTTTTAAAAACTGCAGTTGAACCAGTAAAGTGAAGAGCAGCAAATTCTCTATCAGCAAGTAATGTGTCTGTAACCTTTATTGGATCACCAGGAATGAAATTCAAAACACCATCTGGTAAGCCAGCCTCTTCTAATACTGTCAATAGTAAGTAATTTGACAAGGTAGCACTTTGAGAAGGCTTCCAAATAACAGTATTACCCATCAACATTGGAGCACCTACTAAATTACCAGCAATTGCAGTGAAATTGAACGGAGTAACTGCATACACAAAGCCTTCCAAAGGTCTGTATTCAGAGGTGTTCCAGACACCAGCAGTAGATTTGACAGGTTGGCTTGCATACAATTCGGATGCGTACCTAACATTGAATCTGAAGAAATCACATAACTCAGTAATACAGTCAATTTCAGCTTGGTATACATTTTTACCCTGTCCTAGCATGGTAGCAGCAAGCATATCATAACGGTATTTTGTTGATATCAAATCTGCAGCTTTCAAAAAAACGGCAGCTCTGTCATAGAAAGGTGTTTCTGACCATTGTTTCTTTGCCTTCTTAGCAGATTCTATAGCATATGAAATATCGTTATCATTGGCTTGAGTGACATTTGCTAAAACTTGTTCGTGGTTGGCTGGGTTCTGCTGTTTGAAGAAAGACCTTCCTAACCCCCCCTTATCAGAAGTAGTATCATTATAATAGAATCGTTCACCATTAATAATCAATGGAATATCCAAAGTACCTTCATTACACTTGAACAAAGAAGCACGTAATAAATCCCAATCCTTAGTATCAGTAACCCCGAAAGCCTTCACAGCTTCGTTATTGATATTGGAAGGTACTTTGAAAGTACCAAACCTTCTCATTAAATTAGGCAAATTTCTACCAACTCTCAACATTTCAATATATAAGACCTTAAAATTAAAAATTAGCTCCAATTCACTTGTCTATTACTCAATAACAACCACTATCAGTTAAATATGGGAAAGCCAAATAGATAATATTTTCTCTTCACTATTATGCAGTTACTTAAATATATTAGAGAATTTGTATTTTTCGCTTACTGTTTTTGCAGGCTTCGTTACAATTTTCCTTTTAATCAATAAAATTTCAATTGAAATAACCTTTAATTATATTTTCAATGGTATTGTCCATCAGCAATACCCCTAATGGCATAAACTAACGATAATGACATTTTTATATCAATACATTGCTGCAACAATTTTTTATCTTTAGTGCTATTAATGCAATGAAAAGTTAGTACGCGGGGGGAAATTAGCCCGAAAAACTGACGAATAATGCCAAAGACAAAGGTTAATTTGAGGTGAAGTATGAATATAATATAGTTTTAATATGTTGGTGGTTTGACGAAACTAGCGCATAAACATTGTTTTTAAATTATGATTCTTTTATCAATTTGTTGTGATCAGTTGAATTTTTCAATTTTTTATTATCGTCATTATTGCTATTTCCACCATAATAAGATTTTGCTCTTGCGAAACCTAGTAAAAAATTTGAACTGAAGCACCAAATAGCCATTCCAGTTAATATAAAGCATAATGATTTCCAGCCAATTGGTTCAATAAATGAATTGATGATGTCTCCTAACAGTTTTGCACTTAAAGTTGATCTTGCTGTGAAGAAAAGATCATTATTTCTGTTCATGCATTTTTCCCAATTTTGACACTTTACTATTAATGCAGGAAGTTTTTTTTCGTTATCACATTTATTTGTATAATAATTCAATTGACAATTTAATGATTCGTAATTCAATTCTTCCTTTGTATGATTCCAGATTGACGTTATATCTTTTTTTAAAGTTTTCATGAATGCAGTAGTAATTGAAAAAATGACGGTTACTGTTAGTAAATTTAGAAACAGTTGTAGATATGACGTTAATGCGTAGGCAGTTCTTGATGCAGGTTTTGAATACGAAGACCATGGAAATGGTAATTCTTGTACTTCATTTGGCTGAGTATTGGCAATATGTTGATCGTGAATTGACAAAACCTGATCATTAAAATCAAGTAAATTATCATTACTGTTATTATTATGGTAATGATGATGATGATTATTGTTTATCAATATATTTATGGGTAGTTTCCCAGCGTGTGAATTCAGTTGTGATTTCAAATCATTTTGTGCTATCGATACACCCAAACTTGTAGGAGAAAGTAAGTTTTTCAAAATTATCTGATTCTCTTTCTCATCAGTTTCTTCAATTTCTTCATCAGGCTCTTGTATCGACTCTACGTCGTTACCTAATTGTTCGATATTATTCTGTTGTAATGATAATTGGTCTACATCCATTGAATCGCTAAGGATTTCATCATCTACAAGATCATTTGGAACAGGTTCATTTAAAGATAATTTTGAAATACGCAAAACATCTTCATCTATAGGATCAGAATCTGCGATCGATAGGTTACCGAACAGTTCCATTGCTTCATAACTTAGATGGCTGGTTCATATATATATATATATATATGTATATATATACAAAATGGATATTGAAACTTTGTAAACTACTAATTCTTCATATTTTATCTATCAAAATTTTTGATCTATATAAAACGTTACTTGCGATGAGATAGATATTAAGCTCTGATTGTCAGAAACAAATAACGTACATGATTTTATTTAAGAATAAAAGATAAAAAATAAATAATGTAGTCACGTGTTTGTAAAGATTTTCTAACAGCCGGCCAAGAACACGTGACTATATATTAGTCGATAGCTTTTAGTAAATGAGGGCCCAAAATATTCACTCAATCATCGATTCGATGGATTGGTATTATTGTTTCAAGATATGCGACACAGTGGGATTGAATTGTGTTGTTTAAAAAGATGGTGAATTGTTTTAAGGCCAAGAATTGAATAACGTCAATAGGCGTTGGTTAAGCTACTGTAAGAGAGTAAGAATGAAAATCAAATACGACAGATGCGAAACAAAAAATTAAAGTTTACGACCAACTCATCCATCGGTATAACACATTGTTGCTGTTGTTGTTGTTGTTGTTATGTCTGGTCTTGTAGTAAATAGGCTGCTGTTTAAGTAAATGTATCAACAAATATGAGCAGTACCGCATTTAGGAAACCAAAAAGAAAGAAAAATAAAATACATGAGTACCAAAGAAGTAGACATAAGCGCTCGAAAAGATACGACAGCTTTTTTTAATCATATTGATACCAAGACCCTATTGCTATATATCCTTGCCTCTATTGAGATTCAGATGCAAGCTCAACTGGATCTGAATCTTGGTCCTTGCGGTATTGGTGGGAAACGAGGGGCGTATGTCAGAGAAAATGTAATCACTGCATACGCATAAGGCACTGGTAATGCAGTTGCTTGTTCTCTTGCTCTTGCTCTTGCTCTTGCTCTTGCTCTTGTTCTTGTTCAGCCTGTATCTGAATCTAGACTAAAAATTACACGTGAGCTAGTTTACCCGGATATAATATCTTCGTTTCTTTTGTGTTTCTTTTACTTTCGTGCTTTTCCTCACGATGTTTTTGTACTTCATTTGTACTTTTGTGGATGCAGCAATAAACAAATTATATTTTATTTTTGTCGTTTAATAAGTTTTTTCTTTTTGCATGTTAAGTTGTAGCACAAAAAGAAAAAACGAACGGACCGGATCCTCGTTTATCCCGAACTGCCCGGGACAAGCTTGCAGTTCCAAGAAAAAGAAACAACAAAAATGTTTCGTTTCTTTTTATAGGCATATACCTGTGCTTTCAGTTTTTTGTTTCTTTTTGTTTTGTTTTGTTTCCTCCCTTCCTTCTCTTTCCTAAAAGCTAAAAACTCAAAATGATTTCATTGGGAAATCGTTACCAAACTGAAGCACAAGACATCAGCAAACTAGTCTCGTCAAACAACATTTCCATAACAGTAAAAAAAACATAACTAACCTCATTTCCTGTTTAAACGGTTCCTAAAATGCATATTCTACCTCTTCTTTGCTCTGCTCTGTACAAATTTAATGAAAATACTGTCCAAGATACTTATCGCTGTGTCACTCGCCCACATAAACCCATCCACATTAAAAAGGAATGCTTAATTAATGGTTTTCTGAATCAAATGAAAAATTTAAAATAAAGAAAGGAAAAAAAACAAACCGTTATAAAACCTCTCTGCAAGACAAATGTACATACAAAACAAAAAAAGAAAACTTGAAATCCTTCCGTGGTTCACAAGATAACACATCCATCCCCCTTTCTCTCTTGAGTTCCTTCATTAGTCTTCATAAACAGCAACAGCAACAGCAACAGCAACAGCAACAACAACGATTACAATAATAGCGTTACTAAGCTTATTTCTAATAAATCTGAACAAAAAGAATTAGCAAGAGCTTACTTCCCTCTGTTTCTTTTTTTTCTTGCTACTGCAGTTCACACTTCCTGTTTTAAATGGAAAAAAAAGATAAAATCATAAACAAATACTGCTCAAAGCCTTGGAATATGTCTAGTTCCACTTGAATCAAATCAAAGTCAATGAATCAATCAGCATAGACGACTTGGACTACCTCTTTCCCATATTCGTTCTTAGCAATAAAATATACACCAACTAGAAAAACTGACAGGGAAAAAGTGATGAAATTTGAAAAATTGAAAATTAAAAAAATTTCAGAAAATTTCGTAATACGCGTCTGGCCCCAGCTATTATTATTATGATATTTACCTTTTCATTAATTTTTTAGTAATTTCTTTTCAGAAAAAACTTATATATATAGATGAGCATATACTTTTCCATTCATACTTTAGAGATTAATCTTTTTAAATTTATATATGTTTGTATCTTATTCATTCATTAACTTTTATAATTATTCTGTTTTTTACCTTGTTTCCCTAATACTCCAGTCAAAAATAATTATATTTTAAATACTATTTTATTTGAACTCTAAGCGTCATTAACACTCTTAACTAACTTCGTCGCTGCCCCCCCTCCCCCTCATTCTTTAATCGAGTTTAAAATTGATTTTGATATTATAAATATCGTCATCCTGTTTTATTCTATTCTCAAAATGTCTTCAAATTCTACATTACTTGAGATACAACCAGGTTTTTCTTTTATGGATTCCATAAAAGCCCCTGTTCCAGTTATTGTGGAAAAAAATAGCATTTTATCAAATATGACTGATGGTATGTTGGCTCTAGTGATTCCAGTCGTTGCTTACTGGGCTTTCTCCATTTTCTTCCATATTATTGATACTTTCCAACTAGCTGAACAATACAGAATCCATCCAAGTGAAGAAGTAGCCAAAAGAAATAAGGCCAGCAGAATGGACGTTCTTTCTGAAGTTATCTTTCAACATATAATGCAAACTGTTGTAGGTTTGGCCTTTATTCACTTTGATCCTTTACCAACTACTGGTTTTGAAATGAATGAAATGTGGAAATTAAGACAATCAATTCCATCTTTTGTTCCAAACATTGCTGTTTACTACTTATACACTTATGGTTTCTCTATTATTAAGATTTCCTTAGGTTTTGTATTTGTTGATACATGGCAATACTGGTTGCACAGATTGATGCACACTAACATGACTTTGTATAGAAAATTCCACTCTAGACATCACAGACTATATGTCCCATACGCTTACGGTGCTTTATACAACGCTCCATTGGAAGGTTTCTTGTTGGATACTCTAGGTACTGGTATTGCTATGGTGTTGACTGGTTTGACTTACAGAGAACAAATGTTCTTCTACACTTTCGCTACCTTGAAGACTGTTGATGACCACTGTGGTTACGCTTTGCCATGGGACCCATTCCAAATGTTCTTCCCAAACAACTCTGTTTACCACGATATCCACCATCAAAACTTCGGTATCAAGACTAACTATGCTCAACCATTTTTCACCTTCTGGGACACTTTGTTCAGCACTAACTTCAAGGGGATTGAAGATTACCAGAAGAAACAAAAGAAGATTACTATTGATAAATACAGAGAATTTTTGGCTTCAAGAGAAGAAGAAAGAAAGAAGACCAAATAGATGACTGCATTGGGTCGGTCTCTAAAAATTTTTATAAATCATTAATAAAATATAAACTTAAATATATATATATGTAACGTATTATCAAGAAAAAAGTAATGAATGGAATAGAAATATAGAACTAAAAGAAATCACAATGTCAAATGATATACATATATAAATCAATACGTCATTCTTTTGATGACGATTTTTTCAAAGAAAATATATGACCTAGAAATATTCCACATATAATGTGGACCTGAAAATACTGACAAAAATGAAATGGTACCTAGGTCGGTTGCCATGTGGAATTCAGGATTGACATGGTTCAAATCAAAGTAATAATAATTTTGTAGAAACAAAATAGTATTTTATTCAAATTACATATTGAGTCTAGAGATGCAGGAGATACAAATTGTAGTATCATATAAAAAATGCTATAAATTTTATAAATGAGATGCTGAAATGTTGGAAGAATGAAATATGGGAATAATGCAATATATGCAGAGCGTAATTGTTTCGTCAGTTATAATAAAGTATTGTAACTAGTTGAAATCTTTGGAATTAATTCTAAACTGTTGTTAGTGGCTAGCACCTTTATTAGACTTTTGATGCTTCTCTCCATTGAATCATCAGTTTTGATTAATTTTTTGGCTATTTCAATACGGTCACTTTCTGGCAATGTCTTGACATTTGTATAGTAATGGTGATCGTTTGAAACATGTGAAGATAATCTTGATAAAGAGTGTGAGACACTTTCTAGAGATGAAGTTTTAATGGCAGCTTTAAATAATGCAGTGGCGTATGTACCATCAAGGCCAAATTTTGGTTGAGATTTAACAAGGCCTCTAGCACCAAGACTTCTTGCCATACCGCGACGGAATATAATATTAAAAGATGTGTTCATTGTAAGTAAGTATTGTATGAGGTGTATTTGTTAGTTTTGTTAAAATGTAGATATTGTACTGTGTGTAGTTATGATTTGATTAATCAAGAATATTTAAGATAAGAGATAAACAGAAATAAAATCATTCCATCTATCCTTAACCGTACTTATATATGAAAAAGAGAGATGGAATAGATCTTATAAATGTACGAAAAATTCCTGTCTAATCTAGGAGGCAGGCGTAATTCGTAACCAACAGTTAAAAGGCATTGAACTATACATAATTCTTCCTATTCTATAGGTTACTCTAAACAACGATCGTAACAGCCACTCGGAATAGACGAAAGATATATCACCGCTCTGTTCAAAACGTAATCAGAGAAAAGGAAAATTAGCCTAGCTAGTAACAACAAGTACCGTTAGACTTGGGCAGTATTACAAATTTTTATCAATACTTATCCAATATAGTATTCTTACTTGCCTCTTCCTTGCCTCTTCCAAATCCGACCCCCTCTTCATCTTCATCATAGTGTGGCTATCGACCAAATATATTTCCAGAGGGGAGTACAGTTGAAAGAAAAGTTTCAGATGGAATATACATCATAATCTATGCGGCTAGAAGCAGAGAGAAGTGTTAGCCTCTCTTCTCAAATCCAGTTCGAACCAATTAATCAGCTCTCATGAGCAAAAAACCCAATTAGACTAGTAATTTCACCGAACTTAACGAGAGGCAGAAACCAAATCAGCCTTACCACCACCACAACCACTACTACTACAGTAGATGGCTGCTTCAACATCGAAATATCTTTTGCAATAGAACTGGATAGAACAAAAGCTTTCATATTGTTAGTAATGTTGGTACTGTTGCCAATGCTAGAGAGCAGTATGAAAAAGAACCAACCGAACGGTTTTTCTTTTTCACCGAGCCGAGATAGTTCCAGAAGCAAACGTTGAAGAAATTGGCATACCCATAAGAAAAGAGGGGCCTAACAATACTTTTGATATTTTAATCTGGCCGTGGAAATGCACCAAGAGTGATTGATGGGAGGGGGGGAGGAAATAAGTAAAGACAGCAAAGTGTTAATTATGGTTGTAAATTTGTATCCGTAATGGTTGTTTTAATTTTTTCTTAACCCACTCTTTTCTATTTTTCTATTTAATTATTCCAGTCGGTGCCATCCATCTCGGATCGGAAGAACGTAGTCCTTTTGGATCAAACGTCAAACGAAGTGGAGGAGAGCAGGCCAGGCTAGATTACCCTAGGCTTGAGCCGTCGAGACCTGATGGTTGCTTCTTGCGTTACGGTTGGTATTTCATTAAATACGTCATAGACAATGAGACGTTTGCACGTAATTTATAGTTCTTTACGATGTGTCAACTGTCCAATCAACATTCAGCATTAGCGTGTTATGTTGTAAATTTCGTTGGATATGACTTCTTGTGTGTGTTGTAAATGTAAATGTTCTGATTGTGTTTTGTTTCTCTAAAGCGCCTTCGCCGCGGATATAAACTCAACGGTGTTTCTTTTCTCTTTTTCTTTTTCTCTATTTTTTTCTTACCTGAAGGGGAAAGAGGGCTGTCTGTTTACCGATCGCCAAAACCAGAGGGGCGGTTACATCGCTATATACGCAGCGTCGTGGAAGGAGATACTGAGAGCAAAAGAAGGCAGACAATTGTTTCTTTTTCCGTATGACGTAGTTTGTGGATGTATACATCCGCACGTCATGGCGCTAACAATCGTGATCCAGCTAAGATGGGTAAGCCAAAAAACTCAATAACGACCGATACCATAGTTAGTACATTAATTACATTACTATGCTCACACTCACACTCACACTCATATAACTAGTTATAAGACATTCATTGTTTGTAACAAGCAAGACATACACACTCATCAACCAAAACTCGCCAATATCAATGGACTCACTTTATCAACTTAGTCTATAGTTCTTGCAGACACTCTGGACTGGTGCTTAGATCGTATGGTTATTGCCTACCTCCCCATGGGAAATAACCTCATTGGGGGAGTAGGACTCCAGAGAATAAAGTGTATCTATCTATTCTTGTTTGATATATAAAAAACTATTATGTAGAAAGGAAAACAAAACTAACGTAAAATATATTGCAATCGTTTAATGAATGTCGTAGTTGGAATAGAAATTATATCAAAATTGATATTAATTAATGTACACGATGGAAAGAAATAAGGAAATTTGTAAAAATGGGATCAAGTTTTCTGAAGTGATATCTATCATATGCCCATCATGGCCAAAAAATGTACAATTTCATAAAAAACTTCATAAATGAAACTGAAAATTCTAGAGCTATACTGTCTGTCTATTCATTAATCTTGTAATGTTGTAGAGGGAACCATCGAGTGGGAAAGGTTGAAAAAGTTATCACAACAAATTACGTAATTGCTGTTTAAACAATTTTTTTTTCTTTTTCTCCGATCAGATATGGTTCAGTCTAACTTGAAAAATTTAAGATGTATAAGATTCGAAATCACTAGGAACTTTAACCCATATTACGTCATTTTTTTCCCAATGTTCCATTGATTTCCAATGCGTGCCTTTATTTCTATTCTTGTTAAAATGGTTAATAAAAAAAAATCTAAATTTCATACTGCTATTAGTATTACTATGCCCACATTAACAATTAACAATGCATTTTTGGGGCTTAATGAATGTATCAATTTGGTGGGAAAGCCATGTTTTCTCTTTGAGCAACATATTCACTGTCGGCGTACCCTAATTCATTTTCAATTTCATCACTTTGCAAACCTTTAATTCTGCTAATTTCAATACTTGAATAATCACAACGAGCTTTACCACATGTACGTAATGGAATCGATGTGTCTAACTCACCATTTGGTAACCTCTTACCAATTTTCAATTCAACACATTCTAATTCGTGGAATGAACCTTCAACTTCAATAACACCTGCTGGTAATAAACCGGCTTTGTTTCTACGTGTCAATGCTTTATATGCACCTTCATCGATAATAACAGCACCGTTCGCTACTAAGCCATGAAGAATCCAAAACTCACGATTCTTCAAATGATGGTTGTCGTCATTGGCTAAAAATTTCGTATGTAAAGGAACCTCCATCTCTTCCAATCTTTCCAATTCTTTCCTCTGTAATTCAAATAAATCACAACCATTTTCTTCTTCAATTTTCTTTTCACCATTACCGCTTAAGTTTATATCAAGACTTTGAATATAATCCACAATCTTGTTAATATTTTCAGGAACATCACTCTTCATCACGATTGTATGAACACCAGCATTGGTAGCTAAATCAGCGGCAACTAACTTAGTCTCCATACCACCAGTACCGACTGAAGAGCCACCACCGCTGTCAATCTTCACACCTGGCAACCCTTTTGAAATATCTGGAACAATTAAGATTGGAGTAGCATCCGGATTGGTTCTTGGATTATCAGTATATAAACAGTCGACATCAGTCAAAAGGAATAAATAGTCAGCCCCAACGATTGATGCTGTAATGGCAGATAATGTATCATTATCACCAAATTTAATTTCACTAATAGATAAGGTATCGTTCTCATTAATAATTGGAACAACACCCATCTTCAACAACTCATTTAATGTATTTTGAGCATTTCTATACTGTCTCCAATACATTATATCAGTTCTAGTTAATAAAACTTGGGCAATTCTTTGATTGAACTGGGAAAATAATAAATCCCATCTACCAATCAATCTACCTTGACCCACAGCTGCGATAGCCTGAATCTCAGATATGTGTTTAGGCTTTTTAGGCAAACCTAATGCCCTCAACCCAACAGCAATACCACCACTAGAAACAATAGCAACTTTATGACCAGCCCGTCTCAGTCTAACTACAGTCTCAACTAATTTAGACATAATAGCCAACTTAGGCTCCTTAGTCTGCTCATCGACTAACGATGAGGAACCTACTTTAATAACAATAGTATATGTATTTGGCATATTTTCTTTGTCTTGACTTTCAAACCCCTGCTCTTCTAACATCTCTCTAAAACTTGAACCAAATTTAAAAATTAAAACTAAAACTTCTACAAATTAACCAGTCTAAAACCAATTTTAAACCTAAAAAAAACCTAATATAGATTCAAAATCTGGAGAACTTAAAATTGTGGGTTATTACCTCTCTATTTATATACAATTCCCTTGATTTGAAACCACTTTTCACTCCTTTTATTCTTATATTTTACTATTACTTAGTGCATTGAAAAATTATTTCGTCATCGCTTCTGAAATATATCAAATAATATCATATCAGATTTTTCATAAAATATTCAAATATTTGAAGGTTTAGATAGTGAAATGAATTGTTTTAAATTTGGTTTTAAAGAAGGTATAAAGCTAAGAGTTTGTCTGAATTGGTGTCTAGGTCATAGGTCATTAGTTGATTTTTGGTTTTTGATTGTTTTTATTATATAGAATTTGGTTAATTCTTATCCTTATTTGAAAAATTTTGGTTAACCGAGGTTGAACAGATAATAATAGAGAGAAAGAGGAAGAAATGAATGTTTATGATGATGTTTTAGACGCCACTGTTGTTTCACATTCTGTTGTAGGTAATTTCACTACTAAGCTTCATAAGGAGTTGATTACTGTGAGAACTAATCTTCTTTCTATCTATAGATTCGATGATAAAGGGAAACTGTTTTTAACTAATGAGTTTAAATTGATAGGTAAAGTTACAGATATTTCTTTAATTCCACAAAAAAATTCAGATCTTGATGTTCTTTTGATATCTACTAGGACTGCAAAACTGTCGATTGTGAAGTTTAATACCAATTCCAACTCCTTGGAGACTATAACTTTACATTATTACCAAGATAAGTTCAAAGATATTTCTTTGTTGGAATTGGCAGAGACTTCTCAATTGAGAATTGACAACAGTAAAAATGTAGTTTTGTTGTTCAATGTAGATTGCATTGCAATTTTGCCGTTTGTGAAAGCAGAAGAAGATGAGGAGGAGGAGGAAGACGATGATAATAATGATAATGATGACGAAGGAAATAATGATCAGAATAATAAAAAAAATAACAGTGGAAAGCATTCTAAAAGTTTAACTGAACCAAGTATTATTATTACAGGTAAACAATTAAATTCAAATATTAAAAATATAATTGATATACAATTCCTACAAAATTTTTCAAAACCAACCATTGGTGTGTTATATCAGCCAAATTTAGCATGGATAGGTAATTCTTCATTGACTGCATTACCTACAGATTTCATAATAATAACCCTGGATTTGATACCAGTTGCAGAAGAAACGCAATGGTCAACCACAGTAATAGGTACCGTTAATGAACTGCCATTTGATGTTCATTCTTTTATTTCACTATGCAATGGTAACATATTGGTTGGAACAAATGAAATCATCTACATTGATAATACTGCTGTTTTACAAACCAGTATAGTGTTAAATCAATTCATTGATAAAAACTTTAAAAAGGGTAAAATTATTGATAGATCTAATCTAGGCATAATATTTAATAAACCAATTAAACACTATATTTCTCCACCAGATAAAATTGGAGAAAGTGAACTCCTACTGCTGATGGATCAGAATAGTATTTTCTATTATATCCAACTAGATTTAGAAGGTAGGTTGTTAACTAATTTTGATATTACTGAATTGCCTATTGTAAATGATCTTTTAAAGGAAAATTCAAATCCAACATGTATATCTTGTATCAGTGAACATAACGCAAATAATATGACAGATTTGTTTATTGGTTATCAATCAGGTGATGCTTTGGTTTTGAGATTAAATAACATTAAATCTGCAATAACATCAAAGGAGCAACATATGGAAACAGTGGACAGTCTCTATGAATTCGATGAAGATGAAGATAATTTATATGGAGATGAAAGCTCGATCGACGCAAAGTCAGGAAAAAAGGAAATATTGGTGGAAAGCATACAACCGTTTAACATTGAATTGCTATCCCAATTCAAAAACATAGGACCGCTAACATCTTTAGCCGTTGGAAAAGCATCCTCTATAGAAACCAATGTTAAGGGTCTGGCTAATCCTAATCAAGGTGAATATTCGTTAGTTGGAACTTCTGGTAATGGTACAGGCTCTCATCTTACTATAGTACAACAAAGTATGCAACCCCAGATTGAGCTGGCTCTAAAATTTATTAGTGTCACTCAGATTTGGAATCTGAAGATTAAATCACAAGATAAGTATTTAATTACTACAGATTCAAAAAATTCAAAAAGTGATATCTATTCTATTGAAAAAAATTTTAAACTCTTTAGGGAAGGAAGATTCAGAAGAGATGCAACCACTGTATACATATCAATGTTTGGTGAAAACAAACGAATTGTTCAAGTAACAACAAATCATTTATATTTATATGATCTGAATTTCCATAGGTTAACAACCATGAACTTTGAATTTGAGGTAGTGAACGTTTCTGTTATGGATCCATACATTTTGATTACATTGTCAAGAGGTGATATCAAAATTTATGAACTAGAAAATAAACGTAAGAAAAAACTATTCAGAGTTGAATTACCTGACGTTCTCCCAGAAATGGTTTTAACTTCTGGTGTTATTTTAAAGAGTAATATGTGTAATGAATTTTTAACCGGTATGAAGAAATCTGATAAGGAAGAACTTTTATTTACATTTGTAACAGCTGATAATCAAATTATATTTTTTCCAAGAAATCACCATGACAGAATTTTTCAATTAAATGGTATTGATCAGCTAGACGAATTGTTATACATCAGTATATATCAACTACCAGATGAAGTAATACCAGATCCACAAATTAAACAAGTTATGATTAACAAACTTGGTAAGGAGTCAAAGGAGGAATATCTGACGATATTGACATTTGGTGGTGAAATTTATCAGTATAAGAAATCACCTCAACGTCATAGTAGATTTCATCGTAACTTATACAGGAATAATTTATCAATCACTGGTGCCCCAGAAAATGCCTACGCAAAGGGTGTTAGTTCGATTGAAAGAATTATGCATTATATCCCCGAATACAACGGCTACTCGGTGATATTTGTTCCAGGTAATGTTCCATATATAATTATGAAGGAAGATAATTCAGTTCCAAGGGTTTTTAAATTTGCAAATATACCAATTGTTTCGATGAGTCCTTGGGGACATAATTCTGTCATGTGTGTTGACGATATCAAGAACGCAAGAGTTTATACATTGGATCGTAAAGATATATATTATGGTAATCAATTGCCTCTGAAAAAAATTAGATTGAGTGACACTATTGAGGACTATAAATCTTTAACCAAAGTTGTATACAATGAAAAGTCACAGCTTTTTGTTGTAGCCTATGCAAAAGAGATTGACTATGAGGCACTGGCAGAAGATGGTGAAACATTGATTGGGTATGATCCTAATGCAAAGCACGCTAAGGGTTTCCAAGCTGGTATATTGTTAGTCAATCCAAAAACTTGGAATGTTATAGATAAAATTGAATTTGAAAGAAATTCATTAATAAATGACATGAGATCAATGACAATTCAAGTGAATTCAAAGACTAAAAAGAAGAGAGAGTTATTAGTAGTTGGTGTTGCATCGATAGGAACTGAAGATTTGCCCTCTGCTGGGTCTTTCCATGTTATTGATATTAATGAGGTTGTACCAGAGCCTGGTAAACCAGATACAAATTATAAATTTAAAGAAATTTTCCAAGAGACAGTAAGAGGTAACGTCAATTCTGTATGTGAAATAAGTGGTAGATTTATGATTAATCAAAGTCAAAAATTATTGGTGAGAGATATTCAAGAAGATGAATCGGTTGTACCAGTTGCCTTCCTTGATGTTCCTGTATATGTTACAGATACAAAATCATTTAGTAACTTGATGATTGTTGGTGACTCAATGCAAGGTTTCCAATTTGTTGGGTTTGATGCCGAACCTTATAGAATGATTCCACTTGGTAGAAGTGTCTCAAAGTTTAAAACTGTAGCATTAGAATTTTTGGTAAATAATGGTGATATTTTCTTCATTGTTTCGGACAGAAATGATATTTTGCATGTTTTAAAATATGCACCAGATGAACCTAATTCATTATCTGGACAAAGACTTGCCCATTATTCCAGTTTCAATATACACTCTACTAATACCTCTATGATATTACTTCCATCTAATAATGAATTCCAATCGTCACCAAATGGACAAGCTACATTTCAATCTGTGGGTAGTTGTGTGGATGGGTCGATATTCAAAGTTATCCCGTTAGATGAAGACAGCTTCAGGCGACTATACGTAATTCAGCAACAAGTAATAGATACTGAAATACAAGCAGGTGGTTTGAATCCAAGAATGGAAAGACTGTCCAATGAGTACTATCAATTAGTTCATCTAATGAGACCGATGTTGGATTTTAACATTATAAGAAGATTTAGTAATCTGTCAATAACTAAAAGAACAAAAATTGCACAAAAAGCTGGAAGAAGAGCACATTTCGATGTCTGGAGAGATATGATTAACATTGAATTTTCATTAAGATCATTATGTGGAAACAAATAAACAAATTGTCAACCATCAATTCATTTGTTAGTCCCCTGAAGTACATGTATTTTATTTTTATTTTTTTTTATAGAAATAAGTAAAAAGGTAAATAATAAGAACTGCATTTAATCAAATACAAAAATATTTTATTCACTTATCTAAAACTTGAATTAACAACCTCCAAGATGTTGGATTAACAGGATACAATCTGAAACCATTGTTATATCAAAACTGCCCTTACAGATCGATGAAGTTCTGTCTTCGTCCATTTCCTAACTAAGGCTTATTTTACGATATTTAAAGATATCTCTTGCTATCTGAAATTAAAAAAGGTTTAACATTCTAGAAGATATGGATTAAAGAAAAGGATTAAGGAGAATAGCAATCAAGATATTGTATTTCTAGTTGTTAACCTCATTGAATTGAAGGTATTTTAATAGATTGTAATTAGGTTTCTTTTGGTATATTTTAAAGCATTGAATTGAGAAGACATGCCTGTGAAGAAGAGGGCCAACGTTAAGAAAAGTGTTACGTTTTCTGATGATACTACATTATCCCATCATAATACTAAAAAGAAGAATATAGATCATGACCATCCTCCAGTATTTGTAAGAAAGACCATTAGGACTGTTCCATGGCATATAATTGGGTTATTGTATTATTATATCTATTTAAGTGATGATTATGATACAATGAGATTACTCTATTTGCTGATACCATCTCAAGTTTTATATTTAGTGTTTCAATTCAACAGTGCAACAATCTATGGTAATAAGATTTTGAAGATTAATTATACTTTAATTTTAATTTCATTAAGTGCCACGATACTCTTAACTGTTCCAACCTTATTGATGATTATTGTATTTGGAGCTCCTTTGGTTGAAAAATTGAGGGAAAGTTGGCTATTAGCATTACATGCTTGCTATTTGGCATACCCTGCTGTGTACTCGTTGTTCAATTGTGATTTCAAAGTAGGAATCTGGAAGATATATTTCATTTTTATCGTTTTAGGTGGTTGGATAAGTTGTGTGGTTATTCCATTAGATTGGGACAGAGAATGGCAGGCATGGCCAATACCTGTGATTGTTGGAAGTTATCTTGGAGCATTTGTAGGTTACTCAATCAGTGCTTTCACATAAGAGATTATTTACGATTTTTCCGATTAATGGATTGATCACCTACTGCATGAACTTCGATAAAAGTATAATTGTATAAAAAAATGTATTATAACAATATTTACATGTGAATGTATTGATATTTAAGGAATATAAGTATTTTTATTTAATAGTTTTTATTAATTCTTCATTGGAATATAGTTTTGATTGAGGGATGAAATTATTCTGGAGGATAATGGTACCTGGACCTTTGATTTTATAAAACATTTTATCCTTTTTAAAGAATTTTGTAGAATACAGCATAATATCTTCATAAAAATGATTTGCATATTTTATTATAAACTGTTTCAATTTAAGTGGAAGCTTGAAGTGGGATCTTAGGCCAATTAGCTCTAATTTCAAATTAGAATCATGAGCTAAAAGTGATTCTGGTGTAATCATTATTACTTCATCCTTTTGGACACTCATCCGATATGTAGAACCTGAACCACATAATGCTACTACACCTAAACCTTTTATGATAGAATCGTCAGATTTAGAGAGATCGCCACTATAACAGAGTACGTTATCGTCGAAACTACGAATCTTAATACCACTTTTATAATCATCTAACTTCAAAATTGCGATGCTTGAAGCCGGTACTGGGGAACTCATCATTAGGTTTGCTGGGTATTCTTTTGTAGCAAATTTAGTCATGCAATTGATTTCTTCTGAATCTTCAGCAAGAAATGGTCCATTTAAGGCATTCGAATCGACATTTAAGGCACAAATTTTGTTCAAATTACCATAAATAGTACAATAAGCTGGAAGTTTTGCAATAATAGAATCCTGTAGTTGTTCGAATTCAGGTAACTCTACAAACGGACCTGATCCTGTCCCTCCTTTCCTTCTAGTAAAATTATCAATGACTTTACCATTTGTTTGCATGAATCTCTTCGAGAAGGATAAAGCACCTCTAGTAGACAGGATTGGATGGCAAACCCTTCTGAGCAACATCTGATAACAATTGCGTTTAGTGCTATCCCCTTCCAGTACTCAGAATATCAATTGATCGATATACAATTGTGTTTTGTTCAATCAAATATCTTCTATTTCTTATATATTGAAGATGCTTGGGCTCTTTGATTTAAGAGTGTTCGGATCCGAATATTAAAATTAAGCAGCTTTAGCAGTACTAATTATAACCCATTTCACTAAAAAGGTAAATGGATTGAGAGCGTAAATAAAAATATGTATCTAATAAACTAGGAATTGATTAATATTCATTAGTTTGGAACGAATTCATTGGTGACCATGTAACTTAAAGAAAATATCATCTTTAAATGATACTTTTATTGATTACTTGACTATTTGTTAATTTCATAAAACAAAACATAAAAATTTAAATCCAACTGGTTAAGAAACAAATAAAAATTCTATTCAGTTTAAAGTTTGAATCCAATGAACTAGTTAATGCAGAAACTTTACTTTATTTGTAGTATATATATAATCTTATAAAATTAAATTTCTTTATTGATAATACAAGTTGTCTTATAAATTCTATGAATAAATGTTAACATGAAGGGAAAATTTCGTCGAATAGTTAATTTACAATCATGAGTAGAATGAGCTGTAGATAGCTGCAAAATTTGATGCAGTTATACCTAGTTTACTTGGGTCTTTAGGTGTGAAGGTGGGACGCTGTGAAAAGAAGTCTGTTTTGATTAGGGATTCAGAAATGGTGCGTAACTTTTGAATATCCTTTAATAGAGCGACTGTGTCAGCATTTTCGAATCCGTTGTTTGAGGTTGTTACCTGTTTTGCAGGTTGTAGATCTGATTCAACGTATTCCAACATAGTTGTGATCTTAACCGTTAATTTAGATATCATTACATTAGTTACCTTTAAGTTTTTAGAGTAATCTTGTAACAACATCATTACTTTATGTAGTAACAGTACCAATAGGCTCGAGTGCTCCTTTAGTTCCTTTTTAGCAGTATTTTCTTCTGTAGAGGATTGCGACTTTCTGACGGCGTCAGTAGAACGTTGATGTAAACCTAACAACATTTGACAAATATTATCCAATGTCATAAATGATCTACTGCTAAAAATAAACTCGTATCCGGCAAACTTTAGACTTGCTAGATTAGAGAATATGTAAAACAAACTTTCTTGAATTAATTGAAGAAATTCAGTAAAAGTATCCTTAAAGTTTTCTTTATCACCAAGTTCTTCATACTGAAGCAGTAGATAATAATTCATGAACAATGTACTGTTACGGTATATAAGGGCATTCATAACACTGTGTATCAGTGAGCTGGTGTGGAAACATCTTTTATTCTGATCATTTAGTTTGACTTTATATAATTCTTTCATTTTCTGTAATTTTTGCATTGAAATCAATTCTTCCTTTGAATGTAAATATTTCACCATTTCAATTTGGAAATTTAGTAACCCAATATCATTAGTTAACAATGGATCAATAACTAGGGAGGAGTTAAGCTCAGGACCACTGACCAAGTCTGGAATTTCACCCTTATATAAATGTCTCCAACAATAGTTTTTATAAATGAAGTTCCACAATATAATTAATGATTGATTTTTTGATTCATTATTCAATGATAATTGACGTGCAAGATGAATATCTTCATCATAATCAACAATTTCACAGTAATCACTTGAAATCATTTGATAAAATTTGTATAATGCGATAAACTTCAGTACATCTATTGAAGTAGAATAACTTTTTCTTTTCTCCAGTTCAAACTTTACCATTTCTAAATTTGATTTCAATTGTGGGACCCATTGCCTTAGCTGATCGAAAACTAACAATTGTTCGTCCTTTAATGGAATTAGGACTGTGGAAGCGTTTGATTCAAATGACAAAAGCAAGCAAACAGATATATAACCTAATGTGACAACTTGACCTAGATTCAATTTAGTTGTTGTGAATATCGGCTCACGACCAAAAAGTTGTTCAACTGAGGATAATAACTCATTTGGCTTTAATATTGGGATCAAAGAACTTGATTCTGCGACAATTTCAATATATTTTGATATGATCTGTTGTGAAACTTCACGAGCAGGAAATCTCAGAACTTGATCAGCTTTAGATACGATCGGTGTTTCTGATCTTACTTTATTCCAAACGTCAACCTGTGGTTGAAATTCACTTTTAACAACCTTGCCCAATTTGTGGTAAAATCTAGCGAGATATTCATCTCTGCAGATTAAGAATTTGATATCGAATGAAGTATTTGGTGAATCTTTAATAGGCAATAAACTTTCTTTAAATTTCGTTTTCTTATTAAACACTGAAAAAATTTGAGAATCGTCTAAAAATTCAGGGTCAACATCTTTGAAGGCATCAATAAATTTTCTATTATTAATACTAGTTTTAATTTCCTGTACTATTCTCAATCTTTGTTTTTTCAATACCAATTCATCAGTTTCAGTATCATCATCGTCGTTAGTTCTTTTAGCATTTGAATATTCTGATTCCAAGTTGTTATCTTTAATAATATTTTGTAATTCTTTGTATCTGGAGGTTAAAAATTTCATTTCTTTTAATAATACTTCCTCTTGAGAGTACATTGAAGTCATTAAATCGAAAATTGTTGGACTTTCATAATAATTCATTAGCATTGAATAGTCGTCAAAATTTGAATCCTTTGGATTCAAACCATGGTATAAATTCAAGTCTGCTGGCACAGGAGAATTTCTATTATCCTGAGCAGTCAACAGTTGCAATCTGGTGTTATAATCTCTAATTTGTTCCATTGAGACAATACCAGAATTTGCGTGATGGGAGATGATAGTAGCTTCTCTTGACTGTTGATTAGGTAAATGCTGTCTTTGTTGGTAATCTGATCTATGCAATTTTTCAGGAGCTGGAGAAGAAGTTACATAAGCGCCAGGCACATCTGGATAAAAACAGTCAGTTTTATGAGATTTTGCACAATTTCCACATATTGGTTTCCCACGATCACAACCAATTTTCCTCCTACGACATTGAACACAAGCTGGTGGTTTTTTCATTTTTCTCCCACGAATATCCATCATTAATACAAGGCTATACTATTTATAATTATTATTATTGCACTGTGTAGCGTCTCTTTGCAGTGACAAAATAGTTTTTCAAGAAAGTTGAATACAATCTTGTAAGTGTAGCCAAATATATGCAATGTAACGGTTTAATTTGGCCAAAAATATTGAAAATGTACCAAAAATTCAATTCAAAAATTATATTAGAACAAAAGAAACTCCAACTACTTCAACCCAGATCTATACTATTCCTCAATGGGCTTGACTAGCGATACAGAATATAACCTTAGTATCTTAGATATAGCTTTGCTTTGCTTTGCTCTGCTTTGTTCGTTAATTTTTCAATGAGTACGTAATAACTACTTGATACCGAGACAAATAAACCAAAAAGAAAACCTTTCCCACACCGATATTATTTAAGCACTCTCAATTAAAATATTATATTGAACTCTCTAGCGACAAAACTGAATCCCATAGACAATGGCTATTAGTGGTTATCTTTATTCCAAATAATCATATATGTTTTAATTGTAAGTATCATTAAAACCTATTGTTATAATGCTGTTGTTTGTTCAATTTTAATGGTTGGATGAGAATTCTTTTGGAAAAGAGAGGAAGAGCTGGTCCGGGTAAGAGGGTTACGTGTGTGGTGATGTGCACGTGATTGCAGTCACATGATCAGATGTTTCACGTGGTGGCAGGCACGTGATTACTACTATGACAAGTACCCAGGCACACTGGCACACAAGCACAAGGAACTTTGGGTAACGGATCTGAAAACGTTTATTAAAACCAACCAGATGGATGAGGTATCCACTGGCCACCAAAAATAATTATAAATATATATAAATGAAAATAAAATAACGGTGAGTTTTATTTATACTCTAGAAATGAATAACATCCCACACTTTTCACAACAAGTCGTAATCACCACAGGCAACGATCTTGACGGTCTTCTTTGGCTTGTCCTTACCGTCTCTTGGAACGTTTTCAACCTTGTTGACTATAGACATACCTTCAATGACTTGTCCAAACACAACGTGATGACCATCTAACCAAGCGGTTTCAACAGTGGTGATAAAAAATTGAGATCCATTGGTGTTTGGACCAGCATTGGCCATCGATAATCTACCTGGTCTGTCATGTTTCAAAGTAAAGTTCTCATCCTTGAACGATTTACCATATATAGATTTCCCACCAATACCAAGACCATGGGTGAAATCACCACCTTGGATCATAAAATTAGGAATAACTCTATGGAAAACAGAATTTATATAGCCAAACTTAGGATCCTTGGAGGTAGCTAGCTGGTAGAAATTCTTAACAGTCTTAGGAACTACATCTCCATACAATCCAATCACAACTCTACCTAATTTTTCATCACCATGGTTAATATCAAAGTAAACCCTCTGTGTGATCTTAGGTTCGGTGGTTGCTGTAACGCAGAACAATAAATAACAGAAAACTGAAACAATAGAAAACAATCTCATCGTATCAACCAGTAACCTCTAGCCAGTTGCAACAGAAACTCTTGTCAATTGAAACCAATCTATCCACTTTTATAATTCTATAACAACCAGCCAACTCTTCTTTCTATACTAAGTGATAAGTTCCATGAACGAATTAAGTTCCAAGCTGTCAGTTAAACATTCGTGATGGGCGATGTCAGATTACAAGTACATGACGTTGTACTTTTAATAGAAGAGATACAACCAACGATGTATCACATCTATTAGATCAGAATGAATACCATTCGAGTTTATTATTCGAATTGTCCTTATTACTTTAGTTATATATGGTTACTATGGTACCAATACTACTAGTGCGATGACCTCTCATCGATTCGTAGAACAAACAGAATCTGTAATAAGACTGCCTCATACGATTGATCATATTTATAAGAGTAAATATAAAAAAGAGCCTTGTATGTAATCTTTATATCATGTATTTATAGTTATTCTATAACTAGATAGTTGCCATTGTGTTTATCGAATCTTCATTTTAAAGCTCCTCAGTTGGTATCTCGAGAAAGAGAGAGGGAGAAAGGGAGACAATTGGAATAAAGAATGCGATAGTTAACAATTGAAAGCAGTTAGAGCGTGGAATTGTTCGGAAAGAAACGAATCACAACTATATATATATCAGTACTTACTGATGAAGTATAACAAATTATAAGGAAGAGTTGGAGAAAAAAACATATATTTCTTAACTTAAATAATAGTATTATCTTTACAATTCATCATGAACTGGTTCTGGATGTTCAGCTACATATTCATCAATCTTGGCAGATGGGACGATATCGATAGCACCACAACCGACAATCTTAACTTCTTCTAATGGCTTGTCCATTCTATCGGTAGCAACAGTTTCTAGTTGACTCAAGACATCTAAACCTTCAATGACTTGGCCAAAGACGACATGCTTACCGTCCAACCATGGAGTCTTGACAGTAGTAATAAAGAACTGAGAACCGTTAGTGTTCTTACCTCTGTTGGCCATAGATAATCTACCTGGTCTGTCATGTTTCAAAGTGAAATCTTCATCATCAAACACAGCACCGTAAATAGATTTACCACCGACACCAGTACCATGGGTGAAATCACCACCTTGGATCATGAAGTTTGGAATGATTCTATGGAAAATAGAATCCAAATAACCCATTTCAGGATCTGGAGACATAGTTAACTGGTAAAAATTTTCAACAGTCCTTGGTGCAACAGAATCGTATAAACCAATAATTATACGACCCAATTCTTTACCACCATGCTCAATATCAAAATAAACACTACGAGTGACTTCTGGTTCTTTCTCATCCTTACCAGCAAGAGCAAAGCTGGCAAATAAAAACAATGTAGAAATAATCAATTGTAATGGATTCATCTTGAACAATTCAACTTTTCTTCTTTTTAATAGGCTTCCTTCTTCTCCTCTGAGATCAAAACCTGCAGTTCAAAAATACCAAAATGAACTAGAAATCTGCAATTGACCAACAACACTCACCAAACAGAACCAATCAGCACAAACAAACAATCAATCACAAACAATTCAGCATCCTTTATAGTTAGTTCCTTATAGTTTGCTTTGTTTAATGGTCGAAACCATTTCGTTAATTTGTTGAGCTGGCGAGTTGTAACCTCTATTAAAGCCGACGTTCACAATGACACAGCTAAAAGAGAAGCATGACAACCATCGATGATGACGATGACGACAGCACTCAAGACCAAGAGATGACCTTGACCTGTGTGACCTGATCTGGTCAACTAGAGACTGTGACTAGTTTCCTGATATATTCTCAAATGTATTCAGGTTTTGATTTAATACTCATCACCATTAATGTGTCCATCATATCTCTTGTTAATTTATCTTGATTTGTTTGGAAACCATTATGATCAAACTGAGAAGTGCTAGCCGGTTGAGTAGTAGCTACTGTTGCTGATGCTGACAATGTTGTATTTGAAACGCTGTTCCCATTGGTTCCAATATCGTTATTTGATGTCGAGGTCGGTGTCGAATACGATTCGTCTTGGATCGTTTTAAATTGGACCCCTTGAGATGGTTCGAATTGGATTAGATTGCGTAATGTTTTTAAAGTTGATGATAAATGGTAGCTTGTGGATAAAAGTCTGCTTTGCACCACTTTGAAAACTGTTGGTGATTGGTATACGTTTGCACCAATTATATAATACGCTTGCAATGGTTGTGTAGATTCTGAAGAGATTCTATTTTGTTTCTTAATAATCCAGAAATCAGGTTCTCTAACGTAGGATAAAACATACTCTACACCTTTCATTTTACCTAATTCTCTCTCTAACATCGCATGCATCGGATATCTAGTCAATATATCCCTTCTTATCATATCTACGTATCCAAACTCTTGATCCTGATCCTGATGATTAACAGATGTCTTGAATATATTAATCTGTTGTTGCTGCTGTTGTTGAGATTGCTGGGACTGTTGCTGCTGCTGCGATTGTTGCGATTGTTGTTGTTGCTGCTGCTGCTGTTGTTGATCCCCTCCACCGTTGGCAGGCGTGTTGCCAGATGGATTATCCATCACTGGCATTTGAGAAAACTGTCTCTGCATCTTAATCACTTGATTATTAGACGTCTTCTCAAAAAATGGTGATTCTGCAAAATAATCTAAAACATTATCAGTTCTTAAACCGAAAGCTTGAATCCATTCTGGCGATTTCCATTGCAATTCATCTAAAGGAGGTTGACCTGACATCGTGCAAATACTTATAAATACCTTGACTACAACACTGACTGTTGACTGACTTGCCCTTTCAACAATTGATGTTCTAACAACGATTGACTATCTCCTGTTATAAAGTGTTCTTTCATACATATGTTCTTTCACTATGATGAATTTTTCATATAGTATGGAAAAGTGAAAAAAAATATCTAACCACTCTATAAAATGAATAGAACTCAATAGTGAACTGGTTATGTATTTGAAGGGGGAAAAGTGAATTGTTTCAGGCTTATTACCAACCAGGACAGTCTATAGAGTGTCTTTCCAGATCTGAATATATATATATATATATTTGTGTTGTTAGCACTTACTCTTTTCCTTTGATCATCAGATTGCAGCTATGATTTCACGTAGATTTTTATCTATCTCTAGACCATTATTGAAATTGAATAATACCAAGGTTTCAATTCCCAAGACCAATGAGAGTATACCTGATGTTGACACATTTTTAAAAAAGATAGGCAGAAGTTGTCATGAAGCCTCTGAGACTTATGGTAATAATTGGAGCAACCTATTTACTTGGAAGTCAAGAGCATTAAAAAGAAGAGGTATAACTGCCCAACAAAGAAAGTACATCCTTGAACAAGTTGAAAGGTACAAGAGAAACAAGGAAATTGTCCAGGTGGATAAGGGTAAGAAATCATTCTTTGGTGGTGAAAGACATAGAAAAGAGAATCATGCTAAATGGGAAGCTGAACAAAGGGTCAAAAATTGATAGTTTTTTGAATTGTACGCCAACCATGGTATTATTATATCTATTACATATCTAGATATATTTTTAATTAGTAGTGAACCTTGTAAATATATGATCATACATTTTAATAACATATTCATTCATATTGTAATCCAGCATCTGTTCATTTTCAACCGACTTGTTATTGATTGAATAGTAACAGTTCATTATTTCTATATCAACTACATATAGTAAATACGGAACAGGTAAATAAAACAAAAATATAAATGCTTAATTAAATAATTCTTGAAAAAAAATAATGCTATTTTATATTGGTATCAAATACAATGACTAAATTTTTTTTGTTTTCATACTTACAGTAATATAATGACAGAGTTCGAGGCAAGGAACTGAACTTCAATAATTTAGATACAGTCCACCGCCTTGATCTTCAAATGCACAAACCAAATCTTCTACATCGCTACTTTGCATATCCCAACCAAGCTTTGAAGATATAGATATATTTTTTAAGCATGGCAGTCTGGATTCCATAATAGCTATTGTAAAATCATCTGGATGAATTTTAGATGCTAAACCTAACGCCCCGCTGCTTTCAAGATAGATGGTCTTTAAGGGTCTAGGATATATCAATTTTGTTAACATATGCTCTGAAAATGTCCATTTAGAACAGTAATCAACCATTAATTGCACCGAAATAAGATTCGAACAGTATCTGAATATATAATCCAATGAATTATCATGCAAAGATGGCATAGGATAGTGGAAAAATAAATGCTTTAAATTATCACCAATCTGAGACAATACTGTATATACAGCATGCTCATCAACTTTTGGACAGTATGAAAATTCTAAAGTAGTGATGGTTCTTGGCCATATAGTTTCTCTTACAAATTCATTAGTGATCCCGCCACTTAATTTAACATATTGCAGATTCGGTGGCCAGACAAATTCACGGAAGCCTTCACAATCGATCGAGCTTCTTGGAAATGCTAAATGTGTCAATTCTCTGAAATTACTTATTGCAGAGAATAATTCTTTCAATTTAACAGTTTCTGAAACTAATCCCAAATCTAAATATTTCAAATTATGACATGATTTTAATGATACTAATGGTGTATAACCGAAACTAGTTTGGGGAGCGGTAAATTTCTCTAACCTGGGTGAACAACGCCGTAGTAATTTTGAGACATGTGAGTTCTTACCACTTTGTAAGATCGTTGATAAATCTAACTCATAGACATATTCGCCAAACTTCCTCTTTTTATTATCGATTATTGTACTAACAAACATGTTGAAATTTCTACTGCTTAATGTAGGAGATTTATAAAAGGATGGCAGACACATCCAATACCAGGCTTTACAGACTAATAAAAAATTCAAAGGTGTATCATCACAATAATAAATAATTAATTTTTGTATTTCATATGGTACTTTCATTGGAGAACCACCGATATCTAATAATTGCATATTAGATAATAAATCTGCGTCTGAAATATGTCTTTTATCATTACCACTAGAATTCCTCCTGTTGGACTTCAACGAGTTTTTCCTTCTATTTTTACCTTTCTTCGATATCTCAGAATTATAATCGTCAATATATTCATTTTCATCAATAACTTGTTCCTCAACATATAGTCCATCGCCAATAGGTACTAGTGTATTGTTAAAACCCAACGTTCTCACAAACCCTTGTCCACCGACATACTTTCTATAAGGAGCCTTAACTTTTTTTGGTCTCGACTTATTAGCCATTATTATGTCGATATTATTAATATATATAGTGGAAGAAACAGTTAACCTCTACTGAAAACCATTAATATAATTATCCAGCTCTATTTCAACTTCTAATCTTAAATTTGATATTATATACTTCTAGCAAACGCAATAAAAATAATATCCTTCTAATAAATATGTATATTTTATTTTAAATTTTTCAGTTTGGAACTATAATGAACCTTAGAACGTATCCTGATAACAACAAGATAACGTATATTAACACATCTCTATTGCTTTAATAGTATTCAATTGACTGATTCTTCTTATCGCTGAATATTCCAACTTCTAATAGTTAAATGTTTGTCAATTACTAACAATTGGATATTAAGGACAATTAGGAAAATAAATTTAGGAAATTGATGCCAACAAGAATTGAACCAAGGAGAAGTAGTGATAGTTTGCGGTTGGGTTAGGGGGTATCACGAAAAAGAAGAAACGAAGTAAAATAATTTCGAAGCGATTCTGCAGAGAAATGTACGCACATTCACGTAAGCACACACTATAATATATGGTTATCCAGTCAAAGAAAAATATCGAGTGGAATATTGAGAACAAGTTCAACAAGAGGAAGGTTAATCATTGTATTTCAAACGGAAGGACACGATTGAGACACACACACATTGAGAGGAGGTAACAGTGTATATCACATACAATTTCCCGTTTGTATCCATTGTTTTTAAAGCCACAGAAAGGGAGGAATTGTTAATGAACTTTACAGTACAAATTTTTACACCTTAGAAGAATTAATTATTATACCAAGCAATAATCAAGAGTGCTAAACCGTCTCAATTAGTCATTGCAAATTGTTAAAAGGATTATATTTTGAATTGTAGAGGATGGAAAAATCAGGTAAGGCATCTGCTGCAGATAAGGTGTCTAACAACAGTATAAAGGACAATGGTTTAAGGAAAGGTCCATTTAGAGAATACTTCCCAATCGACTACAATGATATTAAAGGTACTGGTAAATTTTTACCATATTATCTAGATTTTATTATTGGATTATTCATTAGTGGGTTTTATTTTTATAGGTCATATCCACAATTGAATTATCAATCTCAGGAGATTTTAGAATCAGAGAATCAAATACTGTTAGCGATAAGACATTACAAGAATGGCGAATTTTACTTAGGTCCTTATGCACCATTTGGAATTCAATTATTTTCATTATTACCAAATGATATATCAGTATTGAGGGTTGCTTCTCTTTCCATTGGTGCTTCAACGGTTTTTTTCAGTTATTTAGGAGCAAGAAGGGCAAATATGACTAGTTTGGTATCGATTATATTTTCATTATCACTTACCTATATGTCTATTTTCAAAGTTCAATCAACTCAATTGTCAATCGACAATTTGTTCTGGTTATATTTGACTATGATTATCTATTCTTGGAGAAGTATCAAAATTTATAACCCATTTTCTACCAAATGGTATTTACATTATGTTCTTCTATCATTTTCATTGGGCTCAATAATATCAACGAAATTTTTAGGGTTTTTCACTCTGCTTTGGATCATATCATTATCTGCCTTAAATTTCTGGAATATAATTTCTGACGTTACTTTGAACAATAAATTCTTGATCAAGTATCTATTATTTTGCTCCACAATGGTTTTGATAATACCAGTTACATTTTTTGTTGGATCGGAATCAATGCTGCTAACAAGTTGGAAAAATGATAACATCGAATACTCAACTTACATGTCACCAGAATTCAAATCCTATTTAAGAGGACCATTTAAAGTTACCGAGAATCTTCATTTCGGCTCTGTTATTACATTGCGTCATGTAGAATCTATGGGAGGATATTTGCATTCACACAATTTCAATTATGAATCTGGATCAGGTGAACAACAAGTATCCTTATCACAGAATGAAACTGATAAACAAAATGAATGGATAATTGAACACGAATCTGCAGGTTTTGATGTATCTAGCCGCAATGTCGTAATAGAAAATGGTAGCAAGATCAGACTGAGACACAAGAGTTCTGGTAAATTATTACGTGCTTCAACTGCGAAACCACCTGTCAGTGAACAAGATTATACTAATGAAGTTTCATGTACTCGTGATGAGGATTATAAGGGAGAGACCGATGAATTATGGACTATTCATATCACTAATTATCAGACAGATGGGAAAGTTAAGCCATTGGGGTCAATTATAAAAATTAGAAATGTAGGCCATGCCTGCGATTTGATCAGCCATGATACTCGCTTACCTAGTGAAAAATTCACTGAACAGGAAGTACTATGTTTAGATCCAGCAACACAATCTAGAACCCACTTCAGAATTGAGAAGGTATCTCAGCCAAATAGAGAGGGTACCAAAATGGTGTTTTTTCCAGATGAGAATAGTATGAACATGCCATACTATATTCATTTATTAACAGAGTACTTGTCCAAACAATATAAATATAATTATTATGTGGTAAACTATAATCAAAAAGCAGAATACACCCCAGAAAGCTGGCCATTTTTCGTTTTTGACAAGAAATTCGAGTCATACATCTGGTTATCATCCACTTTAGGTCTTGGGTTATTTGTTTGCGGTCAATTGATTTCATTTTTAAGATGGAACCCATACGAATCTGGTGACATATCTGTGCAACAAAATTCAGATCCAATATTTGCTGAAATTTGTTATGAATACCTATTGGGTTGGATTTTACATTACTATCCGTTCAATAAAAGTGTAGTAATGAACTTAGATATTATCCTTTATTTCCCAGGATTTTATTTTGGATTACTTCTGTTAGCAAAATATATGGATGGAATTTACAAATGGAACAGATTATCAATTCTAGTCCCTGTAGCATATGTTGTATACATACACTTTTACTGAGATGAACATTCTACTAATTGATAAATTGGTTTAAAGAGTTTATTATATGCGTGTATTTTATTTAACTTGATAATGATCAAGTTTTATTTATTGAATAATATAAATTCAAAATATTGAACATTTGATTCAATACCACAGTATAATAAATATCTGCCTTCTCTTCATCGATCCATATCCTACAAAATGACTTCACAAAGAGAAAATAAGACGTATTTCACCATTTCTACTTTCATGTTTACAAATATTAAATAATAATGTAAGATTTAAATGTAATAGTCCATACTTTAACATGAAACATTGTATGTACGATGTATGCGCTAAATAATTACTTAATAATGAATAACTTATATCTAAAATGGAAGAACAATGCATAACTCTTGATCAAAACTATAACTGCGAAACAAGAGTGTTTAATAACCTAATTAATTGTAAAATAACATGAAACCAAATATATTCAACTGTGAAAACTTATGATTGAGGTGGTGTTTGAGTGATGATTTTACCATATGATGAATAACGAAATGATGAAGGACGTTCAGGAGAATCGAGACCTCTAGGTTCCAAATAGTAAGTAAGAATATCATCATCCAATGACTTTCTAGATAGAGACCCTGTACCTGTCTTTTTGAACCAACCATTTTCTAGCCGTGAACTGGCTAGTAAATTTGGATCAGACTTTGTTGCATCTCTTAATGAAGGTTGAAAATCACTTTCCAGAAGTGTTTCCTCCCCTGCATGCTCAGTTTCATTATCATTATCATTATCATCACTAGTACTCATACTTGTTGCTGTATTTAATAATTCGATATTTTCAAGATCAAATATATCTTTATCTTGAAGGACTGTTGGGAATGTATAACTTTTTAAATATTCTAGTGATATATTGCTCGAATTTGAATCACGAGCATATCCACTATCGATGTGTTTCTTTTCAGAATCGCTTGTTCTTAATTGTCTTTTAACTGGCGAATCTGCAATGGATGTAGCCATTGTCACCGTTGATGTGATTCTTGAAGTTCTAATTGTATCAATAGTGCTTTGCTTCGAGTATTGGGATGAGCTAGTAGATACAGAACGACCCATTGATGTTCTATAAGTTCTTAATAAATTTCTACTTTGTAATGTTGAATTGTTATAACTTTCTGGGATTGTTTCTGTTACAAATGCTTTACTCAATGACCTTGTATGTGTTGGAACATTAGGATGCGAAGAGTCATTACCGCCATGTTCGTTATCATCAATGCTGGGGAGTAAGACCTCTTGCTTGGATTCTTCATTTGTAGTTGCTTCAGTTGTAAGTTCATCTTCTGAAGAATCTGCAGCATGCGAAATGTGTTGGAAACCAAATGGTGATGAAATTTTCTTGCCAAGAAGCTTTTGACCATTGAATTCTTTATTTTTGAAGAAATTTATTAATTGCTTCTTCTTTGATAATCTTTTATTATTTTTCAGATAATAATAATCTTCATCATCATTTGAATTAAAATTATTGCTATTGTTTAATGGTTTAATTAGTTCCATATTTTTCAATAATGGTTTGTTACTATTAATCATCTTGACACCTAATTTTTCATCATCATCATCGCCAGCCATGAATTGTTGAGCCTGTAAACCATATAATTTTTCAGCCTCTTCATCTTCATCTAACCAGATCGATTTCATCTGTGGGAGAAGATATGTAGGTACGACTCCATCTTCCATTATTGTTAATATGAATGCAATGATATCTAGTTATATATACTTCTCTTGGTACAGATTCTATCTTGAACTAACCTCCAATATATTACAATGGCTTATGATCAAGTATATATATGAATGACTGATAACACTGATGAATATGGGTTTTTTGACTATGGACTAGACAGAAAATATAAATCTGAGGAATTCAAAATGGCTAAAACGGTTTACGAAACTTGTAAAACTAATATATATTATATTTTGATGAAATTGATTAATATATATCAAGTAAGATATGATAAAATCAGAAACTGATATTAGACAAAGAATACACTTAAAACAAAAATTCTGATGATTGAAGTTTCCTAGAAAGAAAGTAACCTCAAAATGGACTTGCTGATAATCCAAACGCAATCAATTAAATAATATATCTATATATAATATGATATAACATGATAAATAGATTATTTTTACCAAGATACCAACAAACCAGAATCACTTAGAGAGTATGTATGTGTGTGTGTGGGTGGTCAAAAATGTCTAGTAACAATGAGACTAGACATTGTTCCATTCAAACTTTTCCATAAACAAGTAAAACCCAAACAAATTGGCAGAAATTTATCATCATATTATGATATAATATAGAATTGTATAATAAGACTACTAAAAATATAGAGATAAACACGAATAGATCAGTAGATAACTTCATCTTCAACTATATAATTAACCTTTCACTAAACCCTTTCAGTTTTTTTCTTGTATTGTTCTGCATCGCTTTGTTTGTTTGCATCTTGGATGTGTTCGAAATCAAAATCGAACTCGAAATTATTTTGAAAACTGGTATTCGAACAAGAGTCCTGTACGTCTAGTTCATAGTAAATTTGCTTTTTCCATAGTTTATGCATATATATACTTCTGCTTCTCTCTTCTGAAAAACGGTTGATAAGTAAGAACAGAGGAAGAGTATCTGTTACGATACTAATTTTGTCTACTGTTCAACTAATCAGTGAGTAGCAATTAGATCAATATTTTTTCCTAGATCAAGTAACCAGAAATGCCACTTTCAAAATTTCCCAAGATAGTTCGAAAAGACAGCATCTAACGTGAAAACTTGGTGATTTCTACCAGCAACAGGCCTCATTCTGCAGTTGGTAACCAAAAAAAACAACAACATAACACTGCTGTAGACAAAGACAGTAGAGTAAAAGCCGTATGTCTAAGTTTTTACTAGTCTAGTTTAGTTTATTCTGATCCAGTCTTGTCTGACACAGTATAACGTACTGAACTCTGCTTAGATTTCCATCCTCCCATCCCCATTCCATCCACCTGTATCTCCATTACCACCAGCAGTAGCATTGCTTCAAAATTTGCTTTTTTTTTTTGGGACTTCAACTGACTTCCACTGGTTGATTCTTACCTTGAAAGGTATTCTCGAAAGTGTCAACTTCCTAACTGAAAACCTCTACTAGCAAACACCAGAAGCTTAAGTTAGCTATATGTAATGGGGAGGTAGGATATGATATATCTTCAAATTTGCTGTTTTAGGTACTTCACTTACTTAATAGGACTCTTATTTTATTTTTTTTTCCTGTTAGAAGATTGAAAGCCACTGGGTTAGAATGGTAGTGTTAGATGCTTCTTGTACGTAGTTCTTTCTGATTTTGCCATTGTTTTCCCTTCTAACTGTCCTTACGAGTACATTTTTCAGTTAAATGGGAACATTTCGAACACGTTGATATAATCTGATTCGATTAGAAGAGACCCAGAAGAATCATCGTAACGTTTGCTGTGAATATATTCTGTTACGCTTTTTCCTCTTGATTTGTTTTATTTTTCCCTCTCTGGCATGTTCTCTTGCCTTTTTGTGATTTTTGTGATTTTTGTGTTTTTGTGTTCTTTTTACCTTTCTTTCTTTTTCTTTCTCTTTCTGTATTTTTCGAGAGCAAGCGCTGCAGAGTCAGATGTGATATGATGCGAAAAGAAGCCGGTATGTGGTAACAAGTTCACCTCAAAGCTGAGAAACTCCCGCAACAGGCTCTGATCTCGTTTTCGTATACCTCGGATGCGGTACGGTACATCCTGCCTGAAAAGTTGATGGAGAATGCTTGATACACCAAAAGAGCAAGAAAAAGAAATCAGTGAAATCTTTTTCTTAGAGCAGGAGGTACAGAATTTGGTGTTTTGTTTAGATAATTGTTTTTTTTTCATCTGGTTTTTGTTTTTGTGGAAAAAGAGAAGCAAAAAAAGTTTATTTAGAAATGAACTTCGTGTCTACTTTTGTGTTCGGTCTATTTTTTTTTTTTTATCTCAAGTCAAGAATTTACCTTATTAGGAATTGTGAGTTGAACATCGGTGTTCGGCGGTTGTGACGTAAATTTTATATTTGCTGAAAAGAGAAGATTACAATGTAATGCTGGTCCTATTTCATAGAAAAGGAGTATTGAATCAAGTTGGACTTGGCTACAGACAAGCATATCGTCAGATCGACGGTTCCCATCGGTCGTTATTGTTTACATCTTAATGAATCATGTAGAACTACTTCCATCTTCGAAATTTATTTATTGACTATTTGCTTATGGTATTCCTTTTTTTTTTAAGTATATATATCTTTCTATGCTATGGTACACACGTTTGTCTCTAGATTATATGAAATGTAAATAGGGAGTCTGCGGTACACGGGTCCTTCTGCTGCTAGTTTAGAATCGAGAAATAAAGAGTAAGGAGGAGGGATGCATAATTTTTTAAATCGTTAATTAATTAGCTGATTGGTTGATCTAGCGATTGACTGAACGTAAGGGATTTTGGCTTGCAGATGGCCTTTGTCTTGATTCGATTCACCATCCGATATGAATCTAGTGCATTGACATTCACCAGATCTAACAAGTCCTCCACTTGTTATTTCTTCTTGTTAGGGTAAAATAATTAGGGTGATTTTCAGCTTCATTAATCAATTACACTACTATATCTGGTTTATAATAAATAACCACCTCTCTATTATGCCATTGATGAACACTGTGTCTAGTCCGTTGATTGCCGTTTTTTCTTGGCTTGGGTTCTCGATATCCCGAGCATGGACAATATTATCTATAACAAAACATTCGCTATTTACCTTAAATAGGAAAACCGATTACGATTGCTTAGAGATATGCATCAATACAACGGATAATAGTGAAAAGACCAAAAACAGTAGCCAAATAGCACAATGCTCATCCCAATCGACCAATTCAGTAATCAATCAAGCATAAAAAGAGTCAAATGACAACAAAAAAACAGAAAATAAACATCAGCATTGCTCATTTTTTCGACATTTTCTTTTTATCCCTTGAAATTTCACTGTCAGCGTTACGTTTAACGATTTTAACCAGTTTAGTTTCGTCAATCCCTTCAATATCATCAACTACATTACTCACATCACCACCAACAACAATTGTTTGTTTATAACTTTTGTTTCTTAACCGACCATTGAGTAAAACTAATGATGCCAACTGGCCCATAGCCTTACCACATTTGTCACTTTCAAGACCTAACGTCTTTATTAAGCTAGTAACACCGATTATGTTTCTACATTCTAAAGAATTTTGTGCTCCACTACTAACTACGATACCTCTTGACCTGGAACTTCTAATTACACTTCTAGCATTGGAAATAAATTGTCTTCTAGATTGAAGGTCTCTCAATGCATAAGCATATGGAATTTCTACTTTTACACCTCTTTTAACACATCCGCAAATTGATTTATGTTTTAAAAATACTGGCAATCTTTGGCTATAATCAAATGTTAATAAATCGATATCTAGATTAGTAGTGGCCAAGGTAATGCCTTTTTCACTAATTGGCATTGCAGCAATAATATCATAAGCCTGTGATATTTTTGCCAAAGACTGTCCCTTTGATGGATCATCTATTATCAGTGTAATCCTTGAATATATTTTCATACCTGTATTTTCAATAAAAGTCTTGAATCTTTCCTTTATATCCATCGGATTCAATTCTTTAACATTGTTTGGAAATTTACTAGCATGGTTAACAGTAAAATTCAATGCAACATGTGTATAACCTAAAGTATGGCAAATGCTTAAAGTATCTTCTAATTTTACCAAATCTTCTGGTAAAGCTTTTTTATCAAAGCTTTCTTGAGGCCACTTTATATTCAAATCAACTAACATATTGATATATCTTCTTAACAATAGAATGTACTGATATTAGCTCAATTACGGTACCTGTTTCTAAAATATAATCTAGTTTTGTAATGTGTAAATTCAATCTCATCGGCTTCTTTTATCAAAACTTTAAGAATTTTCGATGAATTTTTTACTTATATTCAAAAGCACGTGATATATTGTATTTTGTATCTTCACATGATAAATGACAACTATGGTGTCAGTAAGTAATAGAAGAATACTGAGATCTGAAGTAATTACAAAGAAGATATTGTTATTCGAAAGGACTTGAAGGACACTTTATAAATTGATCATGATTTAATCTCCTTTTCGAATAAATCAATTTCTATTTTTTGCAAGATTAGTGGTGGAACAGTTTATGGAAAGTAACTTGTTAGCTTATTGTTCATAATACGTTAAAGATAACGAAAGTATTTCATCAAACCCTCATATCTATAAGCAATAAATATTTTGATCTATAGATTTGCATTTGCAAAAGACAAACATACGAGAAGTTCTCAAGTTTCTATTTTATTATCTCCAGTCCAAAGTTAAATGTTTTAACAATAAGACCTAACATCACATTTAGAATTGAAAAAATTTTTTATACAACTTTAAATAAAAACGACTACCATATTAAGACTAAATCATAGTTTGCCAAAACCCATTATCATTAGTTTTATTCGTTTACATTAATGTCATTAACTTACTTTTTATAAATCAAATGCAACGCCAAAATAAATTATTTTAATTTACGCGATCCGAAATATATCTCACAATGCTCATCGCAAAATATATTTCAAAGTTAAGTTATTTGAATATATAAATGATCTTGACGCATATATATATATATATATATATATGTACTAACTATAACACATCTAGAGCATGCCAAATTCATCAATATGACAACTGATGCAAGTTCACAAGAAAGCAAAAAACGATTCTTCAAAGATGGTTTAGATTCTCAAGAGGATTCTTCAGAATTAAACCTTGCCTTTGATAATAATGATTCGATACTTTTTGGCAATAGGAGTTTTAAAAACGAGGTAAAAATAATTCCGATCGATCAGGAAGATAATATTGCTATTGATGATCTGGATGAGAATCAGAGAAGTACCCAAAATGGATTTGATCGTGATGAATTTTTACTTCAGTTACAAGTTATTATTCCTGATATTAAAAGAACTGAAGCAAATATGCTATATGATATGTTCAAATTAGACGATAACTGTATAGAGAAAGCCATTGAATATTACTTTGAAATTAGTAGTAAAATGGATAAGGGAAAAGTTGATAACAACATGGAGAATGATAACGATGACGGAGGGGAAGACGTAATAATATTGGCATCTTCATCAAGCCCCGATACATCGATGAAAAGTTCACAGCAATCTCAAAAAATAAGTTTTGGATCGGTAACATCAAAGAAAAGGTTATCTTCATTTGAAGTTTTTTCTCAAAAAAAGCCTAAACTTGAAGTAAGATGGAAAAGATTTATAGGATCTCTTCAAGTGAATGCAATGGCTACACGACCAACAACCAAACCACTTAAATACGGCACGAAATTAAAATTGGTTAAGCCTAATTCAAATGTCATACCGTCAAAATTATATTCAGACTCAGGCAAAAAGAAGAAAGCCCTTTCAAGTTATATTAAAGTTTTTGATATGTCAAATAATAGAGAAATCGGGAAGATTCCTGAAGATATTGCACAAATTATTTATCCATTATTAGAGAAACAAGAAATATCTTTTTTATTAACATTAGTTTATTGCGATAATAAGAGGCTAAGCATCGGTGACACCTTCGTTTTACAATTGGATTGCTTTTTGACTAATTTAATATTCGATGATGAAATAATTTCAACTTCATCATCACAAGAAAATATTTCAAGCGAATTTGATAAATCAAGTCAAGATCATATTGAAAATCAGTTGGAAATCGAAAACAGAGCTTCTAGACTTTCACATTTAGCATTATTTAAGAAATTAAATCTCTTTCCAATTATAGATGAACAAAAGGAACTTAAAAAAATTGAAGAGTTAAATGATACTGTAAGGGACGTAATTGATTTAGATGATGAAATAATATATGACAATAGCAATGAAATTCCCATGGAAGAAGAAGGCGACAAGGAAAACGTTGACCATAGTTTAAACCTTAACCAACTGATGGCTTTTTATAATGTCACTCAATCAGGGAATTCTCTTTTGAACTTACCTGAAACACAACCTTCAAAAGATATCTTTAAACTGGAGCTAAGAAGATACCAAAAACAAGGTTTAAGCTGGATGTTGTTAAGAGAACAAGAATATGATAAGGTATCAAAATATGAGTATGATTCTGATAAAAATGCTACCACTATGAATCCTTTATGGAAGCAATTCAAATGGCCAAATGATATGTCATGGGATGGACAAAGAAATAAAGAGTCCAATTCAAATTATCCAGATGGATTATTTTTTTATGCAAATATACATTCAGGAAAATATTCCATGGAAAAACCTACATTAAAATCTCTAGTTAAAGGTGGTATCTTATCTGATGAAATGGGTTTGGGTAAAACCATCTCTACCCTGGCAACTATATTTTCTGCACCATTTGATAGAGAGGAAAAAAATCATAATGAACTTTTTATTAAAGAGAGAACTACAAATAATTCTTTCGATTCCGAAATCATATGCAAGCCATATGCATATAGAACAACTCTTGTAGTTGTACCTACTTCGTTATTGATGCAGTGGAGCAGTGAATTTGAGAAATCCAAAAATGGTGACGACATTTATTCCGAGATATATTATGGCGGAAATGTCACCAGTTTGAAGTCGTTACTGACTAAAACAAAAAATCCACCGACTGCTGTATTCACAACTTATGGTATAGTACAAAATGAATGGACAAGAATTTCAAAAAACACTTCTAATAACTCGGAAGCATTATCAGGCTTATTTTCAGTACAATTTTTTAGAATTGTTTTAGATGAAGGACATATAATAAGAAATAGAAGCACAATTACATCGAAAGCCATCATGAATCTATCATCTAAAAGAAAATGGATTTTAACCGGTACTCCAATTATTAATAGATTAGATGATATTTATAGCCTGGTAAAATTTCTTGGTTTAGAGCCCTGGTCTCAAATTGGCTATTGGAAGAGTTTTGTTTCTGAACCATTCGAAAAAAAAGACTTTAAGTCAGCATTCGACGTTGTTAACTCAATTTTATCACCCGTTTTATTACGTAGAACAAAACAAATGAAAGACATAGATGGTAAACCTCTGGTAGAACTACCTTTAAAAGAAATTTTTATAGAGGATATTGAATTATCTGCATTGCAGAATAAAGTTTATAAATACTTTTTGGATAGAGCTGAATCATCTGTTCGTGAAGGTCTTGCCCACGGAGATTTATTAAAAAAATATTCCACAATTTTGGTTCATATTTTAAGATTAAGACAGATTTGTTGTGACGTCAGGCTGTTAGGTACAAAAGATGATAACGATGAGGATGTCAATAGTAACAATCAAGTTGTTTCGGATTCAGTAGATGTGAATAAAATTTTGAAAGACCTTAAACATACTACACGAAATGCATTGAACCAAGATGAAATTACAGAACTTAGTGACAAAATCCAATTGAAGTATTTTGAAAATGGGAAGTTGAAATCAAATGAATGTCCAATTTGTACAACGGAACCTATTGATGCAAATAATATAATATTTACTGAGTGTGGTCACTGCTTTTGTGAGTCTTGTTTACAAGAGTACTTTGACTTCCAGGTTCAGAAGAAGTTGGAAACCAAATGTCCAAATTGTAGACAAATAATTTCTACTAATAGAGTTTTGAAGCTGAATCATGACACTGTTGAAAATGAACCAATAGAATTATATTGTCCTACGCAAAAATCTGCAAAGATCGAGGCTCTTTTGAAACACTTAAAAGTTATTCAAGATCAGTCTGCTGGGGAACAGATTGTTATCTTTTCTCAATTTTCCTCATATCTTGATATATTAGAACAAGATTTAAACGAGGCTCTATCAACTAAGGAAACAATAATTTACAAATTTGATGGTAGATTATCTTTGAAAGAACGTTCCACCGTGTTGAAAGAATTTACAACGAAGGATCTCACAAAGCAAAAGATTTTATTATTGTCTCTAAAAGCTGGCGGTGTCGGTCTTAACCTTACCTGTTCATCTCATGCATTTATGATGGATCCGTGGTGGTCACCAAGTATGGAAGATCAAGCTATTGATAGAATTCATAGAATAGGTCAGTCAAGCAACGTAAAAGTTGTGAGATTTATAGTGCAAGGATCAATAGAGGAAAAGATGTTAAAAATTCAAGAAAGGAAAAGGACTATTGGAGAAGCTATGGACGTCGATGAAGATGATAGACGTAAGCGTAGGATTGAAGATATTAAAATGTTGTTTGAATGAATTGCATCAAATACATGTTTTTATGTTATGAAAAAAGATTTTTTAATAATACAATATTTCATTAAATTCGAATATATAAGTTAGTCATCAAGTAATAAATCATCATCTTGAATAATATAACCAGTAATTTTACCTGACATCTTTTGAACTTTATCTTTGATAATCGATGTTAAAATTTCACCAGAGGAACTCAGACATTCAAGATAGTTCAATGTCATTATTATATCACTCAATCTAAATCCAGTAACAAGAGAAATATCTGTTACAGAAATTTTACCCAATGCAGATAATTCGCCATCAAATAGCTCATATGCTATTATTCTAGCCCAAAATTTAATATAACTTATCAATCCAAATGGCGACAGTGGTGTTTCAGGTCCAGATATTACATTTTCTGACCTTGAAAGCTTATAAGAGAATTCCATTAATATTGTCCCTAATCTTCTTCTCTGATAAGGAGGTAATGTCAAAATGCATGCTAAATTATTTTTATTATATGAAATTATATCTTTTGAAAAAAATGCCATTGGTATTGTAGAGTTAATTTCGTATAATATATAAAAATCATATTGATCAATTTTAAAATACATCGATTTATTATCAAGGAATAGTTTTGTAAATAAGCATAAACATTGACAGAATAATTGATGTTTTGAACCTTTAACCCTTCGTATGCAATATTTGGGTCCCAAATATTTAATCCTACCTGGTGCCTTATATTTATAATTACAAACCAAATCATGGTCACACAACATTTCACCAGAATCACAATATTTAAAACAATATTCACAAATATATATTGTATCCAACCAGTATTGACCATTCTTCTGTAATGGCTTTCTTGGACTATTTTTAACATTTGGTCTGTCAGGTATTAGTTTATTATCCGGATCAAAATATACAGTACTACCATACCAAGTCTGAAATTTCTTGTTACAACCAAATTGAACATAATTGATATTACGCTCATTTAGTATACCATACAGATTCTCCTCCTCAACAATTTCTACCATTATTAAATCAAACCTAAATTACACATACACCACTTATATTGCTAAAAGTTCAATATATCTAATAATTCTTATTCAGCAGAAAACCCCCAAATTAGCCCCTGAAACAGCTTTAAAGATATAGAATCAACAAAAACAAACTGTTTCTAACTTATATCACTTGTTAGATCACACACTAAACTTGAGATCAACTTATAAATCACCATTGATGAGCTGGTCATCAACATCTCTTAAGCTTAGTTTCTTGAATTTGATCTCTTGATAGTTGAATAAGTGAAAAAGTTCGCGGTGCTACCAAATCGGATATGAAAAATTTCCTTAAGCTCATCTCATCTCATCTCATCTCGAAATGATGAATATTACTTAAAGAAGATTAAATACAATGAAGTGATGTTGTAATGGTTATCGATCTGTAGTGATTATTCTAATTTTGTTCTGTATTATATGGATTGCTAATAAACTGTGGTTGGATTGATTTCTCTGTTTCCGTGTTCAAAATGGGTACCTATAGAAAGAGATTCAATGAGAAGGCTAGAGCTGGACATATGTCCAGACTTAAAGAGTTGAAAAGAATAAGGAATAAACAGTTTTATAGACATGAGGAGGAAAACGGTGAAGATGAAGATGAAGATAAGAAGGTAGTTGAAGATGATACCGGTGATTCAAATGCAGAGATTCTACAACCGTTGACTAAAGAAGAAAAAGAGATGAAGAAAAGAAAGTTAGAAGAATTGTTCACTCCAAAGGAATCAAAAGTGTCAAGGTTGAAAAAGAAGAGACTGGATAAATTCATCGACCATCAATTGAGAAGAGAGGAGAAAAAAACTATAATTGAAAAATTACAAGATTATAAGATTGATACCTCTCTATTGACAAGTTCTAAAAGATTAGGTCATGGAAGACAAACAAAGAAGGAAGAATTTGCAGAAGCATTGAGTCTCGAAAGACAAGGTAGAGGTAACGATCAAACTAAGGAAATTTTGTATGAGGAACATGAAGTAAAAGAATGGGAAGATGCTTCACAGAATGAAGGAGAGGAAGAGAATGAAGACGATGAAAGTGATTTTGAGTCAAAATTTGGAGATGCAAATGGTCAGTCAACTTCCAGTTTTGTAGATCGTCGTCCAGCTGCAATGGGAGGCTCTGGTGGATTTGGATTTGGATTTTCTAATGTGAAAGTTGTAAATTCTACAAGGCCAAAGCCTAAGAGAAAATTCAATTGGAGGGAAAGAGTTGAAGCTGAAGAAAGAAGAAAAAATGGTGTTGAAGATGCTAATGACTTTGAATCTTCATCAGAAGATGAATCAGATATATATTCCGGAGATTCAGATAATATATCAGAAGATGATGTGATATCCGGGGATGTCATCGAAGCTGAAGAATCAGATAGCTCTATTTTAGAATCAGGTGAAGAAGTAGAAATTGATGAGAATGAAGATGAAGATTCCAGCGAGAACAATGAAAGTGAGGAAGATTCGAATGACATCAATGCAAAATTTAATCATAGCAAGGAAGCTGAATCATTTAAAGAATGGGCTAACCAAGAAATTAAGAGAATTGAAGGTAGAGATGTTGAAATCCAAATGCCAGAACTAAATATTGATTACCAACCAATTGTAAGAGAAGAAGATTTAGATGATGGTCTACAAGAGACAGAATTGAATGTTGATGAATCTTTGGATCGTAAATCATTTTTTGTCCAAGTCAAGAGGCCTGAGGAGATTCAAGCTGTCAGAATGAGTTTACCTGTCTTTGGTGAAGAACATAAAATCATGGAAGCTATACATCATAATGATGTTGTAATCATATGTGGTGAGACTGGTTCAGGTAAAACAACTCAAGTACCTCAATTCTTATATGAAGCTGGTTACGGTTCGCCTGATTCACCAGATAATCCTGGTATGATTGGTATCACACAACCAAGAAGAGTTGCTGCAGTCTCTATGGCTAATCGTGTTGCCCAAGAATTAGGTGATCACGGTAATAATGTTGCATATCATATTCGTTTTGATAGTAGTGTCAAGGATAATACCAGAGTGAAGTTTATGACAGATGGTGTATTGTTACGTGAAATGATGCATGATTTTAAATTGACCAAATATTCGGCTATTATTATAGATGAAGCTCATGAAAGAAACATCAACACTGATATTTTGATTGGTATGTTAAGTAGATGTATTAAGTTGCGTGCCAGTGAGAACTCAAAAGATCCAACAAAGTTTAAGAAGTTGAAATTGATTATCATGTCTGCTACTTTAAGAGTATCCGATTTCAGTGAAAATTCCACTTTATTTGCAGTACCTCCTCCTGTATTAAATGTAGCTGCCAGACAGTTCCCTGTTGCTGTTCATTTCAATAGAAGAACCCCATATGATTATCTAGAAGAAGCATTCAAGAAGACATGTAAAATTCACAGAAGATTACCTTCAGGTGCAATTTTAATCTTTCTAACTGGTCAGCAGGAAATTACACAGCTTGTCAAACGTCTGAGAAATGAATTCCAAAATAAAAAAGGTAAAAAAGTCTACAATTCGAATAGTGATTTAACGACGAATATCAAAGTCAATGCTAAGAATTCAGTGGTGGAAACTGAGGAAATTGACTTCAGTGTCGAAGAACGCCCAACTAAATTTGATGACGGTTTAGATTCTGCAAATGACGACTTTGAAGAAGATTCTGAAGAAGAAGAAGGTTTCGATGAAATTTTGGAAGAAGGACAAACTGAGAATGATCCTTTATATGTCTTACCACTATACTCCTTATTACCAACTAAAGAGCAAATGAAAGTCTTTCAAAAGCCTCCAAAGGGTTCCAGATTGTGTATTGTAGCTACCAATGTTGCAGAAACCTCACTTACAATTCCAGGTGTCAGATATGTCGTTGATTGTGGTCGTTCTAAGGAACGTAAGTATAATGAAAGTAATGGTGTTCAAAGTTTTGAAATTGAATGGGTAAGCAAAGCAAGTGCTGATCAAAGAAGTGGTAGAGCTGGTCGTACTGGGCCTGGTCACTGTTATAGATTATTCTCATCTGCTGTTTATGAAAGAGATTTCGACCAGTTCTCAAAACCAGAAATTCTGCGAATGCCAGTTGAAAGTGTTGTATTGCAAATGAAGAGTATGGCAATTCACAACGTAGTTAACTTTCCTTTCCCAACTCCTCCTGATAGAATATCTTTGTCAAAATCAATGAAATTATTACAATACCTTGGTGCACTAGACAAAAAAGAAGCTATTACTGATGACGGTAAGAAAATGAGTTTATTCCCACTTTCTCCAAGATTTACTAAGATATTAATAGTATCAAATGAATTCAATTGTCTCCCATATATAGTTACAATTGTTAGTGCACTATCTGTGGGAAACCCATTTATTAATGAGCATGAACTGGGTATTGCAGAAGTGAATAATACAGAAGAAACTGAGGAGAATAATAATAGCTATTCAAGAGAAGATCTTGAAGAAAAGAAGAGAAAGAGATCGAAGTTTTTTAAGTCAAGATCCAAGTTCAGTAAGTTGGATAAATACAGTGACGTATTCAAACTGATGAGTGTTGTATCAGCTATGGATTACATTCCCCAAGATCAAAGAGATAGATTCTTTGATTCTAACTTTTTAAGAGGTAAGTTGATAAATGAAATCATGAAATTGAGAAAGCAATTGATGTACATTATCAAGTCTAATATCAGCAAAGAAGGTATAGCTGTTGCAGTTAATGACGAAGATTTAAAAAGTGATATCCCGAATGAAACCCAAATCAAACTACTGAAACAAATGGTAGCTGCGGGTTTCATTGATAATGTAGCAATCAGGGCAGATTTCCTATACCCTGAAGAATACAAAGTTACGAACAAAACTTCAATCATCAACATTCCGTATATTCCTGTGTTTGCACAAAAGAGTAATGACATTTCTGAATCATTTGTATATATTCACCCAGGATCTATTCTAACAAATTGTGGTGAACTCCCTCCAAAATATATAGTATTCCATGGTTTACACTTAAGCAGTAATAATAAAAAGAGAATGGATGCGTTGTGTGATATAAAGGATACACCACTTGCAAATATTGCTAGAAAGAGTTCATTATTAACATATGGTAAACCATTAACAGGACATGGGTTAAAAATTGTAAGCATTTCTCCTACTGAAAGGTATTGTTATGTTGTACCTAGATTTGGATCGACAGTCGACAGTGATTTGAAAATTGGATGGGACCTGAACCCTGTAGCAGTACATCAAGTGAAGGAACAAGGTCAATGGAATGTGACCAAGTTTGTCACCAATAAGAACTATAAAAAATTAGAGGCATCCCAAAAGAAATAAGTTTTATAATATATAGATTGTACATTAATATATAGAACCCAAGACTTTAATTACTCAAGAACGTCATTCTGTAGATTTCTGATTCTAGTGGTATTGACAACACTGACGTGATATGTTATAATAGCATAAATTACGTAAAAAGACTAGAAACAGGTTCGGTACCAACAGAAAAGTAAGTTTTAAACGTTACAAAATTTTTTATAACATTGTAAGAGTAGTTTGTTGAGATGTTTAATTGGTATTTGGAAAATATTTGAACCATATGAATTAAATACTGTCAATAGTATAATAATGGATACTAGGATTTTTTCACTTTCATATATTGCTGGTAGCGCCTGTATATGTATAAGCATTAACTTATTAGTTATATAGTGAATTCAAGCTAATTCTTACGTGTGTAAGGTTTTGAATCTATAATATAAGATAAAACAAACCCAAAAGCTAAGTAAAATTTTTTGAATTTGATATAATACCAACTAGAACGTTCTTTCAGGTTCATAGCATACCATCAAAAGAGTTATTCCAGCAAATATAAGTAGTACAAGTACAGTACCTTTTATCGTCTTGAGGTAGCATACTAGAAACAAATTCACATCACGTGATCCGAATTATTCAATATTTTCAAACTCAACATATCTATCACCATGTACGACATGACATAACCGATTTTTTTAAACAAAAATTGAAATTTTTGAAATTTTTGGAATTTGACATTAAATTAAGAAACAATAACACTTATAACAAAAGTGACAATGTTTGATTGAACTGACATCTAATTAACCTATAGATCTTTTAAATCTTTTAAAGGTTAGCGTTTGGAGTTACAGGTTGTTGTTATTATTGTTTGCTAGAGTGTTGAAGTGAGGCATTATTCTGATCTAAAGATCCTGATTACGGTATGCAAGTTGAAGAGCTGTTAGATAATATTTTCACAATTTACAAGGCAGCTTCTGTCAAATGTAAAGTATTGGAGGAAGAGTTTCCAGCTGATTTCTTTGAAGATGATCCAGCTAAAATTTATGAATCGTATTTGGGTTTCCTACAAAACAACACTGTGGTTGACGGTAATTTTATTTCGAATAATCAGTTAAAGTTAACTACTATAAATGCAAAGTACGAAAATAAAGAGTACAATGTAGATAATGGGTTTTACAAACTATACCATGATATTAAACTAGTCTGTACCATGCTAGTGCATTATTATCCTCAAGGTACCAGAAATTATCAGATTATTGATAAATTCTACAAATTTGCTACAGAATTGTTAATCAGAGAATGTTATAGGTTAGGTGTACAACTATCCGAAAATCTAATCAGAGAAAATGAGGCAAATGAATCAAATACAGAATTGGAAAACTTGATTAAAAATGATTTCATAAAAATTTCTACAAATTATAAGGTACCTATCATGGAGACTTATCATATTAAAACTAGAGATCATGAGTTGTTTAGTTCTGTAATTGCAAAATCAATTCTGGACAATAGGCCAAGAGAGGTGCCAAACAGTAATTTTGAAATAAATAAGATTATTCCACAAACTAATATGCGTGAAGAAGCTCCAAAATTAGGTTTTGTTGCAGCAAACACAAGTAATATTCCAGACCCAACATTTCCTCCAACTGAAATGATGACAAGGTTTCTACATCCTAATTGGTACTCCTTGCCAGTGGCAACATGGTTAAAGTATGGTGATTTCAAATCTTGGGCACCTTTTTGTAGTGAAAATAGCTGTGTATCGAATATTGGTGCGCGTGGTAAACTATGGCTAGAGACAATAGGTTACATTAAATTATATCAAAAGGAAACTAAGACCTCTGAATCTACCGAACCTACTGAGAAAATAGAAAATGAAAAGATAGGCATAGATGATGAAAAGGAACGTGAAGACAAGAATGAGGATGAAGCTAAAGCAGATAATAATGAGGAGAAAAAGCTAGAGACAAAGGAAGATGACAGCTTATATAAAGATACTCCAATAAAATTAGAAAATCTTCTAAAATGGAACCCAAGTAATTACATTTCAGATAATGAATTGAAAGCATTTCAAGATGGTACACAATCCCAACTTATATCTAATACCTTGTTGAAACTTCAAAAGATTAGAAAACAACGTATACATGATAAGTCTGTCAGAAAACCATCAAAAGAAGAAATGGATTTGTATTATAAAGTTAAACGATTAATGAGGGAAGTTTTACTTTCTAAACAAAAATCAAAGTTAGCCTGTGAACCTTGTACTTCATTCCCAATTATACAAGCTAATTATAATGGTAGTATACCCGTAGTAAGGTCTCAACCAAACAGGAAAAGGAAATATACAAGAAGAATATAAACGTAAGAAAAATGTTTGCATCAGAGATAATTTTTGTTTATTGAACTCTATATAGTATATATGTAATGATATTAGTGCTTTAATGCAGTCCCATAGATGATATAATAATACAATTGTTGATATCAATTTTTAATAGTAAATTAATTTTAAAAATGGACGTCAGCGCCTAGAAGGAAAGAAACAATTAAATAGGTATTCAAACTACCAATTAAGGCCCATACCAATACTGACGAATATGTTAAAAGTGAACCATTACTAAAATCAACTTTGCTAGCATTTGTATTATTTAATGGGGTATTTTCAGTTGACTCTTCATTGTGAGATTCGGGAATTGAACGTTCGTCTTCTACTGTCATTAATTTCTTATTAGTTGTGAAATAAATTAGTGGTGCAGACACGATAGGTAATATTAATGATAAGACAACTTGTGATAAGTTTAAAATATCAGATATACCCCTTTCACCCAATGTTATAGTAACAAACAAACAAGGAATAATTGCAATCATTCTTGTACATAATCTGGTTGCCCAAGGAGGTAGAGACCATTCCAGGAAACCCTCAGAAACAATTTGACCTGCAACTGTACAGATGACACCAGCAGACTGACCTGAGAACAACATGGCGAGAGCAAAGATCAAACCTGCTGCAGGCGAAACATAACGTACTAATAGATTGTAAATTGATAGTAAATCAGCATCTTCTGCTTCAGGTTGGCCAAATAATGTTGCGCCTGCAACGATAAGAATAGCTGAATTGACAAATGTGGCAATTAAGAACAGTGAAATGATCAATTCAGCATATGAATAATGTAATGAATATTTAATTGCACCTAAACTTGGACGAGAACCAATTTTACCATAAGTCTGTAAATCGTACTCGTTTAATCTTGGCTTAACAACTGAAGAGCCAAGGTATAAAGAATGTGGCATAACAGTGGCACCCAATATACCTAAGGATATGTAAAGGGCTTGTTGTTCTTTAAATATGATTTTAGAAGGTAAAAATCCCTTCAATAACTCGACTTTATCAGGGATTGAGATTTCAAGTAACTCTAAGAAGAAACAGATGACAGTACATGCTACTAGAATGCTGACGAATAATTCAAATGCTCTTACTTTTTTCATAGAGTGGCCCTCTGGGTTATAAAACATTAAAATCAACAAAACGTCCAATACAGTCAAAACCACACCCCATATCAAAGGTATATTAAATAAAATTTTCAATGCAATAGCTGTACCCACAACTTCAGCTAAATCGGTAGCGATGATTGCAATTTCTGCAAAAATATATAGTATGATGTTTATTCTCTTTGGCAGGTTACGACGACAATTTTCAGCCAAATCATATCCTGTTACTGTACCTAGTTTAACACATAAACATTGAAGTAAAACTGCGAATATATTTGAAATAAAGATGGAGAATAATAATGTATATTTGTATTGAGCACCACCTGAGACACTGGTAGAGTAATTACCAGGGTCCATGTAGGCAACACTGACCATAATACCTGGACCAATAAATTTAACAAATTTTCTTAAAATATCTATTAATCTTGCCATGTTTGGGTTTGATATAACGTTGAAATGCTATTGTTTGAATCTTAAAATGCAAAATGAGTCCTGTATGAGATTTAAAAAGCCTTAATGAGTTTATACTTCATAAATTAGTGAATAAGGCTAATTTATAATTTTTTGTAAATTAGTTTTGTTTTATTTTATGAATATAACTATTGGTATTCCTACTAGATCGTCAAGATTCCTTCAAAACTACCAACGATGTCTCCAAAATCCAGACTAATATGTCTTTAAGACGTTTTAAAAAGTATATATTGGTTCTTTCTTTAGTTTTATTAGTTCCTTGTGCCTGAAGTATGTCTCTAAATCAGGAAGGAAGGGGGTAAAATGCAAAAAATATCAGAACCAATCCTAATAAAAAGCTCTCAATTAATATAACAAACACTGGACTATATTATTCACTAGTATTGTGATTGTATTATCCTGTAATAAGGTTGAAATCAAACCAAAACACTTGTTAAATGTTTAGATAATTTCTAATATATATATATATTTTTTCTATAGCCTTCTAGCCTATTAATTTCGACTTTTCTACGCCTCTTTCTTCGCAAAAATTTCGTTAAAATGTCAAATATTTCAATTTAAAGGTCTAGATCAATATCAAGTATCAAATATCAAAAGTAATGAAAAGTTTCGAATTGATGATGGAATTGGATGTGAACTTGATGATTTATAAAGCTGAGGAAACTTATATTGCAGATTGTTGATTAATGTTCAGTTAATATATGAGTTTATTCAACTTGGAGCAGTGTTGTATCGTATAGCCTTGCGGTCGTTGCTGAATTTATAATGCAAATGCAATCAATTGATGACAGAATAAGACGAGATGGGGTGTATATATGTATGTAGCGATATCTATATAATATCGTAAATTTTTATAATGAGTTTGTATATTTTGCACCCTTTCTGTCTCTTTAGGATACTTTCCATCAATGGAATGTGATGATGCTATTTAAATTGATGATTAAGATGGGTTTTTATAGCTCTATTTTCTCCTTAAATGTATGTATTGATCTTTCGATATTGTTTCAGAATCTGTTCTATCTATCTTCATAGGAGTTATTTATTATTAGTATAGTGGCTTATTATTGATTAAGAAGGTCATGTTCTTAAGCATTTATTTTGAGATTAATCAGCTTGTGAAGCATTTTTTGTTCAAAGTTTAATATAAGCCGTACATATGATTTGAGTAAAAGGGTGCAATACTTGTCTTATCATGAATGTGATACTCCTAAGTTACCAGGTATCCAGTTTATTTCTTGGTATTGGGTATTTTTGTACCTTTGTTAGGTTCAGTACTTCATTTTCCTTGTGACAAATATATACATCTATATATGTTGTTTTAATGATTTAGATTATGTGTAAAAGATTACTATTACTATTATTATGATTATTATGATTATTATGATTATTATGATTAATTATGCTATAAACTTCAATTTTAAAGTTGTTTCCCATTTATATACTCAATTAATGGGAGTGGGATATATATTTCTACCAACGGAATAGCCTTCTTAGAATTCTGGTTATCATATACCATGTACAACCAACAAAACGTACAAATGCTAATAAGGCAACTAACCACAGTATAATGGCTAGATACCAAGTAGCATTAACGGGTAAAATAGGGAATGGTGCTTTTGTATTGTCATCTGTTGTAGTTCCAGATAATGATTTCAATGCAAGATATTCTTGGATACCACCAGTTTCCAAAACTGCTGCAATTACACCAAAATTGGTCAAGACCCAAAAAATAATAACTAAAGATCTGATGTTTGCGTAGTAACCAGTCTTTCTTTCTTCAATGGAAGGTTGACTTTCTTCTTCTTCTTCAATTGGAGCTTTCAAGATCGCTAGTTGCTTGTTGTAATCGGCTTGGATTTCTTCACTTGATACTAAGATTTCCATTTTAAATGTACCATCTTCTTTGGTAGAAATCTTACCCAATGGCTTGGCAACTGCACCTTTAGTACCCCATGATAAATCATGAACATTACAGAATGCGTAGATATTCAGCACATTGATATATGAAGGACTCAATAATAAATACTGAATAAAACTTGTAAGCATGTGCCATGGCTGCATATAAATAATTGAACTTATCAAATATAACCCGTATGTAGAACCCAATGATATAATAATATCTCTAAATGTACGAGTTGTAATAACACCTAAAAATGTTGTCTTCTCATTAAGAATTGTTTGAAATGACTTAACACTTAGGAAAATACTGCAAAATATCATGTATGCCATTAAAACTGCAAAGAAAATACATGTTATGACATAAAACATTTCAGTACTCTTTGGCTTATTACCCAATGATAATATGAATGTTGATAGGATACAGACACCATATAACCAAAAGAATACCACCGATAAAATATTAAGAGCTGAATGGTATGAAATTGCAATTGATAATGTCAGTATTCTGAAAACCAAAAAGAAAGAACTTAGAGAAAACCATGAAAGTATAGTGTTAAAAAATAGATATAAGAATTCAATTGTCAAAAAAAATTTCCTAACAACTGAATGTCCACTAGTCCATACTTTATAGAAATGACAGAATGAATATATCCCTGCAAAGAAGGAACCATTTAACCAACGTCTTCTCTGTAAGATAAATTCAGGAACACGTTCAGGAACATCTGTAGAAGCAGATGAACTTCTACAATACTTCAGAATCCAATTACAATTTTTCTTTGTAACAATTTCAAAACAAAGAATACGATCCTCAGCTAAATACATGTTGGATGAGAAGAAGTGTAAGTTTGTCTCGTCACCTTCCATATGTTCACCATAGAAGTATTTTTCCAAAGGTTGGCCCTTGACAGCTTCAAATCTATATGCTGAAAATGCACCAGGTAACACAGTGATAAACCCAAAATTAGATTCTGTAGTCTTATCCAGAATATTTGACATTTTATACTCAAAATTCTGAGATGCCACTAATGGATTTATCAATTTTTTACCAAATTTTCCAATATCTGTTTTAATTTCACCACAGGCACCACCAACTTGAGGGTCTCTAAATTCACGCCATAGCTCGTAAATAGAGTCTTTACCAGGCATTGTACCTGCATCCAAAAGTGTTACAATATTAGGTTGTAGCAATTCCGCAAAACCTTCCAAAGCCCATCTATGAGAGTTGATTTTCTTTTTATTCTGCTCCTTTAGGCAGAATAAAAGTTGTACTGGAACAGTACTTTGGTTACAATCTAGTTCAATTTCGCTTTCAGTTACATTAGTAATATTCATCATTGTAGTATGTTCATATACATGCATCGCGACTTTTTTCTCGTTGACTTCATCTTTAGCAAACCCGTCCTGATAACAACCAAGAGAACTCATTAAAGCCAAAGCTTTTTCATTAATTTTTGAACGACCATCTGACACAATACAAACTACAATTTTCTTCCAGGCATCAGGACCCCATGTCTTGGAATGGGTTTTACGAACCATATGTTTAATATTATCCATAACACCTTTCAATGTTCTACCTAGTAATATGTGATCTTCGTTATACATGGTAATAACAATCATTAACTCAGTGTATCTTGGAGTAAAATATTTCAATTGTCTTACTGTGAAGTTTTCTTGGGCCATTTGGTTTGGTTCACAAGTGACAGCTTGATATCTCATAAATTTGAACTCATTTGATACATTACCTTCATTACCTGCGGCAGAAGTATATTTAGAAACTAGAGACCTACTAATGGGGGAATCAAAGACAAAGTTACCATTAGATAATTTGAACTTTCTGAGTACGGTTGTGTTTCTGCGAAGTAAATTGTCTGAATTATCCTCATCGTTAACTAATCGATCATTGGAGCTTGCTGTAGAAGAAGTAGTTGTGGTGATTCTAGACATCTCGTTGGATGTACTGTTATTCTCATCAATAGTATTGCTATCTTCGACTACACCATATTCACCTAAGTTCACATGGGAATATTTATTAGCAATATTGGAATAATCTTTCTCCCTTTCAATATCTGATTCCTCTTCAGCGGCCATATAATGCTTCTGATATGGAGATAACAGAATTTCTCTCATTTCTGGATTCAGAGAATATGGATCAACCATTTCACCGTCTCTACCCAGGTATGTATTGATTTGGTAGTCATCACCACCATGGTCAATGTAGTAATTTTCCGGATCCAGATCATTTTGAGCATAATTTTGATTATAACTATGATTATAATCATTTTTATTATTATTAATAATAGGTACGGTATCTTGCCTATTATAGTCCATTACATTTGAATATTCATCTACAATGGAATTTATGCTATTACTGCTACCGCTACCGTGTAGGTAACTATTCAACGTGTTATTGTTGTAATAATGTTGGTTGTCCTGATATTGTAAATTAGACTCTGAGAATATCTGACTGCTGTTAGGAATTACAGGCGATGGTGCGTGAGTGACAGAAATAGATGGCATAGCATTCTGTGGGTGATACTGTTGTTGTTGTCCTTCATAATTAGAATTATTCACAAAAACGTTATTATAAGTATTTCCTGTAGCCATAGTAGATTGGGACTGTTTACTGTTAACAAACGATTCGTAGACATTAGATTGCTCGTTGTTATTATTAGTTGATAATTGCAGAGGTGGAGTTGGAACAAATGTATCAGAATTATTCTGTTGATATTGATAATGGTGATCATGTTGTTGATCCTGATTAGAATTTTCTGCATAATAATCACTAGGAGTAGGTCTCATATTATAAGATCTATTGCGATCATCTTCTTGATCTCTATTTCTCCCATTTCTATCGTTGTCATTGCCAAAATTATTACCAGCAAAAGAACTCATGCCAAAGATACTTCTTGCTTCAAATTTAAAAATAATACTTGAAGTTCACACAGGTTGAAATCAATGATCAGTAGCAAATTAGGTTCCAGTAAATTTAAAATTAATAAACTGAATGAGTGACTTCAAATCATTATAAGTTCAATTCCCATCTCATTTGTTTTATATAGTCTTCTTCATCATTGATAAAAATATTTTTTGCTAAATTTAGAAGCAAAACGCGTTTCGAAATAGTTTTGTCTCGCAATGACGCGTAAAGATCTAAACACGTCGAAGCGAGGCAAAATTGATTCGAAATGATGTCATTACAGCCGTTTGATGCAAAGGAATGGAGCATCAAAACCTTTAGGCCAAGGCACAAATAAGTAGGCTTTGTTCATCATTTATGATCCAAAGTAAATGATTGAATAAAGAATATTGTTGCCTATGGATTGTCGTTATCGGTTTCTGGTACCTATTAATTTATTGGAAGATGAAGAAGGAGTAACTATGCCTTAAAATCTTCGCAACAGAAACAGAAAAGATTTAGAGTAAGAGATATCTTGTAACACCAAAAAAATAGAATGTGTTCTTGAGATATACATGTATACAATTATATATATATATATAATTATGTGTCTAAAGAAGATAAAAGTGGTTATGAAATATAGAACAAATAGTCATCTTTTGATGACACCTACTGATTTTTGGTTCAATAATTGTTTCATTAATTGAAATTTGTTCATGATATCACAGTTCGTAAAGTTTTCTATTTTTTGGCCTTTCAATATTTCAATCAATGGTAATGTTGTGGATTCTTGATTTGGCGAAATTAAAGATACTAGTTTCCCAGAGTTAGAAAGAACAATCTTGTAATGGTCTTTAAAATTAAATTGAAATGTTCCATCACTTAATTCGAACATGATGAATTCATTGCATCTTGTGTATCTTCTTAGAAATACATCATCCTTATGGTAATCTCTTTTAATGAATGAAGAAACTCTATTCAAATTATTCTTCATATATTTGGAGAAAAAATCGAGAACACTAAAATACTTATTCAACAATTCAGGCTTCTCTGATATTTTGAGATGAATTGCTATCCAGCCTTGTAAATCATCGTTCTCAATATGCCAAAATTCTTCAACATCAGAAAGTTTTAGAACTGTGACACCATTATTAAATAATACACCAATGTCTTCAGTTGATAATTGATATGCAAATCCATGTCTATTTGTGTAGTCTACCCATTTAGTCACTATTATTGGATCTTTAATTTGTAAAACTGGGAATATTTCCAAGTCTGATATATTCTTAGTTCTTTCTATTTGATTCTCAATCTCAAGTATATTTTTCAAAGTTATATAACATTCATTGGCCAAAATCTTTGCAGACATTCTAGAGGTGATATAATTTGCAGAATTAGTTCCTTGGAAATTGTTGGTAATTGGGGAAACATTTTTAGAAATGTCTAAAATTGAATCTTTGAAGTCACAACCAATTTTGTTTAAATTTTGCTTCGATATCTTTCTTGTAATTTCTTTATACTTTTGTTTTGTATGACCTGGTGACAAATTATTTGGAAGTAACTTTTGTTGTTGTTGTTCTTTTGAGAAAAGTTTAGAAGTGATCGATGATAAATTATCTTTTATAAGCTTATATTGATAATTTTGTATTGGACTATCATCTTCAACATTCTCTTCTTCATCAACTAATAAACCAGATCTGATCATACAATTTCTGAAGTTAATTAATGACTCCTCAGGTGATATGTCCATGAAATAGATTGGGATATCATTCATGACATCAATTGGCATACATGGCGGGAAGTTACCCTTAAACCAATTATAGTTTAAAATTTCTTGTATCGTAGGCCTTTCCATTGGGTTCATTGATAATATATCTTGAATCAATTTTTTTACATCCTTAGAGACGTATTTATCAGTTGGGAAGCTGTAATTACAATGTTTTATTCTATCATAAATAGTAGACACTTCTTTGGCTTGAAAAGGGGGTTTACCTGTAATCATTGCAAATATCATTACACCAAGAGACCAAATGTCTACTTCAAAGGAGTGGCCGATTTGTTTTCCTCCCATTATTACTTCTGGTGCTATATAATTTGGTGTTCCACAAATAGTATATTTTCTTTCATTTTCATTGTTAATGATAGCCGCTAGACCAAAGTCGCCAATTTTCAAATTAAAATCCTTGTCAAAGAAGATATTACCCAATTTTAAATCTCTGTGAATAATATTTCTCGAATGCATATGATCTAAAGCACCACATATTTGGGTAGTAAAAAATCTCACTTCAGGTTCAGTTAAAATTTTGCGTCTCTTTAATAAATCCATTAAGGAACCGTTTGGACAAATTTCCAGTAAAATATAAACATTTATATCATCTTCGAAACAATCAATGAAATGAACAATGTTTTGGTGTCTCATATTTTTATGGATCTGAATCTCTGATAAAAGTTTATTTCTTGCCTTTTCAGATTTAATCGAAATTTTGGCAACTGTTTTAGCTGCAAAAACCTTCCCGTCATCATCCTTCATTTGGAAACAACGAGCAAAACCACCTTCACCAAGGAAATGGCCTCTATAATAATCCTTCCCCTTCGATTTTATCAAAGATGGAGGAGTCTTGCATAAAGAAGATAATTTTTCCTTCTTCTTTTTATGGACAGGAGAATGATGTCGAGCATGCTGTTGAGCATTACCGTTGTTTTCCCCATCATTATGGTTAGACTTCTTGCCTTTTTGACACACAAAGGAAGGATTATTGTTTTCCTTCTCAAAAGAGATCGGTATATAGTTTTTCTTTGTCGGAGTATTGACTACATCTGAGCGGGTATTGATTTTGGTATCGTTAACCAATTGCAAGGGAGCCAATGACATATCTGTTTTAGATCTATATATCTAAGAATTCCAAACAGAAAAACAAAAATATTATAATGTAATAATAAAATAAATCGTTCAAATTGTGATTGGTAAGCCTGTATCCCTATCTTATCTGTACTTTTTTTTTTTGCAAGAATAAAACTGGCCGCCAATTTCAATATTCTAGTTCACAAGTCCAACGTACGTGCAAACCCCCACAAATTCAGTGCTTGTTCCTAAAATATCCCATCTGATTAGCCATATTCTCCCAATAAAAGTGACAGAAACAACATCAACTCCATTCACAATTGTAACCTTCTTTAAATACAATTGATCTCTAAAGGTTTTGTGGCAATCAGATTTTTCTCAAATCCTTTCTTGTAATCAACAAGACACGTTTGCCTAAAACTTCAAACCCTTGTATATAACAACATCACTATAACAGAATCATAATTGTTTCCCCCTCAGCTATCCCAAATATACACTGTATTAGAGAGTGCACATTGACATAATATATTGGCGTTCCAAATCTTTAAAGTTCAAATTCAATCGAAACCAGTAAATTAACTGACACCTCTCAGAACTTAAAAAGGAAGCAAATTGAATCTAGTTAAGTCATATATCCCTATCATCGGGAATATATAGAAACCCAACCAACCATCCTTGAGACAGAACCGTTAATCTAACTGTTGAAATCTTGATTCCAAAAGTATCCTGTCTTATCTCATCTCATCTCATCTCATCTCTTGCTATTTATATATTTTCCTAAAATTATGGTATCACGTGAATTTGTTGAAAAAGGTTTCAAAACTTTCGGAGTTAATGAAATTTAAAACATTTGGATATAACCAAGCTCTCATTATATATTAAAGGAATAAGAAGTGAGGATGATCTGATTGATAACAGTTGCTAATGTTGATTAAAGTGTGAAACTGTTGATCGAGATTGGTTGTATTGATACTGAGGCATATTAACTTTTTTCTTTTGTGATGTCCTTTGATATCAATTGGGAGCAACTGAGGAATGATTCTAATTTGAATCGTACCGTAACTGAAAAATTAAATGGATATTTAACGTCGATAAATCTGCCAAGTTATGTCAATAATTTGAGGATTGAGAGGTTCTCCATGGGTGACAGACCGCCTAAGGTGACGTTGAGACAGATTACTGACCCTGTGCAAGATTTTTATGATGCTATTAATGAAGAGTTGCAAATGAGTGCTGAGGAGGAAACTGAAGGAAGTGATGATGAAGGGTACGGTGGTGACAGAGTAAGAAACAGAGGCATAGATACTCAAACAGTATTTCCCTCTGCTAATGACGTTCAATTCCTAGTGGAGATGGAGTATAACGGTAATATGTCGATAACAGTCACTGCCGAGATGGTCTTGAATTACCCAAGTAAAAAATTTATGGCATTACCAATAAGATTGACAATCAGCAATATAGGTTTCCATACTCTGTGTTTGATTGCGTTTCTTTCCAAACAACTGTTCTTCAGTTTCCTATGCGATGTGACAGACCCGATATTGGATGAAGACGACTCTATATTGGATCAGAATGGTCCTTTGCTGTCTTCCAAGGGACCCCTAGAGAGAATATCGATTATAAGAAGTTTATCAATCAGTACAGAAGTAGGAGAAGAATATCAAGGAGATGGTTCTGTACTTAAAAGTGTAGGGAAACTAGAACAGTTCCTGAAGGAGAAACTTAAAGATTTCTTGCGTAAAGAAGTCGCATGGCCAAGTTGGATAAATTTCGATTTCTATGAACCTGAAGATAATGAAAGTGATGACAACCAAATAAATTAATTAAACTGTACATATTACGAAATAAATATTGATTGAGCTGACTCAAATTCAGTTAAAAAATGACGGGAAGAAAATAATTAGAATTGAAAAAGACACATAGACAGACAATTACGTAAATCAGCATACGTAGAACACTTGAATATGCTGTATTGCACCTAATCATACTTGAATTGTAAGATTTAAGTAAGTTTTACCATTACTCTCTTGCTATTAATATGGCTTTTTTAAGGCTTATTTCTTGTAAGAATTAAAGATACCGAAGAAAGTTTCAGATAAAAATGAGCTGAAGCTTTGAATGAATAAAATCTTCAATTGTAGAGCATAAAACAGGTCAAGGGAACTTGAATTGGCTATTTAACCAGGAGAGTATAGTTCATTAGGAATATATACACGGAGTTCTAAAGTATTTGGTGTGTTAGCATTGATTATTTTCCTTTTTTTTTGCCTTTCTTTAGAATTGATCAACTTCTCCAGTTACTCAATATTTTTTGCAACTGATAATGAGCTTAGATGAAAGTCAAAGAGCTTGGAGCTCTGGTCACATAGATAGTATAAATGATAAAGCTGCTTGGCCTGTTGATTCTAATGTCGATCCCTATGCTGCTTCTGAAAATCCTGTGATTAATGTTATAGGGCTATCTGAGGATTTGGAATCTCAACCGAGTTACAAAGCTATTAAAGATGGCAATGAAGCTGAGGGACATGATAGTATTTGGGCTCAACGTCGTAATAATTTGAACACAGATAGATTGAGAACGAGTATTTTGGTAGAGACTAATGCTGACCTTAGAGATGGAATCGATGAGGAGCCGATTATACGAAATGCTGTCTTTAAAGATAGCAGTTTTGAAGCATGGTCGAGTAAGTTGAAGAAAACTTATAACCCATTATCTCCTGATATAGTTGTAATAAATGAAATTGATGAACTTGAAGGAATCATATTCAAGCATACTAATTACAGGGTGAAGCATTTGGTAGAATTACCAAATACTGATCCCGCAGATGACCATATAGTTATACGAAGATACTCAGATTTTATTTGGCTAAGAAAAGTTTTGCTTAAGAAATACCCATTGAGGTTAATACCTGACTTGCCACCTAAGAAGCTTGGATCTCAGTATTCTAGTAGATCTTTTTTGCTTGCTAGACGACAGGGTTTGATAAGATTTATAAATTTGGTAATGAAACATCCAGTATTGAAAAATGATGATTTAGTGTTAACATTCTTAACTGTACCAGCAGAATTGTCGAGTTGGAGAAATCAAGCATCCTACGATACATCAGAGGAGTTTGCTGATAAAAGAATCTCTGAAACTTTTAAACAAATGTGGGATCCTCGATTATTGGAAAAATGGAATAAAATAAATGCATCTTTAGATAAATCTATGATAATTTGGAACAATATGAGAATTTTAGTTGAAAGATATGAAAGTAGAATGTTACATATTGCCCAAGAAAGAGATGTCTTTAAAGCATGTATCGAGACATATTCACAACATACCAATGTCCTTTATCCAGAGGAGCATAGTGCATCAGTGATAGAGTTGAATGATCATTTGAAAGTAGTAGAAAAGCACTTGGAAAATACTACTGAATTAATAAACAATGAAGCTGAAGAATTACATTCAAGCTTAGTTCCAAAATTTGTAACTTATATCGAAGTGCTAAAAGCATTACAAAAACTATTTGAAAGATATAGAATCTTGTCTAGGAATACTGTTCATCAATTAGAAAGAAGAGTAGAGCTAAATGAAGAGAGATTGGAAGCTATGAAGGGTAAGCCTGATATAAGTGGTGCTGAATATGACAAGATTGTCAATATTGTTCAACAAGATAAGAGATCAATCAATCAACAAATTAATAGATCTTGGCTCATAAAAGAATGTGTATTAGAGGAATTTACTTTTTTTCAAAAAACTCAATTTTTAGCAATCGACACATTACAAACTTGGACAGCAATGCATTCAAAGTACTATGGCTTCCAATTAAATGAATGGGAAAGGCTAGCGGTTTCTTTGACAGAACTTCCAAGTGTTCAATAAATTTTGTTTACTAATTCTCAAACCACAGGTAAAGCTGCCAATAGAAAAATAACTACTACACTAACCGAAACCATATTTTTGGTTAATACGAGTTAGTAATTGCCGCCTTAATGATGTATATAAATGAATATACTATTTAAATAATGAATAATAAATGAAAATAAAACGAAAAATCGCGGATTAAAAGTTCATAACAAATAACTATTTAAACATAACAAAAGACCATGTTTAGTACTAAACAAAAAGGGTATTACAAATTACCTAAGAATAGGTTCAAGACAAATACGAATGACATGGCAAACTTAGAGGTTTCCATCAAGGAGTTACCAGCATTGTTTTGACGAGTAGAAGAGGTGGTAGCGGCAGCAGCAGAGTTGGCTGAACTTGAAGTGGCAGAACCGGTGGCAGATCTAGTAGAAGATCTACTTGAGACAGTGGAGGTAGTCAAAGTAGATTGGTCAGTAGCAGATGAGGATTCAGCGACACTAGATGAGGTGTTTGTAGAAGTAGAGTTGGTAATATCATCTGGAATAGAAGCAGCGGTACCGGTCCAACAGTATTCAGCTAAACAAGCATTACATTCAGCTGGTAAGGTGGCATTCATACTTTGTTGCTTACGTCTCATGACAGCACAAGCGACACAGCCCATGAAACGGGAGTCATCTGTAAGGTTACCTCTGGTGGCAGCTTCGAAACCGTTTTGAATCAAAGCCTTACTTTCAGCTTCTGAATATTGCAATTGCAAAGTACTGGTGTTACTGGCAAATGAGTAATCAGCATTTGGAACATAAATCAACAATGGTGGGATATAAGATAATTCAGTTAAATTACGAGCGTCACAACCGAAGAAGGTTGGTCTCTTGTTCAAACCCTCGCTAACGAAAGTTTCTTCATCCGGAACATATGGGAAAGCGATGTCTTGACCTTGTTCAGAGAATTGACGACGGTAAGCACCAACCATAGCGGTACCATTTGGCCAGGAGTCAACAGTGTCAGCAGAGTTGTCAAAAGCGAAGACAACATCCAAGTCTCTTTGTTTTTGAATCAAAGAAATCAATGGAACTTCGATAGTGTCTTCACCACCATCAGCCAAGAACAAGGAAGGGTCACTAGATAAGTCAGAGTTAGAACCGAAAGCAGAATCTCTGAATGGGTTTGGAGCAAACAATGCAACATCTTCATTATCATTAGAGATCATACTGATTAGTAACTCACCCACGGTAGTATTGGTGCTATTACCCAAAATTAGTTCAACAGCTTCAACCATACTTGGAGTAAATAGAGTTGAAGATGTACCTAAAACGAAACCTGCATTGTCAAAACCTGCAATACATTGACCTTCATTGACAGCAGTACCGTTAGAGACATCAGAACCGATGAACTTAACATCAGCAAAGGAGTTCAAAGATGGATCCCAAGAACCCATTTCGAATGGGTTGAATTCAACGATAGTAGAGTTCATGTATGTAATACCACTGTATGGATGTCTGACGTCAGTGACAGAAATTGGGAATGGCATCAAACCTCTTCTGAAGACATCAGAATCTCTGATAGTGGACCAGGTTAAACCGGCACCACCTTGTGGCAAGGTTGGGAAGAAGTCATATGATAAAGCACGTCCCCAGTAATCGGCTAATGTAGTGTTAAAACCAGCTTCTTGTTTGGAAGCAATAGCTTGGAAAACTTGAGTCCATAATTGGACAGTAGCGGCATCTTGAGTTACTAAACTATTAGAGATATCCCAAATAGAACCGTTGTTACCCATATTGTCAACAATATCTTGAACAGAAGTCCAATTGTTTAAGGCCAAGGTACCAGTCAACCAGTTACCACCGGATAAACCGGCCAAATAGGTGGTACTTTGTAATAGACCACCTAAACCATTTTCGTTAGCACCGACAGTTCTGTTATCGAAGGCAGCAATCATACCAGCACCACTTAACATAGCTCTGTAACCACCACCGGAACAAGCAATACCAATCTTTGGTACATTTGATGAGTTACCAGAGAATAAATCATCGATCAAGGAAGAATTGGTGAAATTTCTAGTGGCTCTGTTTAAGAAATTTTGTAAAGCTTCAGAGGTAACTTCATTTCTTAATGATAACCATTCAGTTTCGTTATCAGATAATTGAGAGGAAGCTTCTCTAATTAAATTGAAGTCAGAAGGACAACTGACATTGGCAGGAGCGTAACCGTTGCTTGGAGACCAAGCAATCACAGATGATACTAATGGAGCAGCTAATAAGAAACTGAACAATTGCATTGTTGAGTTTATATACCAGAGATGAGCGGCTTTGGGGGTATTATGAATATTAAGAAGCGATGAATGATAAGTGAGAACAAGAAAATACAATTGAGTGTGGGGGAAGGTATCGAACGTTCGTTACTCGCCAGATGAGGGAAAACTGAGGATTAATCAAGTTGTTTATATATAACTGGATTCCATTGATTTGAAATAATTAAATTACCCTAAATCGTAGTCTGGAATTAATTGTAGTGATAATTTTTTTTGGAAATAAACACCAACAATAAAAAAGCTTGAATGAATTTGACCGGTCGTTTAAGAGATGATAGGGCATGGTCTGAGAGTTAATTTTAAAAATTGTGAGAAATGTGAGATACCCAATTCAATTGAATTGAACTAAATTGAATTCGATACCAAATTAATTCAGTTAGGGAAGTTTAAAATTAAACTAACCACCACCTTAAGACCTGTGGTGCGGTAGGGGGATAGACATAGAGGTCATACACGCTTTGGGTGAATTGTTGTCTAAATTTGAAAATAAAATATGTCATGAAACTCAGAAAAAGATGTAGTTATGTGAGGATTAAACAACAAAATTTCGAAACCAGAAAAAAAACATATAATAATAGTTGGAATGAAGGTAAAGGTAATAAAACAATGCAACAATTGTCTATAATAATAATAATATAATATTGATATCGATGTCGATATCAATATCAATATTAATAGAACAGACAGACGTAGTACAACGGGTGGTAATTAATTCCATCAGTAAAAAAGCGCGAAGCAAAAAAAATGAAATAGGAAGATACTGGTATTATTACTTCGCTTCCGACTTTCAATATATAGATGGATTGATTTATTGTAGGATTGAAGGATTGATAGAATAGATTATTAGGTGGATATGATTTTATTGGGATTGATGATAGGGGAAGGAAGTTTTAAAACTTGAGATATCCCTAGTGCTAAGGGAGAAGGAATGCGCCATAATTAATTTATTATTGATTAATTAATAATAGAATTGGAGGCACGTCCGATTCGAGTAATTTGCGATCGAATTGGCTTAAGTCACAGGCATAATTGAGCGTCTGCTCGCTTATCAACAATTACAGTGCTATTATTATGGTCAACATAATGAAATAAACAAACATATAGTATTATGTTGTTTTTTTGCTATCTCCCTATATTGCGTAATTAGTTCACGGGGGGAGGAGAGAGAGAGAGAGAGATGGATCGATCGAAGTGTTACAGCCAGAAGAGAAGGCACAAGTCGAAAGCAAAAAAGCAAATTAACATAAATAAATTTTGTTTGGCTTCTTAATCAGGCCCTAAACAAAAGAAAAAGTGTTGAATTGGATATAATGATATAGTCCAATGTGTGTGTATGAGTGCAGATCTAGCCTTAATTTTGGAGGGAGAGGAAGAGAGGACTTTTTCTGCGATGAAGATGACTATTGCAGTCAATAATGAACTCAAATCCTTTTAATTCAGAAAACCCAAGGTAGAAAAAGAAGAAGAAAACAAAGGTCCTTACTACGACTAGGAGTTAAGAAGCTTAACAACATAGCAGCAACCACGGCAAAAGCAAAAACAAGAGTAAAAGTTAGAACTAGAGCTCGAACAATAGCTTTAGCCAGAACCGGAACCAGAGCACTCAAATGTGTGTCTAGTACATGTATCTATCTCTCTTTCTTGGTTGGAAGAAAGTAGGGATAGTCCTAGATTACAGATGAAGATTTTTCAATATATTCAGTTCAGTCCAGTTCAGTTCACCTTAGTTAGGAAGTATATTTTGGTAGCGGATAAAGCACCCATGGAAGTGTATATGATAGTACTCTTTGGAAACATCATTCTGAATAATGACGTAAGAAGAGAATCAAAATACGTCCCATCCATCGGGCTGCCAACATTTTTGTGATATTCAATTAGAATTTTGGGTTTACAATGATTTGTTTTTTTTGCTATTTTGCTATTTTGGCTTTTTGTGGTTGAATTTTCTTTTTGTGTGTGCCAGTTTTGTCTTGATTTAGTTCGAAATAAAACAGGTGCGCGCAAAAGCGGTAGCCGGTTCTTCATTTGGTGGTGGTGCAAGTCGAGAGAGGGAGGCAGGAAGGATTTTTGTTGAATATGCTATGCAGGATTGAGAGGAGCGAAGGAGGGAAGCGGGCAGAAGAGATAGCGTATCATTTTTATTTTTCTTCCCAACAAAAAGAAAAAAGCGCAAAAACTGTGATTTTGCGCCCAAATGTTGAAAAGAAACGAAAATAAGAAAAAAAACATTTAAATAGAAAATTAAACATTAAATTATAGAGACAATTCTCTTTCTGTGTCAGTCCTCTTTCGGCTTGTTATGTGGTTTTGTGGTTTTTGTGGTTGTCAAATAAAAACGGGAGAAACTAATAAAAAATAAAATATAAAAAAATATAGTTAGTTCGCTAATTTGGCAAATAGCTAAAAATTGTATTTGGTCTGGTCTGGTCTTGTCTGGTCTGGTCTGTCTCTGTTAACTATCCTTGGAAAACAGCCATACGGGGGACAGGCCGTCCATAATGGTATTTAGTATTGAAATTGAAATTCATATTGAAATTGATATTGATATTGATCAATTGACTTGATTGAGCCAATGCTGGGCGGCTCTTCATACTCGTTCGTTTCGATATGAACACATGCACATACTCCCCCACCCCTTCCTCCCAACTAGTTGCTGTTGGTGTTGCTCTTGCTCTTGCCGTTGCGATACGACACAATTTTGCACAGGTCCAGAATAATATATTGTCCTTTTTTGGACAATATATTTGGAGAGTAGAGTTATACCACTACATTAAACTAAACTACGTTTGCAATGGACAATTTCATTTCATTTCATCTTATCTTGTCTGTTCTAGCACAATCAATTAATTAATTGGAGTCAGGAATTTATTATACACAGTTCAGTTCGTGAGTCCAGAACACTAACCATAACTGAAAACCGTGTTTCCTACTCAAAGGGAGATAACCCAGTTTTTTTTCCACCATTATCCTGTAACTTAATCTATTTTATTTTTTTGCTATTGTTCTTATTTATATGTTTATAATTCTTCTTGCTCAGGTGACGAACATAGGACGTCGAATTCTGTTTTCCGGCATACCATGCAATCTTCTTCTGCCCACCTCACGTCACCTCATCCCATCCCCCCCTAATTCTGTCAATTTCCTGCTCTGATCACATGGTGTCGCCGTCAGTAAACACACATTGTTGCTATCATTTGTTGTCGTCGAACATAAATGACAGAGTGTAGTGGAAAACCCCCATTTCAACATGTGATATGCACATGACCTATAATAATTCCGAGTTTTTTTCCTCCACCAGTTACCCTCACTTTGCCCATATTTCATCCCAAATTCGCTTTTTTCTTTTGACGGGCCGTCCGGTGTCGCTTTCGATTCGGTTTTTGTCGTTTCCTGTCCGAAACCCACTCGCATTTTGCTTTTTTCATCTCAAATTTTGATTTCGATTCGATTTCGATTTCTCTTTGTCTTGTATCAAACAGCCATCATCACAGCATGGTTATGCTATACTATGCTATGCTAAGTAAATTAAACTTGTATCTATTCATCATCTCTAATCCTGTCATACAGTGCATGTTCTTTTCATCAAATATGGTTTTGCCATTGTTAAATTTATCATGATGGGACTATATGTTGTTGTTGTTGTATTTTTGACCTTGATTTTAAGTTCTAATCCATTTAATTTGGTTATATTTAATTGTCTAGTTACTGGTATTTGGTTTCGATACATTAAAATACACACCCATTTGCATATATATCTATATTACATATACACATTCAAGCTATTATCTTTTATTGCAATCAAAGTTTAATTGTCTACTACGTTCTTTAGTTCTATTTATTCTTTTAGATGGTAAGCAATAATAGTTATAATGGTAACAATACTGGTGGCAATGGTCCAGATGTGAACAATGGTAACTCTGGCCGTCCACAGGCTCCATTCATTACTTTGATCAAATCAAGAATAAGACAACCACAGTTCTATTGGTTTTTAGGTCATCTGCTAACTTTATACCATTTTGTTAGATTCCATCTTTCATTTTTGTCAATTGAAAACCAAAATTTCCATTACTCAATGGCATTATTGTACATCTCGTTAACTTATGCGATTGTACTATATCAATTTTATAAAAGTGGTCAATTGAAATTTAACTATTTGATTTTTTTAAAACAATTGAAGAAATTAGATAATTTACAATATTTCCTAATGTTGTCGATCCTATTCGTTTGTTCGAATTTTGGGTCCATGGTAAATGGCTCATTATACTCGCCTGTAATCTTTTCGTTGTTTCATTGTTTGAACTATTTCAAAGAGAATCTATTACCTTTTCTACCGATCAATAATATTTTAAAAAATATCATTAACAATAACATTACAAATTTTATACAAAATTACAATGGCTACTTCCTACAAATGGCACAGTTTTTCGAAATCATCTGTGCATTGCGTTCTGGTTTGATCTCACTACCTATAAAGCTAATCAAATCTATTTTATTATTCAATTTTAACTCTAAAAACATATCAAGCATCATCTCATTGTGTTGTTATATATGGTTCTTCAAATTGAGGTTTCAACAATCACAATCAATGAAAAACCTATTCAACCACAGTTTATCAAAAGTTGATTCAATGATACCCCCAAATTTTTTAATAAATTGGCAGCATTACAAGATTTTAGTGAAAACTACATTTGATAGAATTCCAACTCCTACTTCTGCATAAATCAAGAAAGAAATAAATAAGTAAACAGATAAACAAATAAACAAAATAATTTACTTCCATCTTCAATTCAATAAACATTTTATATACTCTACAAGTATCTCTTGTCATCTCATCTCATTGCTATCCTAGGCTCTTCTCTTAAAGCTTCCATCCCATCCCATTCATTTGATTCTTATAATCTGAAAAAATATCCATCATTGTAAACGACCATATCTTATTCCTCATCATCATTAAAAACACAAAACAAGAACACTTGGCAACCTTTTCCTTTATAAAGAAGATAATCTGATAGGATATTTATAAGAAGTTGTATTATAAGTTTTGAAACAAGGTCTGTTTGGTATTATAGCGACTGGAACTACTGTGTCATTGAGATATATCATTCTGTTTTCGTGTTTTTCCACATATTTTTTGTAATATTTTGTTTAAAGTTTTCTGTTGAACTGAATTGGTCTAGGTTAAACATATAGGAGATTCATTCATTCTATCGACTTGGTTTTTGACAGGAAAAAAAGGAAAGTAGCCAAGATAATATATATAAGAGAACGGTTTTAGCAAGCAAGGTCTGGCAGTTCACTTTGTTGTTTGGTTGTAAAAGAAGGTTGTGTTATTTAAGTTTTTGATAAAAGCTCAAACGAGGATAATTCTATTCTAATAAGAATATACAAACGGAGAGAGTTAGAAAAAAAAAAGAAAAATTTACAAGATAATAAAATAGTTTTAAAGGAAGATGAACAGTGAATACGATTATTTATTCAAGTTACTTTTGATCGGTAACTCTGGTGTTGGTAAATCTTGTTTATTATTAAGATTCTCAGATGATACTTATACAAACGATTATATTTCTACTATTGGTGTAGATTTCAAAATTAAAACTGTACAGTTAGATGGTAAAACTGTGAAATTACAAATTTGGGATACTGCTGGTCAAGAAAGATTCCGTACTATCACTTCCTCATACTATCGTGGTTCTCATGGTATCATTATTGTTTATGATATCACTGATCAAGAATCATTCAACGGTGTTAAAATGTGGTTACAGGAAATTGACCGTTATGCCACCTCTACAGTTTTGAAATTGTTGGTAGGTAACAAGTGTGATCTGAATGATAAAAGAGTTGTTGAATATGACGTTGCTAAGGAATTCGCCGAAGCTAATAAAATGCCATTCTTAGAAACTAGTGCCTTGGATTCAACTAATGTAGAAGAAGCTTTCTTAACTATGGCTAGACAAATTAAAGAAAGTATATCCCAACAACAGCAAATAGATGATAAAATGGGCAAAGATGATAAAGGTGGCAACGTCAACTTGAAAGGTCAAAGTTTAACTAACACAAGCAGTGGTTGTTGTTAAACTGAGCTAAACTAAATTGAATTGAATTTATTGAGTTTGGATTTTATATTCCCAAAATGAAATCTAATCTTTTTTCTAAAAAAAAACGATAACCTTTTCTACAAATTAAAATTTTTAATATATGTTTATTGCCATTTATCATTGATGGCAATGACAATAGTAATAATTTCACTTACATAATTGTGTACATTCAAAGATTACTTTTTCCCCCCCTTGTGTTGATCCTGATCCACTTTTTCCAACTTTACAATTACATATAGGATCATTGAAATTGAATTACATTTTTAGATTAACTATATCTATGTGTGAATAAATATATATATAATCCTATGTATAAATATATACATGTTAATTTACCTGTACTTAACTTGAACTTTATCACCTCTTTTTTCACGTTTCAATTGTCTTTTTGATTTGGCATTATTACTGTCAGCATCGTTTGTAGTTTCGGTGGAGGAAGCACCTTGGTTTAAGTTCTTATTCCCAAAGAATTGATTTTTTAAACCATACAATTTATAGCCGACATATATTGGTATAACAGTCAATGAAATATACCAGACTTTATTTGTATTGAATAGAATTTTACCAAAATCACTGAATAATGATAAATAGATGATATCGAACATGTATTCGGTCAAACCACCTTCTTGGGATAAATCCATACCTTGTCTGATCAATTTTTTCTTTGATTTTTGGCCATTGGTCGATTCTTCAATTTCATAGATTGGTCTACCTGATTTATCCAATATGTATATACATGCGAACATTGGTAGATGTAATAGAGTTAATGTGATCCAAGTGTTGTTATAATTTGATAAAAACATACGGAGGTACGCCAAGAAGACAATTGGTATTGAAATTTTGTATAGATTGTTTAGGATGTCATTGTTAGACTGGGCCTGTTTCTTTGTAGCCTTTCCTGCCATTGGTTCGATTTAGTCTCGGTGAGCTTATCTTGCTGCTTTGCCTAATTGAACAGAGTGAGTGAGTATGTATGGTATCGAATTAATCTATATCTACTTTATATACAATTTATATTACAATGTGTGTCTGGTAAACTCAATTGGATGCAATACAAACACACAGCAGTTGCCAGAACATCTATCTATTGAAGTTGCAACTACAAAGTTCAGTATGCCATGGATGATCTATGAATGCACATTCTCTGCTTGTAGTACAGTAGATAGAGAGAGAGAGAATAGTTGCATCCTCTTGGTCTGATGAAAAGAAAAGAAAAGAAAAGTGAAATCAAAGAAAACTCTTGCACACGTGACAAATTACCCTCCTCTGGCACCTAGATCACATGACACCGGCATGATATTTTCTTTCTTTCTCCCCGCTCATCTCGTACGTAACCCAAAAAAATAAAGAGCTTGGCTGTCTCTCTATACGAGGCTGTGCCAACACAACAACAAAATCGAAACAACAAATCAAGAAAACACACCCACACTCAGAAACAGAAGCAGTAACACCGCCAGGACCGTATACAACGACATCAGCGACGAATTGTTTTTCATGAAATTTTGATTTTTTAAAAATTCAGGTAGATATAAATTAATGACAACAACGACGACAACAACATCCATCAACGTTACATATAACTATAAATATATATATATATTTGTATAATTGGAACTGTTCCTTTTACTCAAGAGGTTTTTTCTATCTTTGATTTGTATTGTACAGGTAGGACACCAAGTAATTAACGCGTTTGGTAGATATATAACATAACAATGGATTCTGGTATGTGTGTTATTATTTGTTAACTTCATTTTGGGTTTTATAATATGATGATGGTGTTGATCGAATGGGGAAGTTTTTGGAAGAAACGACAAAGGTTTTTTGGTTTGTTTCGTTCTGTTGTTCAAGGAAATGAACTGTGGTTGTACCTTAGTTGGAAATCAGGCACATATCTCTGCAATTGTGCGATATTGGAATGTAATTTTTTGCATGCCTTTTTTTTTTAGCATAAGAACGGCAGGACTTCCTTCTTGTCTTTGGTTCCAGTGTTTGTTTTATTTTACTTATGGCATTGGTGGTGAATCTTTGGTTATCTTGGCCCATTATTCTTTCAATTCGCCCCCTACCCTCCATACTGTCGGTGAATTGTCTTTTATTCTTTTGAATTCCTGGTTTAGCACTAGTTGTCTGGAGCCCCTATTTTCGATCGTCGCATCGTGCAGCGTGATTAGATCAGGTTTTCCAGATATCGATAAGTGGACTAGATAGATACTGTGGGATATAAAGACAGACAGACAGACAGACCTTTCAAATTGCACTGTTGACGCAATGATTCTACTTTCAAAAGCTTAGCTTCCCCTCTCGAATCGCCTCCATCTTTATTGTTCCTGTGTAATTTTTTTTTTTGTTCTTTTGTTCTTTTTACTAACATATCTTTTGTTCTCCCTCTAATTGTTATAATAATAATACAACTGATATGTGTTACTATTATATTCTCATTATGGATGGCATCTTTGAATTCAGAAGTTGCTGCTTTAGTTATTGATAACGGTTCCGGTATGTGTAAGGCCGGTTTCGCCGGTGATGACGCTCCAAGAGCCGTCTTCCCATCCATCGTCGGTAGACCAAGACACCAAGGTATCATGGTCGGTATGGGTCAAAAGGACTCCTACGTCGGTGATGAAGCTCAATCAAAGAGAGGTATCTTGACTCTACGTTACCCAATTGAACACGGTATCGTCACAAACTGGGATGACATGGAAAAAATCTGGCATCACACCTTCTACAACGAATTAAGAGTTGCCCCAGAAGAACACCCAGTCTTGTTGACCGAAGCTCCAATGAACCCAAAGTCTAACAGAGAAAAGATGACCCAAATCATGTTCGAAACTTTCAACGTCCCAGCTTTCTACGTCTCCATCCAAGCTGTTTTGTCTTTATACTCTTCTGGTAGAACCACTGGTATCGTTTTAGATTCCGGTGATGGTGTCACCCATGTCGTCCCAATTTACGCTGGTTTCTCCATGCCTCACGGTATCTTGAGAATCGACTTGGCTGGTAGAGATTTGACTGACTACTTGATGAAGATCTTAAGTGAACGTGGTTACTCTTTCTCCACTACCGCCGAAAGAGAAATCGTCCGTGATATCAAAGAAAAATTATGTTACGTCGCTCTAGATTTCGAACAAGAAATGCAAACCGCTGCTCAATCTTCTTCCATCGAAAAATCTTACGAATTGCCAGATGGTCAAGTTATCACCATCGGTAACGAAAGATTCAGAGCCCCAGAAGCTTTGTTCCACCCATCTGTCTTAGGTTTGGAATCCTCTGGTATTGACCAAACTACTTACAACTCTATCATGAAGTGTGATGTTGATGTCAGAAAGGAATTA